AGAATGCTTTATTATATTAAATAAAACGATTTTATACTACTTTACTAACTATAACACAAAAATCCATTATACTGTGACAATACATGAACAAAGATGAAAGAGGAACAAAAACCCTATATAACAGTGTAAATTTGCTGTCCACTCAACACACAACCATTAATGTCTAAACAATTGGCAACAAAAGTGAGTACACCCCTAATTGGAAATGTCCAAATTGGGCCCAATTATCCATTTTCCCTCCCTGGTGTCATGTGACTCGTTAGTGTTACAAGGTCTCAGGTGTGTTAAATGTGGTGTTATCGCTCTCACACTCTTACTGGTCACTGGAAGTTCAACATGGCAAAGAACTGAAAAAAAAGAATTGTTGCTCTACATAAAGATGACCTAGGTTATAAGATGATTGCCAAGACCCTGAAACTGAGCTGCAGCACGGTGGGCAAGACCATACAGCAGTTTCACAGAACAGGTTCCACTCAGAACAGGCATCGCCATGGTCGACCAAAGAAGTTGAGTGCACATGCTCAGCGTCATATCTCTAGAGGTTGTCTTTGGGAAATAGACATATTGCCAGCATTGCTGCAGAGGTTGAAGGGGTGGGGGGTCAGCCTGTCAGTACTCAGACCATATGCTGCACACTGCATCAAATTGGTCTGCATGGCTGTCGTCCCAGAAGTAAACCACTTTTAAAGATGATGCACAAGAAAGCCCGCAAACCATTTGCTGAAGACAAGCAGACATGTCCTGTGGTCCGATGAGACCAAGATAAACTTCAGATGGTGTCAAGCGTGTGTGGCAGCAACCAGGTGAGGAGTACAAAGACAAGCGTGTCTTGCCTACAGTCAAGCATAGTGGTGGGAGTGTCTTGGTCTGGGACTGCATGAGGGCTGCCGGCAATGGGGAGCTACAGTTCATTGAGGGAACCATGAATGCCAACATGTACTGTGACTTACTGAAGCAGAGCATGATCCCCTCCTCTCGGAGACTGGGCCGCAGGGCCGTATTCCAACATGATAATGACCCCAAGCACACCTCCAAGATGACCACTGCCTTGCTAAAGAAACTAAAGGTAAAAATGGACCGGCCAAGCATGTCTCCAGACCTAAACCCTATTGAGTATCAAATGGAAGGTAGGGGAGTGCAAGGTCTCTAACACCCACCAGCTTCGTGATGTCATGGAGGAGTGGAAGAGGACTCCAGTGGCAACCTGTGAAGCGCTGGTGAAATCCATTCCCATGAGGGTTAAGGCAGTGCTGGAAAATAATGATGGCCACACAAAATATTGACACTTTGGGCCCATGGACATTTCCACTTAGGGGTGTACTCACTTTTGTTGCCAACGATTTAGATATCAATGGATGTGTTGTTATTTTGAGAGACCAGCAAAATTTACACTGTTATACAGGCGGTACACTTACTACTTTACATTGTAGCAGAGTGTCATTTCTTCAGTGTTGTTACGTGAAAAGATATAATAAAATATTTACACAAATGTGATGGGTGTACTCACTTTTGTGAGATACTGTATACATTCTCTCAAACAATGGGATGTATCATGTTCAAGTTTAACAGGGAAGTTTGTGTAACTCTGAAAAATACAAGTGGTTAATAATAGCAGTGCTCTAATTTGTTGGGCCTATTCCAACAAAATGTGCGCACTGCATTGTAATCCTGTTTGTTCAGTATCCTGTATTGTTATCTTTTTACACACACACACACACTCACACAGATAAAGTGAATAACATTGATTATATCATTACAGTGGTAACTGATAAAGGGTGGGATATATTAGACCGCAAGTGAACAGTGAGTTCTTTAATTTCATGTGTTGGGAGCAGGAAACCATGGGAAATCGAAAAAAGATCTGAGTGACGACTATTTAAATAGAGACGATTGGGTCAGAAAATCTCCTAAATGGCAAGTCTTGTGGGTTAGCCACAGAGGGGGCTCTATAATTAGTGTAGTTAGGCGACCACCTATGGCTTCATACTTGCTGGGGCCAGACGTAATTCCCTCTTAGACCTGCCCATTGCTGGTTGGGATAATGCTTCCTTATAAACCCAAACAGCACAGAACATGCTGCTGGGGACAAAAAGATTTAACACTGAATATAAAGGTACAGCACCAAAGTTCTCCAGCTCCAGCCACTATAACAATTTCGATGAGATTAAGTTGAGTTGCCCTAATTGGCTACCAAATTATGGAGTTATATTATTAAACACCCACACACTATTCATTTCAATTCATTACACACACAATTGTTATTTAATGTCTTTTTAGAGGCCAATATTGCAATATTAATATACAGATAAGACCATTAAGGGTTAACCTTTGCAATACTTGGCCTAGCTCATTTTATTCTTAACCTGAATAAACCTATTGTGACTGGATTCATTCCACACTATTGTGGGGCAAAGAGATACATGTTGAGCAATTCTATTGGTGTCCATTGTGATTGCTCCATATTTAGCACTTTATCAAGATAAGCATGTATTTTTGCTTTGGTAAGTCTTCCATTCTTTTGAATTTTGCTGCAGATCATTCCTTGTGTAGACTGTAAATGGGGGATTTAGATATCATTTCTGTCTCTCTTACAATCTTCCAAAGGTAAGTAGAAAACTATACTTGGGTTTATTAGGGTAGGTGGGCGCGCATATGAATTCAGTACCTACAAGATACTTAGTGTTTTTCTCACCAGTAATGCCCGCTCATTAAACCAAAAGATAAAGATGAAACTGGTCTTGTGTGAAATTGTATTCTTACACTCTTTAAAAATGTCAACTTTATTACTTGTGAATTTAAAACCTAACCACTAGGTGTCAGTCAAACCTATTTAATCCTATTAAATGGACACTGGAGGCACTAGAACCATTTCATCTGATTGAATTGTTTGTAGTACCTGAAATACCCTGGTGCTGTCCCTCCATTTAGTGTTAAACCATTTTCGAGCAGTTAAATTAGGGGTCCTGGCCACTCACATCCTGGTCCCCACTGAAGGTATGGCTAAGGTAGAAATAACAAACTTCCTACTAGCCATATCAATTTATACCAACAATGAACAAAGTGATATGAAAGCAGTCAGCTGCCAATCACAGCCATCCATTGATTCGCATGATCATGCTTCCTTATCAGGGCTGCTGGGGAATCTCTTTTAGCATTAAGACATTAAAAACAAACGCTGACTAAACAGGGTGACAGGGGACTTCATATAATCACTTCAATGGATTAACCAGTGCCAACAGTGTACCTTTATTATCACATGCATATCCTTTAGTAAATTTGAAAAGGCTATGAGACTTAATAAGTCTCAGCATCAACAGAGATATAATTCTACAGTAAAAAGAAAAATCACTAAATGCCTATCAAATAAGCTCCCTCATATAAGGAATAGTCAGGAATAAAATAGGTATGCTGTAGTACACTGTGGAAAAAAATGGTTAGTCTATATCAGTCAATCCAAAACAAAAAAAAAATAGGGTGTCTCAAAGTCGTCCACTCTGGTTCAGGGAAATGATTTTGAAAAATGGTCTGGAAGACATGACAGGAAAAGACGCCTATTCATATGCTGCATTACAAAAATGACTTCAATGTTGCCTAGCGTAATAGCCACACAATGCCAGGTATTTTTTGCAATTCCAGTTCTGAGTCAAAATTAGATCATTATACTTTTATTTTTTTAAACTGAGAACTTTGCAGTTCTCTTTCAAGATTTCTTAAATCAGATAAAGTCGAGCATGATCAATAAAATAAATGAAAGAGGCTTTTCCTTAAAGGACCACCACAGTGCCCTGAGGGTGCCCCCACCCTCAGGGTCCCACTCCCGCCGGGCTGAAGGGGGAGGAAGGGGTTAAACACTTTCCTTTCTCCAGCGCCGGGCTCCCTCGGCTTGGGGAACTCTCCTCCTCCCGACGTCATAGGCTGAAGGCGCATGCATTCTCAATGCTTTCCTATGGACGCTGGCGCACAGTGAGAAGCGCGGAAGCGCCTCTAGCAGCTGTCAATGAGACAGCCACTAGAGGCTGGATTAACCCTAATATAAACATAGCAGTTTCTCTGAATCCTAGATGGACCTGGCACCCAGACCACTTCATAGAGTGGTCTGGATGCCTATAGTGGTCCTTTAACTGTATAAACCGGATATCCAGCTAATGAAAGCTAGGTTTTAACACTATACAATCATGATCAAAATATATTTTTCCTTCCATTTTTGTGATGGAAGCTTCTGGCGGCCACAGACAGATTTCTCATGGGAGAACACAGTAAAGGACTTCCATCACTATTATTATCGAAATGGGAGGTGATAGACATTTAGGTTCTACTCAGTCTCAATGTGTGTACAGTGATAGCAGGAGAAGAAATGGTGGACATTAAAAATAAGAAATAATATTATACAGAGGTAACAGAACATAAAGATTGGCTACATTGTATCACGGATTCCCAACAGGTAGCTCTCCTTCTAGGATTTAATTCAACTCCTATGATCCTCAGCTGATATTTGCAGGTCTGGAGCTGAAGGGCTACCTGCTGACTATTATTTACTGCCTTATATATTTTTTTTGAAATAAAGTAAAATCAGCGGTTACTTAGAACTTTAAACCTGTTAACTCTATTTCAGTAAGACCATGCACAAATAACTTGTGTTGCTTATGGTATTAATATTGGCATATGCAAAAGAGTGTGCCAGGTGTTCCCTAACATGCCCTACTGTCCTTTTAAACTAATTTTGGGTGACTCTAACCTGTATTATCTGTTTGGTTATCACAAGTACAATGGTTGACAAAGTGTCATTATTATCTATTATTAGTTAACATTTTAAGTAAATCATTTTTAAAATAAAGGCTCTTTATAACAGAATTATTATTAAATATTCTCCTTTTCGTTAAAACATCCCTGTGAGAAAGTTATTAACCCAATGCTTGTCTAACACATTCCCTGTATGCATTGTACATTAAGTGGAGGTGCGCCCCCCGGTGGTATCCTGTGGATATTGCAAGAGTGTGTGACGTCGGTAGAGTGACAGCAGCAGTGCCTCTGACTGCAGAGATCTCTCCTTAACCTTAGCCAGGGAGCAGCTCCAGGCTAGAGCTACCAGCCCAAACCCTGTTTGCCCTCAGTGCCATCCTCCTGTGCTGAACACACAGGGGTCTCCATCCTCCAAGGCAACAAGGTCTGCTGTCCAGAGGGTAAGGCAAAGTTCCTATTACTTTTAACACAATATAAAGCTCTTGTTTGATGTGAATGCTCAGCTAGGACCATATCTGGTCAAAATATTCAGTGTCACCAAAGGGGGACTCTGCGCAGCTTCCCTCTATAAATAGCACAGACAGTGTTCCTCAGAGATTTAGCCTGAGTCACTTATGGTGGGGACTCTAGTGCTAAATGGTATGTCCTGACTGCACACTCTGCTGGGGCTTTAAACCTGAAACTTTCCCAGTGCTGAAAAGTTCGTTATTATTATTATTATTATTTGTTTAAAAAGATAATCTAGAACGCTGAGTGTCTGTCACTGTATATTAAAGGGTGAGTGAATGAATAGTTCAGGCTGTTTGGGATAGAGGGATTCAGGGTAAGGTTTTTTTTTTACTTGTTACTGTGTAGGGAACAGGTGTATACTGTGTGCTCATTGTCTATGGGTAGAACACGTCTTGTGATATTATTTCTTAATAAAGATCAAATTCCCTTTGTAATATCATGAAATACAGAGAAAGTGAAGTCTCTCTCAGTGAGAGATGTGTGTATTTCAGCTTCACACAGTGAGAGGGGTTATTTTTTTTATTTTATTTTTAACCCCTTATGGACACATGACATGTGTGACCTGTCATGATTCCCTTTTATTCCAGAAGTTTGGTCCTTAAGGGGTTAAAGAAGCCTATTTAAAACGTGGACACCATTTCTTTTCATATTGTTTTCAATACTCATGTCCTTTAACCCCTTCAGGACTAATGAGTTATCATGCTATTATTTCAGTCTGATTCCCAAGGGCTCCATGATAGTAGTGAATATCTTGCTTTATTTGTTGTTATTGTTTATTGTAAAATGAGCCAGATGTTCCATCTTAATACAGGATCTATAAAGAATGCTTTGTTATGATGGAATTAGTCCGGCATTGGCATTTAAGAGGTTAATGTTACCGACAAGCACTCTTATCTATCAAAAAGAATGTTATCTGAATTCTCCACATTAAGGGACGATATGTGCCCAAAATATCACCAGACATTATTGTAGATTCCATAGAATGTACTTTTTTTTGTCCCCTTTAGAATTACAAACATGTAACCCATCTAAAACTTATACTCAAGAAATACAAACAAAGTCTGAATAGAGTACTTCACTAAATGTTATAAAGAAAATATCTCAGTTTTATTAATTTATCCATTAAGGATTTGTAATTGTTGATACAGTATAATGTCAAATGCGGTTTATCTGGGTTACACCAACAGATTCTTCTTACCCTTCTAAAAGTCAAGTGATTAAGAACAGATTCTTTATTTAGACCCCACACCAAATATAACCAGACAGAAAGCCTTTGTCTTAAGTGATATTTATACATAACACTATATTTAATACTGACATTAGGTTGAAGGTGAACTTCGTTATTTGGATTTGATTTGAGTACTGAAATTATTTGGCAATTGTGGAGAACTGACAGAAATAGCAATTTTTTATCCAAAATGGTAAATTTTTCCAACACATTTATTTTTCCAGACTGCTTACTAAAATTTGCTATTTCCGTTGTTTGTTCTTCAGATTTCCCAATGTAATAACCAAATAATTTATTAATTTTCTATCTAAAAAGCGCACCCTTGATTCTTGACATTATAGTATATTTAGAACAGCTGTGTGTCTGTTCCATTAATATTTAAACTTTCTTTTTATTAGCCCCCACCATGACTGCTATAAGGTTTTTCAGAAAAGAAAAAAAATGTATTTAAAATTATTCTTCCCAGCAAATTTCTAATAAAGGAACCATGGATGATATGACTCTGAGTTGCTTGCCCATTGAAGAAGAAGCATACAGGTTGCCAGACAACTATGTTTGTGTGGTATTTATATATTGTAAAAATAGTCCTTATTGAAAGGTAAACTATAGTTGTAAATGGCCTCTATAAATACTGCAGTACAAACTAATGCAAAAATGAATAAATACAAGTAAAGTTAAGCTACATTTTTATGTTTAAATTTTTTTCTATATTATATGTATTTATTGATTAAAAAAATCTTAAGCACATAATATTGCATCACCAAATACCAAAGTTTCTCTGTTATCACCACATTGGATAACTCAGAGTATGTTAGAGATGTTAGGGAACTTAAACATCTGATTTTGCCATAACAGACAAAATTTGTTGAAAATGGACGAATTAAAACTCGCAATGGCAATTCTCATATTTAATAACACCAATTCCAGTTGAAATTTGATCCGACCAAATCTGTGTCATTTGATTGAAATTGTTCGGTCTCTAGTTTAAAATCAGTGCTTTTTGCACCCAAACCCTATACAAAATACAGGATTCAAAATATGTACAAAGCACAGTTTTTACACTGAATCAGGGCCGAATGCGTCCTCCAGGATGCATATTCGCAAGTTATCATTCACTTGCTGTTTGCTAGCTAATTATAATGTGAAGTACTATTTGCCCACAAGCAGCGCTCGCAGCCAATGGGCAAATAGTTTAAAACATTTGGCAATGCCAGGTTTAATCATGTAGCGGCTGGCTAGCTCTTACTAGCCTCCTGTCACATTTAAAAAGTACAATTTTTTTTAATTTTATTTTTAAAGCCTATGATGTCGATATGATCACCATATTTCTACAAGGGAGGTTTTTAACCTCTGTTATGCCCCCATTTGCCATTCTGCGGATGAGTGCATATCTGCTAAGCAGTGAGCAGCCAATAGCCGTGAGCTTTGGACTATAAATGCCTGTCTGTGAGTTTCTTGTACAGGAGCTCACCTTGTTTTAAAGTAAGCACAACTTTTAATCAAAGGAATACATTTGCTTTACTATTTTACACATTCATGGCTTCCTGTGTTTTCCTTTGAGCTCATCATCCAGAAGTGTACTTCAGTGGGGGCTATCCCTCTCCCTCTGCATCTATATACCCAGAGCCAGACTTGGTTCTGATCCACCCAAGTGGATATCTGCTGTGGTTTATTTACTATGGGGTGAATTGAACTGAGATTTATTGCACTATATGTTTATTATTTTTTATTACAGATTTACCTAAATCAAAGTTCCTTCTATGATATAAGGGAGAATAAGTCTACAGATGCTTCTAACTTACCGACCAGGTTTCATTTTTAAGACCTGGTCGTAAAACGAATTGGTCAGTAAGCGATGCACATGCGCACCAGTGCAGGTCTATATTCAGGGAAATTTCCCCGAACATAGACAGGCAGAGCAGGGAATACCCCAAATCTATGTTCGGGACACGTTCCCCAAACATAGATTACATGGATTCCCTGCTCTGGTGCATTTTTCTATGTTCGGAGAAATTTCTCCGTACGTAGACATACACACCATTGCAGGGAATCCCTCTAATCTGTGTTCAGGGAAATTTCCCCGAACATAGACCAGGGAGGGAACCCCTCTAATCTATATTCTGGGAAAATTCCCCAAACATAGACCAGCTCTCTAACGTGGGAAATTCCCTACTCTAGAGTGCTGGTTGTAAGTGCGAGCCGCCGCTAAACAGGTAGGTCGCAAACTGAGAACCACCTGTATGCATACTTGCTATGCAGTTGTAAACGTGGAGATTGTTTGCACAAGTATAGTGTGGAGGTCATGCAGCTGATCCAGAACTAAAATCAATTATCACAAATTTGTTTTTGTTACCCGCCTTGCACACTTTTTTTTTAAGGAGCAGTCATTGGCTGCTCACTGTAACGATAAACTAGCAAAAGGGCAGTTTGGGAGTGAAGTCTCTAGAGAAGTGAAACTTGCCTGGAACAGCGCTCTGATTGGCTTACAAGAGCTCTACCGAGACTACAAGGTGTGGCAAGCCTTTAAAAAGGGTTTTGCTACCTTGGAAGCTCATTCTACATGGAACCCTCACGGAGCTCACACAGATTTGTTTTTGTGGCGGGAAGTTTATTTTTTTGGCAAATCAGGTCTTTTGATTTTAGTAGTAACATTGGGAATTAATTGTGTTTTTGGCCGAGTATAACTTTTTTTTCTGAATAAGGTAATAGGTACTAGCGCTTAAAGTGGTCGTTTAAATGAGGGAAATATTCCAAGAATAATATAAAAAGTAGCAGCTCAACACCAAAGTGTACAACTTCTCCCAAAATACGCCAAGTAAAATAGAAAGATAACTAGTGTAGCGCTTATAAAATAGTAAACTGTACCTCGAATAAATTAAAACAATCTATACTTATAAAAGTATAAATAATACATCACAGTGCAGATTATATAAAATATAAAGAATATATTTGAAAAAAATATATATAACCCTCACAAACAGAGGGTATGAACCTAGCTCTGGTGTGAATAGCCTTCGGGTCCGTTTAGGGAACCCACCCCTGATGGATATGTACGTCCACTCTTATTGGAAAGTATATAAAACAAGGAAATAGAGTAGCTCCAAATAAGTTGATAAAAAGTCTTATGCCAAATCAATACTCACAGACATAGAGCCCCAAATGGATCTATCACAGTGCTTTGTGTAGTTTGGGACTACACTCCCTCTTTGTAAGTAGCACGGAATACCGGAAACCAGGTTAAAAGTATAACAAATGTATTTCAAACACACTTTAAAACATAAGAAATTAAAAAGTGACAATGTCCATTAAGTTTTCCCACAACGCGTTTCACCACTAGATCGTAGCTTCCTCAGCCAGGTGAAAAGAATACTGGTCCCTGGTTTACCAGTTTTGATTATATACCTTCTTAATAGGGGGATAATAAACTAGTGTCTTTACACCTGTGCGTTATTACCCCGTTCAGGTAATATGCTCTAATTCAAGCCTCCTTATCGAAGATGATTACTTACCATGGCAGTCGCTCTCACCTGGAGCTCCGTCGTGTTCCAAGCCTCTCTTTCTATGCTCGGCATCACACTGCTTCCTTGCGGTTAAAGCCTCATTCTGATATGTTGCCGACGTCACGTTGTTTCCTTGCGGTTCTGGCCTTGCTCTCATTTGATGGATATTTGTCCTTATTCTGTTATCCTCCTTGTTGAGTCAGTCCTATAGATAGAGTCTTTATCTTGTGTATCTTACTTGCCGCAATCAGATATGTAATTAATTTTCCGACTAATCTAGTGGTATAGTCAGCACTTCCACAACATATTACAGGTTACATATCCATATAAAAAGGGAGAGAGTAAGAGAACATATATTATAAAAGTATAATGATATATTTTTAGTCACTACATCCATAGCCTCAATCTTTAAAACCATAAATGTAAAAAAATCCCCCTGGTAGATCCATTGTAGCAGGTGTAGATGCAATCTCAAGTAGGCTGTCTCAGTACATTGATGTTTTATTACAATCACTAATCCAAAAAAACAAATCTCACATTTAAGACATTTTTAAAACTTTTAGATGGACATAAATGGGAAAGTAAATATTTTTTATTGACCTGCGACGTCGTAGTATTATACATCAGTATACCCCACGAGTATGGTTGTAAGGCTGTTGAACATTTTTTAAAGGAATCCATAGAATTTTTAACCGCTCAGATAAATTATTTTAGAAGGCATCAACCTTATTTTAATAAATAGTTTTTTCTGGTTTAGGGAGGAATTTTTTCTACAGATTAATGGAACAACCATGGGGACTAAGTTTGCTCCCAGTTATGGCAATTTTTATATGGCGTGTTGGGAAGAAATCTATATTTATGGTCATCATAACTGGGAGCTTAACTTGGTCTCCTACGGCCGGTACATTGATGACATTCTCTTTATCTGGAAAGGAGATGTGGTGGGATTGGAGGAATTCTTGGACTTTTTAAATGACAATATATGCGGAATAAAATTAACTAGCACTTGGAGCTAGAAAAAGGTAGTCTTCTTAGACCTTAATATCTATATCGAAGAAGGGAATGTACTAACTAAAAATTATTTTAAACCAGTAGATTCTAATAGTTTTATTAGTATATATATTAGTTGCCACTTTGCGCCTTGGCTGGAAAAATGCCCCTAGAGGACAGTTCCAAAGATCCCGAAGAAACTGCACAAGTCTAGAAACCTATGAAGAACAATCATTAAAAAATAAAGGAGATTTTCTAGAAAAAGGATATAAAGAAAATAAGATGGAGACATCGAGATTAGAGATTAAGAATAAAGAAAGAAGAGAAATGTTGGATTACAAAATAAAGGATAAGGAAGCCATGAAAGACATTCCTTTTATTTGTAACTTCAATGTAGAAAATAACAAAGTAAGGACAATTATAAGAAAATATTGGGCCATTTTATTGCAGGATCCTCTTTTATAAACGATTTTACCAGCACAACCTAGATTCGTTCATAGAGGAGTAAGAAATTTAAGAAGTACCTTGGTAACAAATTTCATTAAGGAAAAAAAAAAAGAACCACTCTATAATTTTTAATAATAAAAAAGTGTTTTTTTGGTTGTTTATGTACAATGTACATAGTTACATAGTTGAAAAGAGACTTGCGTCCATCAAGTTCAGCCTTCCTCACATATGTTTTTTGCTGTTGATCCAAAAGAAGGCAAAAAAACCCAGTTTGAAGCACTTCCAATTTTGCAACAAACTAGGAAAAAAATCCTTCTTGACCCCAGAATGGCAGTCAGATTTATCCTTGGATCAAGCAGTTATTGAAAGATTATACATTGAAAGATTATATCCTTGAATATTCTGTTTTTGTAAGTATGCATCTAGTAGCCGTTTGAACATCTGTATGGACTCTGATAAAACCACTTCTTCAGGCAGAGAATTCCACATCCTTATTGTTCTTACTGAAAAAAAATCTTCTTCCAGTCTAAACGCATGACCTTGTGTCCTATGTAAAGTCCGGTTTGTGAATAGATTTCCACACAGTGGTTTGTATTGGCCCCGAATATAATTGTATAATGTTATCATATCCCCCCTCAGGCAACGTTTTTCTAAACTAAATAGGTTTAAATTTGTTAACCTTTCTTTATAGCTGATATGTTCCATTCCTTTTATTCATTTTGTAGCCTGCCTCTGCACCTTTTCTAGTGCCATAATATCCTTCTTTTGAACAGGTGCCCAAAATTGCACAGCATATTCAATATGTGGTCTTACCAGTGATTTATAAAGAGGCAAAATGATATTCTCATCCCGAGAATGAATACCCTTTTTCATGCATGACAATACCTTACTGGCCTTGGCCACTACTGATTGCACATTGCACATTATTGCATAGTTTGTTGTCTATAACAATTCCCAAGTCCTTTTCGTGTGTGGTTATCTATAATTCGCTTCCATTAAGGGTATACGTTGTTTGTTTATTCTTTACGCCGAAGTGCATAACTTTGCATTTTTCAACATTAAATTTAATCTGCCATTTGAGTGCCCAGTCCCCCAGTCTATCTAAATCCCTCTGCAGCAAAGTAATATCTTGCCCACATTGTATTATTTTACAGAGTTTTGTGTCATCTGCAAACACCGAAACATGACTTTCAATGCTTTCTTCAAGATCATTTATAAACATGTTACTATAGATTTGTTACCAGTTATACCTGTAGTTGCCACTGTAATTTTCTGTGCATGCAGTTTGTACTATAGTCATTTAATGTTTCTGACCAATATTTCATGAAGACAGTTATTAATATTTTGGGTGATAGAATTTGGTTGCTAAACATTTCAATAGTATAGAACACGTGGATACTCCACTCTCCTCCCCCCCCCCTCTCTCACTATCCTTTTCCCCTCCCCAGTCGTAAATACCTTCATATAACTGTTCAATCTCATTCTCTATTCCTCAGGCCTCACCGCATTTTTTTTCTCCCCACTTCCTGCCCACCCTCCCCTCCTCTGTTAACTCTTTCAGCCATCACCTCCAAACTTCCCCTGCTACCCCTTGTCTCAAATCCCCATGGTATCCTTTAGATTGTAAGCTCACGGGCCATCTAGCCAAGCACTTTGTATGAAAGAGCTCCAATGGCTAGATATCAGCTTACGGGCAGGGCTCTCTCTACCTCTTGTATTTGTCTGTGTATATTGTACGTTTCTCCACTAATTGTACAGCGCTGCAGAATCTATTGGCGCTTTATAAATAGCAGTAATAAATAATAATAATAATAATAATAATAATAAGGGGTCCCAGAACAGACACCACTTGCCACCTCTGTCCAGCTTGAAAATTAACCATTAATGACGACTCTTTGTATTCTGTTTTTAAGCCAATATTCTACCCAAGAACAAGCATTTTCATCTAGACTGATTTCCTTGAGTTTGAACACTAGTCTATTGTGTGGGACTGTACGGCTTGTAAAAAGTCAGATAATACTAGAAGGATTATTAAAGAAATTAATACCAAGGAAGAAGAGTCAATACCTATTAGGAATTTTATCACTTGTTATTCAAAAAATATTATTTATCTTTTAAAATGTCCATGTGGCCTAAATTACATAGGTCGACCCACAAGAGCTTTACACGTTAGAATTGGGGAACATTCAAAAAGGGTTTGAGAACCATAGCGTGTCCTACCATTTTAAACAAATACATGGTCAGGACCCCAAAGGTATGTTTTTTATAGGTTTAAAGAAAGTGGAGATTGGAGGGGAGGAGATTTTATTCAAAAATGGGTAAAATGGAGATGGAGTGGATTTTTAAAATGAACACTCTTATCCCATATGGATTACACTCTGACTTTGAATTATGTCACTTTTTATACGGTCCTGATTCATTTTTATTCCCCCCATTAATTAAACCCATAATATGAAATATAATAATAAAATATCCAGAATATTGTTAAATTATTTTTAATAAACCTAAAATATTTTTTAAAGATTTGTATTTATACATTTTTAATAAAGAGTAATTTATACTGTTAATATTAAAATAAAATATGAGTGTACAGAGGTTTTTTTCTTGTTCTCTATTCTCTTTTTACTGTTTCTTCTTTAATTCAGCACTTTACCTGTCTGGTTTTAAAGATTGAGGCTATGGATGTAGTGACTAAAAAGATATACTTTTATAATATATGTTCTCTTACTCTTTCCCTTTTTATATGGATACGTAACCTGCAATTTATGGAAGTAGTAGTCAGATACTGCATAAACCCAATTATCTCCAGGCAGAAAAACACAAATTTTGCAAAACCCCAAAAGTACCCCAAAAACACATGATACAAATGTTATATCCCATGATAGCCCTGATCGGGGTGACCGACATATCAAAAATCACCCAGATCAGTTCAGGGGTTCAGGAATTTCCTGGAAGTCATTTATTTGACCGACCGCAGGCATGGTCCCATGCCCAAAACAGTTCCAGAGAATCAGGGCTTGCGGTCGGTCTAGTTCGGTAGTTTAAAAATGAACAAACTACCGAACAGAGTCAATAATCTTGGAGCTTTTTTCCTTCATCCAGACGAATAATCCCACCGAACAGTGCCCTTCTAAGTTGAATATGACAGAATGCAGACGATGATGGAAGTCCAGCAGTGTTCGGGAGTTTCTGTATCCGATTTTAGTTCCAGGTGATTCATGCCCAAACACCGCTGCCAGCGTCCATCCGAACAAGATGGCCGCCACCTCGTGGTTGTCTATAGGAATTGTGGCCACCCAGACAAACAATTAGAACACTGCGTGAGAAACGTTTCAAGTTAATAGGTGTTAACAATCTCCAGGATGGTCTCTGGTTCGTGCGGTTGTTCGTTAATTTGAAGTGCCGTTTCGAAAGTTCAAAGTGTGGCCATATAACTCCAAAAAGGCACAATCAGAGAAGTTTACATTAACTTTTTTTTCTATTGGTGGGGCTACGTTGTTGGGTCTCCATAGAGCTCAGTGTTCTACTCTTGAGCACGCGTGAGCGTACCGCACTGATGTTCCTGGTTGCTGAAGCGTCAGGAGCCAAAGAGACCTGCAGTTTTAACATCCTCGAGGGACAGCTGGAGGTAGATAAAACTCGCTTCCCTTGCAGTCATCAAGCAGCTTTCACTCCGGCTTAAATCCATTCAGGCTCATTAAAAAAAAAGTGCACATTGTTAAATACAGGGTTATTCATCAATTAATTTTTGCAGTCCGAATGACCCTGTATGCAGCCGAATGGTTTTACATTCAGTTTGGGCCTATTCAGACTGCAAAATCCGGACATTTATAGTAGATTTCATCAATGTCTGGATTTTGTAAATCAGGCCTGAATTTGGTCTGGTTTCCAGCCAGGCTGAAATCTGGGGAATATGGAAAATCCAGGCTCAGAGTTTTTTTTAAATAGTTAAAAGCCCTCAGCACAGCAAGTGTTAATTATGTGGTGGCTGGCCAATGCTTGATAGCCACCTGCCACATTTACAAAGTAAAATAAATACTATGTGGTTCAACAAGACTTCCATATGACTATAATGGAGGTAATTAAGTTACAAGAGAGACATAGTCACCCTTGTGTCCCATCTGCGCACAACAGGTAGGGGCTACATTAGATTTTTAAGAGGGGGACCTATTGTCCCATCCTGTGGCTCCCACCCATTGCAAGCAGATGGGGGTCATAATGCCAAAGAATTGATTTAAACGTGTGAGAAAAAAAAAACATTTTTAAATATTTTTTTTCTCAAAAATTATACATTTGCTATCAAAACTGCTAGCACAATGTATAGCCAAAATCGTATGCTCTTTCAAAAGAGTATACGTAAAACACCAAAAACTGGACTACAGGTATCCCTTACGTTAATACCTCTGTAAGGAAATGTGGTTAGCGGGAGGTGCAAAAAGAGCAAGAGGTAGGGGAGACTTAAGTCCAACGCTGGTCACAGGATTTTTTTTGTCTGTTTCTCTCCTATTCTCCCATAGAGACAACAAACATAGTTATTTTCCAAAGTAAGAATTCAAGGTGAAATCAAAGTGAATTTCCAATGTAAAGTAAAAACTGTTGAAAGGGAGAGATTCTCTCTTTCAGCTATGCTTACAGTTCGGCTTCTCTGGCCTTAAATCTGAAATTCACTTTGAATTCTCACTTTAGTGACTAACCCTGATGGATTCATACTAATACAGCAGGAACTGTCTCCAAAATTTGCTAAATCCATTTGATTCCCTGAAATTTGAGTAGATATACTGCATCTCCAGCATTCACTGATACACCTTCTGATGAATGCCATTGTTCTACAGTACTGTTCAGCAAAGTGTTAAAAGTATGGCTTTCACTCCATACAGCACTTACTGAGTAGCCATTAGCTTATAATACAGCAGATTGCAGGGGGTGTTTGTAGACTTGCCTGTACGCTATCACACATCTTGTCAAGCACTTGGGTACAAGCTGCCAAGTCTAATCTCTTCTTGGAATACTGAGTAAAAGATGGAAAAAGAACACATTTAATGTGAAAATAATGGATTTTGCTCTGATTAGCTTCTGAGCTAAGTTACGGTTAGTAAAGAATCACAAATCTGTATGTATTAAAATGCATTGAAAATGAAGATGCCAGGAATCCTTGATAATTAATTAAGTCTGGATGTTAGATCAATAAAATACTTTGTACGAAAATTTTTAAATATTAAACTAAAAATATAAATTTGCTCACACCCAGCCCTACATTGTTTTACATAAAAGAACTTAAAAGGAAACTATAGTGCCAAAATTATTATATATTTTTAATTTGTTTAAATTTGTTCCTGGCATCATTTTGAGCTCTGTGGTTTGAAGCCAACGATAAAGAGTAGTCAGGTAAAGAGTGCTGAGGTCTGAAACCAGAGTGAGGAACTAGGATGGAGGGTTGATCTGTAAATATAGTCAGGACTGGAGAGCCAAGGTTAGAAGAAAACGATGAAGGACAAAGTTGAGATGTTGGTCCGAGAGCATAGTCAGGTTAAAGAACCGTGGTCAGAAGCAAATGATGATGGAGAATAACTGGACAGATTACCTTGGGTACATACGAACTGAGGTTTTAAAGTAAGGTTGTTACACACATGCTATACAATATCAGAGAGACTCTATAATGGACTATGGCAGAATCCTGCAGTGCCCCCTCCCTCCCGCCCCCCCATCCCATGTTGCTGAAGGGGTGAAAACCCCTTCAATGACTTACCTGAATCCAGTGCCGATGTCTCTCGGCGCTGGGTCAGGCTCCGCCCATGCTCCTCCCCCGCCAACATCAGCCGGCAGGGGAGACCTAATGCGTATGCATGGCAATGGGCACGTGCGCGTTAGTCTTCCCCAGCATCCCCGGAATCACCAATGCTTTCCTATGGGGATTCCGGGGATGCTGGAGGTACTCATGTATAGTGTGAGGACGTCCAGCGCTGTTTAAAACGCTTTTGGTGTTTTAAAAACCCGGAAGTCCCTCTAGTGGCTGTCTGATAGATCATCATCTATAATAGCACTCAAGATAATTGGTCCGAATTACTACCATGGGCCGAGTTTGCTAGGAACAATGCTGACCATGACTCCTCAGGACTTAGCCCATTTTTTGTGCTTCCGGCTGTTTTTTCTGAAATGGCTATCCCTGCTGTAGATGACGCCTCACCTCCATTCATGATACTTGGGCCAAAGTTCACTCCGCTCTGGAAACTGATGCTCACCGTTTCAAACATTATGCTGATAAACGGCGAGGTGCCAACCCTGTTTACCAAGTGGGTGAGAGGGTTTGGTTATCATCACGCAACATCAAGCTTAAAGTCCCTAGCATGAAGTTTGCTCCTAGATTCCTTGGCCCATTTCGTATCTTTCGTGGAATTAATCCTGTCTCGTATTCTTTGGCTCTCCCTACTTCCTTGCTGATTCCGAATACATTTCATGTCTCTTTGCTCAAACCGCTTGTTTTCAATAGATATACTGTCCCAAGTGTTCCCCCTCCTCCTTTGGTTGTTTCTGGACAGGAGGAGTATGAGGTCTCCTCCATAATTGATTCCAGATTTTCTCGGGGCACTTTACAATATTTAGTTGATTGGAAGGGGGCCTGCCGACCGTTCTTGGGTTCCGGCCTCTGACATACATGCTGGCCGCAAGATCCGCCATATTCATGCCAAATTTCCTCTCAAACCTGGTCCTGTCCACCCGGTGGGCGGTCTTCAGGTGTAACATGCTATCCCTCACCTTGCCATGTCTGCACCCAGCGGCCATGCATCTGCATAGCTGACACTTGCAGCATGTTAATAGATGCTGGCTGCTGTGGATCCTCGGCAAATTATACCCCCACGTCTGACCACGTTACTGATGACATTGGCGTGCACGTGATGTCACGCGGGAGCCGCGTGCGCATGGTTTGGGGTCAAAGATCGATCTCAGCCAATCGGAAAGCATGTATTTGAGTTCTAAATTACCTTTCCTCATTGCCCTGTCGTGGTTTCCCTAGTGGTTGTCCAAGAGTGCGTTCCTGAACAGTTATATTCTGTTTTTTGACTTTGGCTTCGTTTTTAACTTCCCTGCATTCTGGTATCCCCTCCTCCCGTTTTACTTTAATGTTGTATCTCTTTTCTGGATCCCCTGACCTCGGCAAGTATCCTGACTATTCTTTGGTACATTCATTCAGGCCATTCTAAGGCCCAGTAATACATTACCTATTAGTTCTCTGTGTGACACGTGCTGGATCAAGTAGTAATCCTGACAGACTTCAAATATATAAATATGTACATATATTTAAATGCTACGTGCGTATTTATTTTTTACATAATTAAGTAATTTTATTGATTGCAATTTGAGGGACCTGCTTTTCACCCAGGCCGAAAGTCCAGAGAATTTAATTTGGTAGCAGTATATTTAACTCTGTTACTTTCTATGACACCCTAAAACCTGTACATGGGGGTTACTGTTTTACTCGGGAAACTTCGCTAAACACAAAAATTAGCATTTCAAAACAGTAAAACATATCACAGCGATGATATTGTCAATAAAAGTGACGTTTTTCCAAAACAGCACTTTCACTTATGATATAATTGTTATGATACGTTTTACTGTTTTGAAACACTAATATTTGTGTTCAACAAAGTCTCCCGAGTATAACAGTAAGCCATGTACAGGTTTTATAGTGTTTTTGAAAGTTACAGGATCAAATATATGGTCAAATTGTTTTACATTGAAAATTGCCAGATTGGTTATGTTGCCTTTGAGAGCGTATGGTAACCCAGGAATGATAATTACCCTCATGATGGCATACCATTTGCAAATGAAGACAACCCAAGGTATTGCAAATGGGGTATGTTCAGTCCTTTTTGGTAGCCACTTAGTCAAAAACACTGGCCAAAGTTAGCGTTCATAATTGTTTTTTGCATTTTAACACACAAACAAATATAAATGCTAACTTTGGCCAGTGTTTGTGACTAAGTGGCTACCAAAAAGGACTGGACATACCCCATGTTGAATACGCTGTGTTGTCTAATTTGATAAATATGTAAATTTGAGGTGTGATTCAGAGATTTATGACAGATAACAGTGTTACAATGTCACTATTGATACATTTTAAAAATATATATTTTGAAACAGCAATTTCCTATTTGTACTTATAGCCTTATAACTTGCAGAAAAAGCATGTAAACACTGGATGTTTTTAAACTCAGTACAAAATTTTAAATCTATTTAGCATTTTTGTTTTCAATTTTTCACCATATTTTATTATTTTTTTTAAAGTAAATTATATGACATGATACAAATAATGGTATGTAAAGAAAGCTCTTTTTGTCCTGAAAAAAACAATATATAACTTGTATGGGAACAGTAAATGAGAGAGAGGAAAATTACAGCTAAACACAAACACCACAAAAGTGTTAAAACAGCCCTGGTCTTTAACGTACAACGTGGCCAAAACAGTCCGGTCCTGAAGGGGTTAATTAAGCAGTCTTTATGTATAGATCATGCTCCTGCAGTCTCACTGCTCAATACTCTCCCATTTAGGAGTTTAATCTCCTTTTTTATGCACGAAATGTTTTTAGGTTTCAATCAGATGTTAACTTGCTTTAGACATTTTTATCTCCTTCTCTGGAAACTCAAGACCAGTTGATTTAGTACTATTGGTAGGGATTATGCTGCCAATTTTCCTGAGAGTAAGTTGTTGAGAACCATTTGTTCATGTCATTTCAGTAAAATATAAGGACTGGAGATGGTAAAGAAGGTCTTTGGAGCAAAGTAAATTGGTCAAGTTGTTAAACAGAAAAAGGAAATAGGCTGAATTGGTGATGCCTATAATGTGCCTAGAGGAAGGTGCTACTATTTCTGTAAATAGAGAAAGACCTAACGAGATGTAATAGAGTCACAGTGGTAAATTGTAATATGGTCGGGCAATGCAGAAAGGACACTTGGTAGGTAACAGGAAGTTAAGATGGCATGGTGGCCAGTGTTGTTATATATTTAAACTTGTTCTTGTTCTTGAAATGTGTAGCATGTTCATTAAGATTGAATAGTAAGTGTGAGAATGAAGATTGGAGTTAAAAGTTGTGAAGAGCATTAGTAGGTTGTCTTAAAATTAGGCCAATAGTTTGAAGAAGTAGAATTATTTTGTGAAGTAAAGCGCAGAATTATAGTGTCACATAGACCTAAATGATGAAATCCTCTTGCCATTTGGATTTTTATAAATTTCACGTTTTGCAGGGTGGTAACATTGTGTTTAATAGTTTTCATTTTGTTTATTAGGGCAGATTTCTTTATTGCTCTGAGTGACATTTGCAGAAGGGACACTTTGGTTTAGTGCTGAAGAAAGAGTGTTGTTAAAATAATATGCTGCTAAATATTGACAGGAAAATGTCATTAAACAAGGAGGGAACATGTTTCAATGAATGTGAGGACTGAGCAAGGTCATTACTTACCAGCTGTTGATAAATACAAGTAGAGATGGGTGTGTCTCAGATGTTATAGAAGGATGGGTGAAATTACTGAAGATGTATGTTGATATTCCCTAATTCCTTAGATGTTTAACCCCAGGCTAAAATGTACCAGACCTTGTGAGATCAACCACTTTTTTCCCTTTAGGAGACTCCTATGTATTTTCTGACACTTTTCCTTTTATATATATATATATATATATATATATATATATATATATATATATATATATATATATATACTGGTGTAGATAAGATTTAAATATGAGTTTATTGCTCTGTGATTCTTTCTGGTACTGTTTGTCTGCCGAATCAGTATAGCTACTTAGTATCTTCCGATTGTATTATTTTCCTAATCTCTCCTTAGTACTTCAGTGATGGACTTAGGGCCTAAGAATCATTGCACCCAGTGGCACATTCTAATGCAGGGGGCTCCAGTAAGCTTGAGGTCTGCACCTCCATATTCATTCCCTTCTGGGGTGGATAAAAGTATTGCTGTGGGTTACTATGTTAACTCTCTGATTCATTACCAAGTGCTGACCAAAGGGAGCAATGAATGTGGTTTGCTCCCCCTGGAGTTGCTGACCAGATAGCACTCCACCAGGTATCAACTACCTGTCTCCCCTCCCCTCCAAAGTAACCTAGTGGGATGGAGGAATAAACTTTAGGTGTTTTTTTTTATTTACGCACACACCACTGCAATCTGCATCCTCACAAAACCCACAATACCACAAGCAGCATCCTAACAAACACGGAACACCACATTCAGAATCACCACAGACATGTAACACCACATGCAATGTCCCTCTAGACATGCAACACATGTAGTGCCCCACAGACATGCAATACCAGAAGCTATCTCCACACACAGAGAAAATACTCAGGCGGCATATGTCCACATACACAACACCACAAGTAATCTTCCCCTGCACATCATCCATACACAACACCACAGTCAGTCTACATACACACAACACAATCTCCGAGCACTGTCTCTTTTTTTGTCTTCAGAAATACAACGCCCCACATTCACACATTGGTTCTCCATATAAATACACCCCCACATTTGCACACTAACACTTCCCAGAAATACATTTCCCACATGAGGGCTAATTGGAAGAGGGGTAATGTGATTGTTGGTGATAAGCATAGCCGCCATCAGAAGGTGACAGCCAGTACTCAGTAAGTGAACTGGTCGATAAGTGGGATCCATATATAAGGGACTGCATTGTAGAATTCTGTAGAATTGTAGAATTCCTTAATGGACTGCACTAATTGTCCTTCTTCACTCTTGAGCAGCAGTACTGGGAGGAAGGGGTGTTGGATCATTTGCTTCCAGTATTAATGGAAGCTACTTGTTGGCTGCCCTGTTCCAACTTAATCCACACTGGACCCCAGGAAGCCATACTTCAGCTGCACAATAGCAGCTAAAATGTAGAGTGGCTAGCTAAAATTTCTGTTTTAATGTGTGTATGTAGAGTGTATGTGTGTGTGTACTAGTGCTTGTGTATAGCAGATCCTGTATAGTGTGTTTAGCAATGTAGCTGTGTGTCTAGCAGTGTGTTTATTAGTGGGATTTACTTTGCATATTTAGCATAATGCAGCAATGTGTATTTGTGTGTATGGCTGGCTGTGTGTATTGGGTATGTGTGTGCACCTGGCAGTGTGTATCTGTGTGTCCCATTGTCCGTTACTGTATATCTGTGTGTGTATCCTCCAGAGGTGTGGAATGCTCATCTGACAACTGGGACAGTTTCTTCTCCCTTTAGCCCTCTCATGGGCATGTAACAGGGCTACTGCAGGAGGACATGGGTGGAGAAGAGAGCATCTGAGCTGACTGCACCTCCAGTGGGCTGAGACCATAGTAATTGCTTCTTAGCTAGAACTGTCCTACAAACTCCTATACTGCAGAAAGCTAAGCAGGAGGGTGGAAAAAACACATAAACACACGACACACAGCCAGCACACAAACACATTGCACACTTCCTGCATGCACACACATTGCACAGTGCCTGCATACACACACTCTACTCATAGCCTGCATGCACGCACAATGCACACAGCCTACAAATATTATACACAGTCACCACACATCCATACACACATTGTGTTTGTGATGTCTAGGTGGGAGTGGGAGATTATGAGGGGCACAGGAAGACACACTCAGTGTAACACCATTGAAAAACTGAGACAAAATGTTGTGATTATAGCAGAGCTGCAGAGCTGGAGAATTTTTTTCCAGATAAGCTTCTTTTGTTTCAGTTTTAAATTTGAATTTGCAAAAAATTCTGTGTTTAGTGAATTTCCAGGGATCTAAGCAGCTGTGGCAAACTGAATCTGAAATTCTACCCGTGTACCACTCACTGTTATAAAAGGATATGTCTCACATTGTTTTGAAATGTTTCAACCCAGCCTTCACCTTTTATGCAGCTTTTAATAAAAACGTGTATTTTTATTTGCCTTACCTACTGCCCTCCCCAACCACCACACATACCATTCTGATCATTCACTTCTTTTGCAATGAGAAGCATCTGATTAGCAGAGTGCAATGAGAAGCATTGGATCCAACAAACTTTATGAAAGCTGAAGGCAGGAGGTGGAGTGGCTGCTACAAGGTGACTCACCTGGCTCTTGATTTAAAGTAAATTTTATGGCGTTTTAAAAATATTTTAATCTCTAAGGGTGGGGCTGAGTCTAAATAGACCAAGGAACACTATAACATTAAAAATAAATATCAAGCTTGATGATCTCACTGTAGGGCATTCGGACTACAGTGAGGAGTCTGTTCCAGGAGGCCGTTTGCTAAATCTAGTAAAGAAACACATTTAACAAAAAATATATATCTATAAATATATTTAGTTTTAATTCATTCGTGTGTTTCTTTAAGACACACTCAATTTTCCAACAAATTGTTCAGTGAGTCATATTCTTCTCTTAAGATTGTTATTCACTTCGTGCAGCGTGTTCAAAGAACTTAGCGTGCTTAAAGGGAAACTCCAGTGCCAGGAAAACGATTCCTGGCACTGCAGGTTCCCTCTCACCCCCCAATCCCTGGTTGCTGAAGGGGTAAAAACCCCTTCAGTAACTTACTGCGGCAGCGACGATGTCCCACGTCGCTGCTTCCTCCTCCTCCTCCGCCGCTCCTCCTCTGCAGTGCGTTGGCCGGTGGGCGAGACTGATCCCGCCCACCGGCCGGGGAAACCTAATGCCGCGCATTAGCGCTCCCCATAGGAAAGCATTGAAAATGCATTTCAATGCTTTCCTATGGGGAAATGAGCGATGCTGGAGGTCCTCACATAGAGTGAGGACATCCAGTGACGCTCTAGCACAGGAAGTGCCCTCTAGTGGCTGTCTATTAGACAGCCACTAGAGGTGGAGTTAACCCTGCAAGGTAATTATTGCCGTTTATAAAAAACTGCAATAATTACAATTGCAGGGTTAAGAGTAGTGGGAGTTGGCACCCAGACCACTCCAATGGGCAGAAGTGGTCTGGGTGCCTGGAGTGTCCCTTTAAGTAGAAACACTCTTTAACAGTTTAATTATCCGCATGTATTTTTATTACAGCACTTACACCATTATAAATTGGGAGTTTTACCTTCTCCAAGTTAGGAAGATGTGTTATGTTTCTGTGGAATGAAATATACAAAGTACTCTTTTTCTTGTAATTTGATTACTTTCTTCTTTACTTCACATGGACAATGCATAGTATATTCTCTCACTGTTACTGTAAGGGGACAGAAGGACTTTAATGGTCTCTTTGTAGCCAATTTTAAATGTATCACATATGCAAAGGATAATGTAAAGATTACAATAAATGAATAAAATTAGACACAGACGAGACATAAAGTAAAGTGACAATAAAGTAAAGTATATTTTTATAGTGAGTTTTATTGCCTTGGTTCAGCAGAATTTATGCTTTTCAAACATAAAATCAAACAAAAAGTGCAGATATATGACCGAGTGTCTTTCATTAGGATTAAAGATAAATTCACATTAATTGGTTTATTTCGCATTTTGCTGGCAAGTCTGTACACGTAGCTGTTTATGTACCAGTCTGCAGCATTTGACGTTTATACATAAAGCCCAATTGTCCCTGGTTTCAGTGGGACAGATGTTTGAAAGTGTCCTTAATAATTCGTCTAAAAGTCCAATACAAGTGCAAAGTTGAGCACATTCACAGCTGCTCACAAACACCTAAAGCGTGTGTTTTATGTCAGGTTCCACAAATGTGCATCCAGTGTACACTTTGTTCATACCAGGATCTTTACTGTATTTCACTGATATGACTTGTGTGAAGTGAAGTTCATAACTGAGACTTACCCTATAGACTAAAGCCTACACCTTCGGCACTCCAGATGTTGTGGACTACATCTCCCACCAGGACCGGCGCTATCATAAGGCATTTGCCTAGGGTGCCAACCTGCAGGGGGTGCCCACCAGGAGGTTTCCTGGTGGGCTGCCCTGCTGCTGTGAGTGGCTGGAGCACTGGGTGAGCCACCCCTCCTTAGCCTTCCCCCAGCACAGCAATTCACCTGCTGGGCTCCCTCTGCTGCCAATTACCTGCTCAGGGAGCGGGGTATCTGTAACCCCAGCTCCCAAGCAAAGCACTCTGCTTCCTGCAGACAGGGGAAGCTGGGACATGACCTGGTATCCCGGCTGCCCCCTGTTTGTGGACACCAGAAGCACTCTGAGGGGAACAGGAAGTAGCCTGTGCTTAGAGTGCACGACTCTTCTGCTCCCAAGCAGAAAGAGCAACTTCCTGCAGCCTGGACCTCTTCTCCTCTTCAAAGCACCCAGGTAGGCTAAGGGGGATTGTTTATTGTATGAATGGTTGTAAATTGGTGTAGGTGGGTGTGTTAAATTGCTGTGTTTGTGTGTGTGTAAATAAAGTGTGACTTTATTTAAAGTTGTGTGTTTGACTGTGACAGTGTGTGTTAGTGAGAGTGTGCAAGTGACAGTGTGTGTGTGTGTGTTAGTGAGAGTGTGCACATGACAGTGTGTATGTCAGTGATTGTGTGTGTATGTGTGTTAGTGAGAGTGTGAGTGTTAGTCAGAGCATGCAAGTGACACTGTGTTAGTGAGAGTGTGCAAGTGACACTGTGTGTGTGTTAGTGATAGTGTGCAGACAACACTGGGTGTGTATGACAACACTGTGTGTGTATGTGTATTAGTGACAGTGTGTGTGTGTGTGTGTGTGTTAGTGAGAGTGTGCAGGTGTGAGAGTGCAAGTGACTGTGTGAGTATGTCATTGATTGTGTGTATATATGCGTGTTTAGTGAGAGTGTGTGTGTGTTAGTGAGAGTGTGCAAGTGACACTGTATGTGTGTTAGCGAGAGTGTGCAAGTGACACTGTGTGTATGTCAGTGATAGTGTGTGTGTTAGTGAGATTGTGTAAATGACACTATGTATGCCATTGAGTGTGTGTGTTAATGAGAGTGTGTTGGTTAGTGAGAGTGTGTAAGTGACACTGTGTATGTCAGTGAGCGTATGTGTTAGTGAGAGTGTGTCTCTTTTCCCCCTAAATGCGTACTCACTGTCTCTCTCCTAAATGTCTCCAAGTCTCTGTTTCCTAAATATCTCAACAGCCTCTCTATCCTTTACCTAAATGCCTCCCCAGGCTATTTCCGTTCTCTAAATTTCTCACCGTGCATCTGTTTTAACTTCATGGGACAATATAGGCATCCAGACCACTTCAGCTTATTGAAGTGGTCTGGAAGCACTATCCCAGGGCCCTTAACCCTGCAAAAGTAATTATTGCAGTTTTTAAGAAACTGCAATGATTACCTTTAAGGGTTAACTCCACCTCCAGTGGCTATGCATGGGGACGTCCAGCGTCACGCAAAACCCCATAAGAAAGCATTGTATCATTGGGTAAATCCTTATGCAGCCATTGAGGAGCGAAGGTGGACCAGAGCCAGTGCTGAGGGACATTGGCGATGGACCCGGGTAAGTGTCAGAATAGGTTTTTATTGCCTTCTTCAACATGGGGGAGAGCTATAGGGCTACAACTGTGGAAGACACGAGGCATTGTACTAACCTCAAGATAAGGGGTGTCCCAAAGGGGGTACCGACAGCTGAGTTGTCACACCTCTTAGGAAGGCTATCACCAAAGCATGTTAAGCAAATTGTGGTGGATGGGGTATTCCAGATCCCTAAACTTAAGAGGGCTCCAGAAGGGGTGCCCAGAGATACCATAGTGAAATTCCAAAACAGCAGCGACAAGGCGACGGTACAAGAAGCACTCAAGGAAAAATCCCCCAATGTATTCGAAAATATGGCTCTAACCTTCTACATCGACCTCTCTGGGGGCACTCTACTGTGGCGGAGATCCCTGCAGGCTTTTACCACTCTCCTTAGGAACAAAAAAATCCACTACAGATGGTGGCTGTCCCGCACGCTCCTAGTACAGCATGGAGAATTCTCTTACCCAGTCCACGACATGCAGGAAGCAACAGCACTCCTAGACACCCTAGGCCTCCTGCGGGAAGCTTTGCAGAGTAATGGGCCTCGATGGGGCAACTGCACAGGTACACGTATGGGGCCCAGTGAGAAGTACTCCATTTGTTCCGCAACAAACCTCACAGGACCCTTGAGCTATGGTTACTATCTGAGGCGAACATCACTCACACACGAACCTGTTAACATAGGGGTTCTATGTTTTCTTTAACATAGGGGTTCTTTACCGTTCTCTGTAACAATTCTTTTGGTTTTTGGTTTAATACCTTATGTTTTGTAGATAAATGTTTATAACGCACTGAGCGTCTCATAAGGACGATTCCTCCCCCCCCCACATTAATTCAGTGGCCGTTAAATAGACACCCGATCTATTTCAAAGTGACGCATAATCATTTCATATAAGGAAGTAGAAAAATGGGGGCACTACAGAGATATGTACAATTAAATATAAGCAAGTAGTAATATAGAAATAAACAATGATATATAATATAGAGAGAGAACAATAAAAAAAGAATAGGTTTATATATACATATATATAAAGAACAAATGATACAAAGGTGCACTCCTGGACTAAATAGCATTTTTTTCAATTTATTGTGCAAAAAGTAACGACCAACGTTTCAACCTAGTCAGGTCTTTTTTTTTTTTTTTTTAAAAGACCTGAATAGGTCGAAATGTTGGTCATTCCATAATTTTTTCTTTATATATTTTGCGAGTTTGCACCCTGACCGAACTCATCTTTTTTGGTGTGTATATATATATATATAAAAACAGTCCAAAAAGAGTCCAGTAAAACCCTGGGATGAGAGAACAATCACAGTTCTATCTGAGGTAGAGGCATCTATGGAGTAGTGGGATCCGAATGAAAGAGAAAAGAAAATCTAATAGTGCAATAAAACCCAAATAGGTAGCAACCAATAAAAAAGGTCTATATGGTGCTTTATGTGAGCTAAAACCTAGCTCTAGTATAAACAGTGTACAGTGGTATAATCCTCACTTATGGGATACGCGAGGGAGTGTTGTAAGTAGAAATCTCGTCAGATGGGGACCATATGTAACATAAAATACAACAATAATGCTCACTGTGATAAAACCAGGAGAGTGTATATAAATACCAAATGGTTACTCACATTTAATTGGGTAGACACACTGCTCAATGATAGGGCATAAGTCGTGTAATCCCCACCAAGGATGCTTTGGAGTAGTAGTAGTAGTAAATAATAAAAATGGTAAAAAAAGATAAAATGGCTAACTCACAAAAAAGAAAGTGGCCAAAATACCTTTATTAAAATACAGTTAGTTAAAATTATTACCCAATCCCCTGAATCCACACTACTATTAACATAACACTTAAAATTGTGCAATGTATATGATGTGCCATGAAAATTGTATTGTATATTTGTTGAACTGCTGGTTACAGCTGTCGTGGCTAGGCAAGCCTATCTGTCAGTCTTTGCACACCAAAAATAAAGAATTTAAAAAACAAAAAACATATGAAAGGTGCTTTCCTGTAGTACGTATGTAAACCTTTTTTTTTTTTCATACCGGTATGATTGCAGGAACAATTTATAAATTACCATTTATTATTTTCATTTAGGTTTCGGTAGGCGATGGTATTTTGTGAAGGTTATACATACATACCCTTTAGAGTAGATTATGAAAATTAGATTTCTAGCAAAAACCTATACTTCCAATGTTAAAGAAACTCACCAAGCACCATAACAACTACAGAAGCTTGTTGTGGTTATGATCTGAGGAGTGTCCTGCCCCCCCACTCCCGCCTCCCCCACCTATTGTAAGGAGGCAAACCATTCTAGAATGGCTTGTCTTCCTACATAGGATCTGCTGGGCACCCCTATTAACAGTATTTTGAAAGAGGGACAATTGGGGACCTTTCAACAGGTCCGCCCTGATACCTGAATCCTAAAGACTCCAACATTAATTTTACTTGCCATAAAATAGCATGGTATGGAATAATACTGGGTGGGCAGTTTTCTAAATATACATTCATATCATTAACACTCATACTACCATGCAAAAAATTGCTTTCAAATAAGATACACGTATCTGTTAACAAATATAGTATGAAGATTATTTATTTTGGAGTATGACTGCTACAATAGGAAGGTATTTGCTTGTATTGTTTAAATTCAAATTTACAACATTTTTGCAGGGTTACAAAAAATGATACTTGTTATTTCTAAAAATCCCAGATTACACCAAATACAAATGTAAATAAAGCCATTGAACATTGTGACGGAGAGTTCTTAATAAATAGATTTTATTTCTCAAAAGGATTCTTTATTTGGTCAGAGTTTCAGTCTAAAAGGAATATTATGATCAAAGACAGTTTGTATGAGAAAAAAATGTGACGTTTATTTCTCATAAATCGCTTTCCTTTTACCAGGAAACCACTATTTTTGGACCTCATGTTTTTGGAACTGCTTGTAAATGTCACAGATGCTATTGGCTGTTTGCCACTCATTAATTCAAAGAATAAAACAGGACTGTGTGTTGAAGCTTAGATATCTTGGTTCTCATCCCTTTTTCCACAAGAGCCCAAGTTAAGTACATGTTGTTAGCATGGACACATTATTTAATTACATTATTTAAAATAAAACTTGCCCAGCAATTTCATTATGCTCTTCATGTCATAGGTGTTTCAATTGCATTGTGGGAAGGTGGTGCTGATACTGTAGCCATTAATTGTGGGCAGTTGCAAAGGAGCTTATTAATGAGCCTATTTCATCAATTATTGTTCCATGGAAAATAGCCCAGAGTACTTTACCAGTGGTAGAGAGCCACTCCAATATGGGATTTCAGGAAATAAATGGCTATTGCATCTTCAACAAGCTTCTCTATTTTAGTGCAGACTTGTTCTTATGAACCATGAGTCATAATGACTGACTGACTGAATTTAAGAAGAATTCTGATATTCAAAAATGCAGTTTTTATTTGAGATTGAGTAATCTTCATTACGTTTGTACTCTACTGTAGAGCTTTTATATGTTTAATGGTTTGTTTTCTAGACAGTGAATTGACTACCAAATTAAACAAAATATAGCATACTTGCACAAGTTATATAACTTTCCATCTTGGTTAAATTGTGTACTTAAAATTCTGTTTTGATAATAGCAACATACATTGCACATTTGCAAAGGCTTTGCAACAACTGTTCTCATTGGACAGCGCATGCAAAAAACAGCTTTCAGGAGAGATTCTTTTCTCTTTTACAATTACACACATTAAACTAATTCATTACCAGGAAACCTGCCAAAATTGTATTCACAATAGTTATATTGTAATATTTTACTACATATTACTTAATGATACGTTTTCTGATTACCACTCCATATGCATGGTGTGCAGATGAACAGTTCAATGTGTAGAAAGCAACCTTACTAGTGATGTTCCATGAAACCTAATTTTATACAAAGTTAAGTTTTCCTTAATTGCAAACTGACCTAATCAGTAAAATGTGTTTTGGGGTATTCAAATATACATATTTGTTTGTTTGTTTTTTACTTTTTTTTTTGCAGGTTCAATTGTAGCAAGCAATAGCTAAAAATATTAAACATGTCGATTAGAAAAGACTTAGAAAAATACCGCGATGTTGATGAGGATGAAATCTTAAAAAGGCTGACGGAAGATGAAATTAGAGCACTAGAAGGAGAGTTGGAAGAATTAGACCCAGATGTAGGTATTTTTTTAATTTTATAGGTAAAAAATGCAAAGTTTACAAAACAGGGTTTAAGACCCATAACAAAATTATTAGTGTTGTCTTTTCATAATCGAATCAAAACATAGTGCATGTTAAAAAAAACCACTGGCCTTTACGATTTTTACCATATATACTAATGGGACCAAACTTACCACTAACCATTTAATATGCTGTGCCCTTTTGTGTAACTGGTAATTCTTCATGCAATCTTTACATGTAAAAAGGTTACTGCACCCCAGTTAGCAGAACCAAGTGAAATAGACTATAAAGATAGAATGTTTGAACAGATCGATAAAAAAATTAATTCAGACCTGTCTTGGGTCAGCCATAACCAAAATACGTCTGAATAACTGTGTTCTGCTCCATTGGACTGATGTCAGTACGCAGGCTCCAAAGCACAGCATGATGCCATACTGCAATCCAAATCCTGAATACCAGCAGAAAACATTTGGTGGATCAGTATGGAAAGGTCTACATAGTAATTTCTAAGACTTTGCGATAGAGAAGAAAGATCCCACAGTGCCTAGACAGGTTACCATGTTGGGCCCTGCTTTCACACAGTATAGGGATAGTTTGCCATGTATTTACATGGTGCTTGGGCCCTTATCTAAGCACTGGGCTCAAGGTGGCTGACTCATGTTACTTTATGATTAATCTGACTATGCTTTCATTCTATGCTGACCCGACAGAACCAAATTGCCCAAATGTAAAACTTTAAAAACAGTAATACATTTTCCAGGAATAGATGTCCTGCCTAAATCTATCCAAAAACAACTTAGTCCAGTGGACTTCTAGATTTCTATAGGATAATATTCTGGTGTCTGCAAAGATCTCACTTCTGCTAATATCAGTGCATAAGTTTAAAATGTTCCCATGGTCTAGTGACTAGACCACAGGAGACTCTAGTCAAAGTATGGATCTAAACTAACACTTCAAGCTAAGACAGGTATTCAACTACATAAAACCTAATAAAAGTGTATGTATGTTTTAAAATCTCTCTCTATTTTGTAGAACCAGTTACTGCCCGCAGGCCTAAGACAAAGGGACCAGACCCATAAAACACCATCGGGACCATTTCAACGGGATGCTCTTCTTGACCATTTAGAAAAACAAGCCAAAGAGATGAAGGACAAGGAAGATTTGGTGCCTTACACTGGAGAAAAACGAGGTGTGTTCTAACACTTGTTTAGCAGTGTTGAAGAGTATTTCAATGAATACTAGCATAGAGAGAGAGCTATATTGTTTGTCAAACATTGGTGATATGTACATGATGGGTAGGCTCTAGATGGTGATATACCAGTAATATACAGGTAATATACAGGTGCTGTGTTTTTTAGGTTGGTGAATGGATGAGTTATATGTGATACATGTGTGTCTCATGTTTACTCATGATTAGTTCATGGCTGCTGTGTAGATATTGACATGGCTTCATCCTTGTGACAGTTATGCTTCTGTTTGATCCTTAAAGGTGGATATAGTAGTGCAGAGAGCTATCGGAGATGTGGAATGTGCAGTGTATAGCCTATGGTGAGGCCATCCTTTATATGATGACTGCTCTGGTGTACCATACGAGGGGATTAAAATAAAGTCTGTATGTACTTCCTGGAAGTGTTAGGAAATATGTCTGAACTGTAACTGTTAAGTTGATTCCAGCACTATTATAGGCAGATTGCTTCAAGATGTATGAATGAATTTTGAACCGTAGAACTTTCATTTACAGGAATACTCCAAGCACTATAACCACTAATTACAACATGGGCTACTACTGTTGAAGGGACAACAATATACACTAGAGCCACTATGACTTAATGTATTGGTTCTGGGGCATATAGCATGTCCCTGCTGGTGTCAGAGACACTTGGATAACCACAAGAAGGTCTTCCTGGACAAGGTCCTGCATGGAGATGCTGAAAAATGTTTGATTAAAGGTGCATATTGATGTATTTGGGCTTTGATACCAGATAGTTGAGTTCACATTGTTTTTTTAAAGGTTTGAAATTGCTTTTTCCTTGGTTGTAAGTGCTATTTAGTGTGAACTAGAACCACTGTATGCAGAAAAGACAGTTACTGTGCAGAGAATGTTACTATAAATTGATTAAATCATCGTGTGGGAGTCAAATGTCTTTGTTGAAAAAATTAAAGATCAGTAATTTGTTTTGATGCAAAAAGTTAAATCTACGACTCTTCCCGAAGCCTGTTTGCAAAATCACATTATGGCTACAACAAGCTGATGAAGTGCTAGTGACATTACTGACAGCATAAACTGACTGAGGTTGAATCACATACATTGGTTATAAGGTGCTGACACTTCAAAGATTGTTGATCCTTTGCAAAGTGGCCAATATGTAAACTATGTTGTAACATTTGTATGTAAAATAAACATTGTGAGGCGTTTATAAATTATTAAATGTAGAGTTTTATTATCATTTTGAATACAATACATGATTCAATATTACTGTGCGACTGCACTACGTAAGGCAGGAGCTGAGGTTCTAAGTTCCTTATAGGACTGGCAACTGGTTTCCATGTTTTTTTTATTTTTTGTAGGTGACTTTGAAAATACTTTGTTAACTAGAATGGATAGTTTGCATGACCATTTTATTGCCAGGAACAGAATGATGTAAGTCATCAAAGATCTATCTCACTATAGCAACCACCAGGGGTCAAGTCCTGGGAAATAAATTGTGGGAACTCACCCAAGATCCACCCCCTCCACCCCCCAAAAAAATAAAATAATAAACACTTGTATATAAAAATGCGTGCACACACACACACTCAGACATACACATACACTCACAGGCACACACTCACAGACACACACACATACTCAGACACACACACTCACAGACACACAGTCACAGACACACATACATACACTCACAGACACACACACACATACACTCACAGACACACACACACTCACAGACACACACACACACATACTCATACACACACACTAACAGACACACACACATTCCCAGATACACACACACTCACAGACACACACACACATACACTCACAGACACACATACACATACACTTACAGACACACACACACATTCCCAGACACACACACACTGACAGACACACACACATACACACATACACACATACACTCACAGACACACACTCACAAATTTTTATAATTTTTTTAAATTTAAAAATGTCCACCCAGCCTCCCTACCCGAAGAGCTGGTGTGGACCTGTCCCTGGGGTCCAGTGGGGCTTCAGTGCGGCAGACGGCTGGCTTCCTGTCAGACACGGCGAGGGAGCTGTGTTCTCTCTGCTCCCTCTTGCCGCCCGGGCTGTCTGCTGATGCCGGGAGCCGGAATATGACATCATGGGGGTAATTCTCATTCCTGGGCTACTGTACGATCTCAAAGGCAACTTAACCAATCTGGCGAATTTCAATGTGAAAAAAACTGAAAAATGTAACATGCTATATTTGATCCTGTAACTTCCCAAAACACCATAAAACCTGTACATAGGGGGTACTGTTTTACAGGTGAGACATTGCTGAATACGAATATGTGTATTTTATTGCAGTAAAAGCAAACAGTATTATGACATTCACAGTTAAAATGTCACGTAGAACTAAAAAAAATTAAAAATGTTCTTATTTTCTCCCATTTTTTTATGTTTTATTCATATTAAATTATGCTTCATAGCTAAATATTTGATGTTAAATGAGAGCCCGCTTTCACCTGAATAAAATGATATATCATAAGTGTGGGTGCACTTAATATGAAAGAGGTGAATTACGGTTGAACAGACATATAGTAAAATTCCAGGTTTTGTTTACCTTTTTTGATTACGTGTACATTTGGCTCAGTCCTTAACCCCTTCAAAACAGTAAAACGTATCACAACTATTATATCGTCAGTGTAGGTGCCATTTGTAAATAAAACATTTCACTTTTACTGGCGATATCATCGTTGTAATACATTTTACTGTTTTGAAACACTTATATTTGTGTTCAGCGAAGTCTTCCAAGTAAAGCAGTACCCCCCATGTACAGGTTTTATGGTGTCTTGGAAAGTTACAGGGTTAAATATAGTGCTAGCAAATTAACTTCCCTGGACTTTCGGCCTGGGTTGCCAGGCAGGTCCCGCAAATTGTAATTAATATAATGACCTAATTATGTAAAAATATTACATAACTATATATGTAGAATTGTTATATATATGTGTGTGTATATATCTATATATGTATATATATATATATATATATATAATTTTTAAAAATTATTTTTATTTATATATAGGTATATACTTATGTATATAGATATATTATTTCATTCTACGTATATTTTGATATCTGTATATATATATATATATATATATGTTAATATCAAAATACAGTTAGAACGAAATTACACATATATATATATATATTATTTATTTATTATTTTTTTATTTAAATTTTTTAACGTATTTACATATTTATTTTATATTATATAAAAATATATATTATTATAATTATATATATTTAATCAATATCATTCTACATGTATTTTGATATTAATATATATGTATCTATATATATATTAATATTAAAATACACTTAGGCAGTGTATGTGTATGTATTTATATGTGTATATATTGTTTTATTTTAAACTGTGTTTTAACTTTAATTGTCACTAACAATTTAATTGATATGCTTTCCTGAAGAAGTGTGTTTTCAAATATTTTTTGGAGTGGAGACTGGGTGAAAGTCTTATGGAGAAGGGAAGGGAGTTCCACAGAAAAGGTGCAGCCCTGGAGAAGTCTTGGGGGCAGATGTGCGAGTACGGACAGAGGATAGGCGTAGAGCGCAGGGGCCTCGACGGGATATATTTGTGTATTAGGGAGGATAGGGAGGCTGGAGCAGCATTATGTAGGGACTTGTAAGCAAGTACCAGAATCTTAAATTGAGCCCTATATCTAACTGAAAGCCAATGTAGGGACTAACAGATGGGGGAGGCGTGGGAGGTGCGGGCAAAGAGGAAAATGAGCCTCATTAATTATAGTTTGCAGTGGTGCAATCTGGAAACATGTAAGAAGAAGAGAAGGGGATTGCAGTAGTCAAGGCGAGAAAGAACAGCGGCATGCACCGGCACCTTAGCTGTGTCTGGCATTAAATAAGGGCGGATGCAAGCTATGTTTTAGAGATGGAAGCAGCAGGATTTGGCGATCGACTAGACATGAGGGGTGAAGGAGAGGTCAGAGTCAGAGATGGCAGCGCCGTTGACTTGGAGGGAGACAGACATGGGACTAGCAACACTTGAGGGAGGAAAGACCAGAAGTTCTGTTTTGTACAGGTTCAGTTTAAGGAAGTGAGCAGCCATCCAGTTGGAAATCGCAGAGAGGCAGTCAGAGACACGAGTCAAGATGGGCAGAGGGAGATCAGGAGAGGACAGGTAGATTTGTGTGTCATATGATGATTTTAACATTTAAGCATATGCTTGTATGTGATTACCTACATTATACTTTATATCCCTTAAAATGACCACAACAAAAAATTAGGTACCTCCTCAACGGCAACTAAGAATAAATGTTTGGGAGTTTATATTATGATACATTGTACAGCGCTACGGAATTTGCTGGAGCTATATAAATAAAATAATAATATAACAATAATAATAATAATAATAATATATGCATATCTAAATAAATATTTAAAATTAAAAAGTATACCATCTTTAAAACGTCATAATCACCAAACAAGCTAATAATAAATAATCTCCATTTGTTGTGGTTTTAAACATTTTCCAGAATGGAGCGCAGCTGTTCAGTGTTTGGTGGACAGACAAGTTTAAGTTTATAGGATGGCAGATGTTACAGAGTTAGTTTTGCTGAGTGGCTTGATGAGTGGCTGTTATGTTTGGTCTTTGTGAGTGGCTGATATTTCACAAGACAGGGCTGTTCCTTTGTTCCCTTGTCTGGCAATCATTCAAACTTTCATAACTCTTCCTTAGGGGATAATCCATAAATAGATGTTAGTCTAACATTCTTGGACTATTGTTGCTCTCTCTGAGCAGTGCCTGAATACTATCTCTTGCTAACAGATTTTTTCAGTTCACATGGAGTACACTGACAATGTAAACGGCATATGAAAAGAATAAAATGAGATATAATGCTCACTGTTTCAAACAATAGTACTTTAAAAAAATATATATATAAAATCTACTCACAATTTCAAGAGCACCTTTTGCTCAATTATATCATCTTGGGTGGTATGATCCACCAAGGATATATATGTAGGTAGATGGGGAGATTAAAAAATAAATCGCAGGATAAAAAATAAACATAAAATTGTGAGGGTAAAAAGTAAAACAATGTTTACTGTAATATAGAAAAACAAGTAGCAAGAAAGGTGAGAATGGACAACAGCTCAATTAGCCTGCCCTTCGGTGGGTCCCCGCTCAGGTCTCAAGCTGGTTTTAGCTCATCTTGTGCCATTACAGAGAGAACATATCTGAAGCATATCAGACCGGTCCCACTCGTACGGGCAGTCCAGATCCGAAATGCCAGCAATATATATAAAAGACTGTTCCTGTAATGGCTACCCATATAACCCTAGCTATTAAAGGGACACTATAGGCACCCAGACCACTTCATCTCAATGAAGTGGCCTGAGTGCCATGTCCCCCTTGTTTACTCCTGCAATGTAAAAATTTAAAATAAAGAGAGAAAAAATATTAGATAATAGAAACCATCTAATATAGATTCAGTAGTGGTATATACCTTTAGATTTTAAATCTTGTTTGTTGCAATGCTAAGAAGACATCATGTAGCTTATATTCAATGGTTAAAACAAAGGGGTAAAAACTTACCTTTTTCCAGCGCTGGGCGGGGAGCTCTCCTCCTCTGATCCTCCTCTTCTCCTCCCCGTCGGCTGAATGCGCACGCACGGCAAGAGCTGCGCGCGCATTCAGCCGGTCACATAGGAAAGCATTCATAATGTTTTCCTATGGACGCTGGCGTGCTCTCACTGTGAAAATCACAGTGAGAAGCACGCAAGCGCCTCTAGCGGCTGTCAATGAGACAGCCGCTAGAGGAAATAGGGGAAGGCTTAACCCATTCATAAACATAGCAGTTTCTCTGAAACTTCTATGTTTATGAAAAAATGGGTTAACCCTAGCTGGACCAGGCACCCAGACCACTTCATTAAGCTGAAGTGGTCTGGGTGCCTAGAGTGGTCCTTTAAGTCCAATGTAAAAAAAGTCTCTGAATAGATACAATTGTATCAATCAAATAAAAGTTCACAACAATCAGTTATTTTGTTAGCTATTTCAGTTATTTCCAGTTATAATCAAACTAGGGTATGTATACTGGATTAGCTGAATTTATATAGTACAATATTATAGTGTTCTTGCAGATGCAGCAATGTGATAAATAATAATGTACTTCTCTTGAAAGTTAATATAATGACTAACAGATCATAATAAGTGACCTGTAATTAGATGAAGATCGCTCCGTTCTGGAAGAGACAGAGTTCAAGATCCATAGTGCTTACTGTATTAAAATATTTATTGTACACCAAATTAAAAATTGCACTCACAATTTCGTAAAAACTATTCATGCTGAATTGGAGTCAGGAAAGTATGGTGTAAGCAGCTGTTGTATGGGTCCAATTGGACTGCAGTAATGGGCGACTGGCTGAAAGTGTCAGCTGATCGCTTTCCAGTCTGATATGCTTCAGATATGTTCTCTCTGTAATGGCACTAGATGAGCTAAAACCAGCTTGAAATCTGAGTGGGAACACACCGAAGGGCAGGCTAATTGAGCTGTTGTCCGTTCTCACCTCTCTTGCTACTTGTTTTTCTCTCCTTAATGACAGCCACCTATTGCTGGTATGAATTGATATGGATGAGCAAGAGTGCAGTCTCTGCCTTAGCCATATTTCCAGTGTTTTCCAGGCTGTAGGTAGACAAGCACCCTCATTCTGTGTTAAACTACCTGAAATGGTTTAACACTGAATGGAGGGAGAGTGCCAGGGGACTTCAGACACTCTAACTATTTTAATGAAATACAATGCTAAAATGGTTGCAGTATCCCTTTAAAGGGTCAGTTTATAAAAGTCTGAATAATTACAGCATTTGTGCAACAGTGCACACTGGATGCTTTCCCCTGATTCCATGTGCATTCTTGAACTGTGTGCAAGGAATCATGGAGCCTTTCCATTTGATTGGGATACCGGGCTAAATTGTGTTTATTGGAAATATTATGTGTTTTAGTTGGTGTGATGATGTGCTAGTGGAAGTTCTTCTTTAAACACTTTTGTGCAATGTGTAGTATTTCTGTTGCTTTTGGCCAAGGTCATCTGTGATCTTTTTGCTATGAACACCATCTAGGGTTGCTTGCTAATGCTGCTTATTGATAGTCTGCCATCTGATGTGTGCAATACTTACCAGCAGAACATTTTCTAAATCAGCATTGTTCTTTGCCTTGAATTGTGGCATCTCATATTTTAATATTTATCAGTTTCATCACGGGCTATTTGGAAAGAAAGTCACATTTATACAAGAGATAGAAGTAGATAGAAAACACAAGCATAATCTATTTATCGCTTAAAGACAAACATTTCACTTATTTTTTGTTAGTTTCTCGTCTTTTGAAAAATGTTTTGTTTTATAAAAGTAAACAAAAATTACATTTCATTCGAAATGTTAACCAGAATTGACTCTGCGTTAATCAGTTTTTGTATTCTTCTGCATCTTTTCACAGTGATGTCCCATATTACTCGTGTTCAGTTTTCATTTCCATTTTCAGTGATGACTGTGAAAATAGTTAATTATATATATTTCTATTTCTAGATGATCATTCTGGATATCCATGATATTCTTTTGATATAAATGAAATAAGTCAAGTTTAGAAATTAAAAACGTATGTTAGGTATAGAAGCTTGCAATTTGATCAAACACACAGTTAACAAATATATGTGTCAACCTTTCTAATTCATACAACAGTGAAGGGACACTGAGCAACAAGGCAATTTCAGCTTAATAAAGTGGTTTAGTTGTAAAGATCATGCCCTCAATATGGATGAGATTTAAACAGTTTCCCTATATACTTCCTGAAAAAGAGTTAACATTTTTTTAGCTTCCCTTATTGCACAGTGTGTCTAATGTGGCATTTCTTACTTCCTGCTTGTTAATTGCTTGTTAGAACATGCAACAGCCTCTTGTGTGTGAGTAACGTTCAATTAATAGAGAAGAGATAACTTCTTAAGTAAACATGCTGTGCTGTAAGATCTGATTGAAAATTAAACCACTTTGTCAGTTACAGCCAGAGGGGTGTGGCTAGGTCTGCATAAACAAACACAAAAAGTGATTTAACTCCTAAATGGCAGAGAAGGGAACAGTGAACCTACAGGGGCATGATCTATACACAAAAACTGCTTCATTAAGCTAAAGTCTTTTGGTAGTTAGAGTATCTCTTTAACAAAGTCCATAGAGACAGCCAGGGAAAAGTTGAAAACAAATCCATCAATCTTGTTGATATAAAAATTCATGGGGTTTTTCCTAAAAGAAAAATAGCCCAAGTTCAGTTAAAATTTTACATGTTTCTTCCATGAAATGGGATTACTCATAGTTGGTATGATTATTACTTGTATTATTATACTTTTTTTTTAACAATACTTGCTTCAATGTGCTGTGTTAACAAAAATTTATAAGAATAAAAAATGTTATTTCTATGCAGGAAAGCCATGGATTCCTAAGAAGACGGTGGTTGACCCTGTTTTAGAAAATGTAACTTTGGAGCCAGAACTAGAGGAAGCTTTAGCCAATGCGTCTGACGCAGAGCTCTGTGATATTGCTGGTGAGTTGTAGATTGAATGAATTATGGATTGTAAAAGGTTGTCAGATTATTAACACTACAGTTTTAAAGACCATCCTCCAGTTGGTAAAGAAAATAAACTAAAAAAATAAAATTGCTTACCTTCTTTCCAGTGCCGAGTCTCCTTTGGTGCTGCCCTGACCTCTCCCTTCGTCTGATGTCATACTGGAGGTTTAACTCTGTTTAATCTATTATAAGGTACTGAGAGTTGTACTCCAGCATCTGAAACAACCAAAGCCATAAGCCCAATTTGGAGGAACTTGGCTTTTGTAAACTGCTAAAGAATAAACCTCGTTTCCCAAGTCAACAACAATTACTGTTTAAAGGAACACTCTGGGTACCATAACAACGTAATTCATTGAAGTTGCTATGGTGCCAGGAGGTCCTGGCTACCATCCTACCTTTAGAGGTTAAATGTTTACAAATAGTTTAACCCAAAGTGCATCCACACTGCCCCTTGCCTTCTGGCGATGGTCCAAGACTTCAATGGACAGGGCACTAACAAGCTGAGAGTATTAGATGACAGTCTCAGCCTATCATTAGCTCCCCATTCACAAAACTGTGTGAGAAAGGTATGTACCCCTTTATCACTGTGTTTTCATATGACTGTGTGTTCATATGACTGTTTCAATAATAATGTAATAATATTGAAATATTTCTCTCTAGGTGAATGTTTGAGCTGGGAGCCATAGAATCGATATATATGTGTCAATGACAAATTGGGTGCAGATAGCAAACATTGTGATGGGGTCAAGTGGTTTACTGGGTTTGTCATACATTTTCCAGTTCAGCTATTTTGTTCTACAGGGAGTGCAGAATTATTAGGCAAATGAGTATTTTGACCACATCATCCTCTTTATGCATGTTGTCTTACTCCAAGCTGTATAGGCTCGAAAGCCTACTACCAATTAAGCATATTAGGTGATGTGCATCTCTGTAAAGAGAAGGGGTGTGGTCTAATGACATCAACACCCTATATCAGGTGTGTATAATTATTAGGCAACTTCCTTTCCTTTGGCAAAATGGGTCAAAAGAAGGACTTGACAGGCTCAGAAAAGTCAAAAATAGTGAGATATCTTGCAGAGGGATGCAGCACTTTTAAAATTGCAAAGCTTCTGAAGCGTGATCATCGAACAATCAAGCGTTTCATTCAAAATAGTCAACAGGGTTGCAAGAAGCGTGTGGAAAAACCAAGGCGCAAAATAACTGCCCATGAACTGAGAAAAGTCAAGCGTGCAGCTGCCACGATGCCACTTGCCACCAGTTTGGCCATATTTCAGAGCTGCAACATCACTGGAGTGCCCAAAAGCACAAGGTGTGCAATACTCAGAGACATGGCCAAGGTAAGAAAGGCTGAAAGACGACCACCACTGAACAAGACACACAAGCTGAAACGTCAAGACTGGGCCAAGAAATATCTCAAGACTGATTTTTCTAAGGTTTTATGGACTGATGAAATGAGAGTGAGTCTTGATGGGCCAGATGGATGGGCCCGTGGCTGGATTGGTAAAAGGCAGAGAGCTCCAGTCCGACTCAGACGCCAGCAAGGTGGAGGTGGAGTACTGGTTTGGGCTGGTATCAAAGATAAGCTTGTGGGGCCTTTTCGGGTTGAGGATGGAGTCAAGCTCAACTCCCAGTCCTACTGCCAGTTCCTGGAAGACACCTTCTTCAAGCAGTGGTACAGGAAGAAGTCTGCATCCTTCAAGAAAAACATGATTTTCATGCAGGACAATGCTCCATCACACGCGTCCAAGTACTCCACAGCGTGGCTGGCAAGAAAGGGTATAAAAGAAGAAAATCTAATGACATGGCCTCCTTGTTCACCTGATCTGAACCCCATTGAGAACCTGTGGTCCATCATCAAATGTGAGATTTACAAGGAGGGAAAACAGTACACCTCTCTGAACAGTGTCTGGGAGGCTGTGGTTGCTGCTGCACGCAATGTTGATGGTGAACAGATCAAAACACTGACAGAATCCATGGATGGCAGGCTTTTGAGTGTCCTTGCAAAGAAAGGTGGCTATATTGGTCACTGATTTGTTTTTGTTTTGTTTTTGAATGTCAGAAATGTATATTTGTGAATGTTGAGATGTTATATTGGTTTCACTGGTAATAATAAATAATTGAAATGGGTATATATTTGTTTTTTGTTAAGTTGCCTAATAATTATGCACAGTAATAGTCACCTGCACACACAGATATCCCCCTAACATAGCTATAACTAAAAACAAACTAAAAACTACTTCCAAAAATATTCAGCTTTGATATTAATGAGTTTTTGGGTTCATTGAGAACATGGTTGTTGTTCAATAATAAAATTAATCCTCAAAAATACAACTTGCCTAATAATTCTGCACTCCCTGTATAATTTGAAATTCACTTTTAATTCCCTTTGAATTCCCAACGGTCTGTCCTTTCTATTATTAAGAAAAGGCTAGAAATAGAGTTTTTCCTGAGATAAAATAAAATTCTAAAAACAAGATCATTTTTTAAGATTAAAACTTTTAAAAAGTTTATACTGGAAACCAGGGAAAAAACCCCAGATAATGTTATGGGTAAATTGGACTGCATTTTTATTTATTTCAAGTACCCTTATTAAGCAGACTGTAATTAAAGGAATTCAATAGTGTTAAAATACAAATCTGTATTCCTAACACTATAGTGCCCTATCACCCAATTTCAGCGCCGATATTCCTCGGCACTGGGTAGTGCTCACCTCCTCTGACGTCATCCAACGTGGGGGGACCTAATCCACGTGTTTGGAAAGTGTTGCGAGCACACTAGGCCTTCTCCATAGGAAAGCATTGGAGAAGGCCTAGTGTCTTGGGGATTTCACTGATGCTGGATGTCCTCATGCAGAGCGTGAGGATGTCCAGCTTCGTTTAAGAAACTCAGAGTACTTTAGAATCCCAAAAGCTCCTCTAGTGGCTGTCTGATGTTTTACATTGCAGGACTAAGTGGGACAGGGAAACTGCATCCAGACTACTTCAATGAGATGAAGTTATCTGGGTGCCTATAGTGTCCCTTTAAATTATATAAAATTGTAATCCTGCTACCAGAGCAGTACTGCTGAGGGTCAGTCATCTGCTACTTTATTTACCATGAAGCAAGACAGATTGAAAACAATGAAGGAAGGGTAAAGAGGTTTTGTTGAATGTCGTTTGGGTCTTATTAGAACAAACTAATTGGAAGAGCATCTTTAAATCATAAATGTAGAATTTTTTTTCTATCCCCTATTGCCATTTGCCTTTATTTGTATTTATTGTCTTTTCTTCATCGTGCTAAATCTCAATATCTGGGGGACTCCATTTTGTTCTCCTTTGTCTATGATGTCTGCAGTTTGCCCTACAAACAAAAAAGGATTACTGTAAAAGCAAAGCATGCAAAGTGACAGGGCAGCTTTAACCAAATAATTGAAGCAGTATTTTTTTTAATCTCAATTAACATTCTCTGTTGGTTATTCGTATAACATAACATCTAGTTATTATGGTCTTACATAATAAGTTTCCAAGTAGCACAGTTTTGGTGTTAATATTTTTTTTAAGTGAATAACCATGCTTAGTGTTCCCACAATACACACATTCATATCAGAGACTGCGGACACTGAAAGATTCCATCTGTTTGAAATACTTAGGTAGCATCTCATGTATTAGTGTTTGGTTGTCATTATGAGCAAACTAATAGCAGTAATAGCTAATAACAGTAGTAGCAGAGTGTACCATATACTTGGTAATAGGGTGTATATTGCCCAGTATTAACATAGTGTGTATTGTATGTTCAGTGTATGTGCTTGTGTGTGTATACACATTGCAAGTACAGGGTACATTTTGCTATTAATTGTATAAAATCATGTGTTGGCAGTGTGTGTGTGTATGTGTATATATATATGTATGTGTATATTTATGCATGTATATATGTATAAAAGCAAATAAAAGGGTGCACTCAAAGGTCTGTGAAAATAGTTAATTATATACGTGTTTAATTAATCACAAAATTACATAGGTGTCTGACCGACGTTTTGACCCGTTCGGGTCTTCCTCAAGATCCACAATTTTTGGGTGATTTTATATATATATATATATATATATACATACACACATACTCACACGCACTCTGCGAACACATAATAAAATAAAATTAAAAGCAGAACGTACCACGTACTTGCAATGTGTACACTGCCAGTGTTCGAAGTGAAATTAGAGAACGTACAACCACATCCAATAATAACCAGACAGTAAAGACTTTGTTGTGACAGTTAAACTTACTAAAAATATGTATTAATGGATTTCCAGATCTGATCAGCTCTGCCTCACCTGCATTAGTATCCATAGTGCTACAATCACTGTGTATCATTTTATCCGTCCTAATTCACATTTCCAGCCAGTCCTTTTTATCATACTGAAACTATATCTGTTTCTTCCAGTTTTCTTCATGCCCCATGACATCATCAACCTTTTAGAAGCCTCTGAGGGATTGTAAGAAATTGCTTTCAGTACATCATGTTAATGTTCTGTAATGTTGTGCTTCTTTTCCAAAAATAAGAATGCAGGCCCGTCTCTAGCTTCTCTTGCTAAAGAAGGAAACAAATTGGCCTTGCTTTGTTTTTATGGTGTTATGCTCTGCTATCCTGCGGTATAATGCTTGCTGTTAATGTTATCTTCTCTGTGTACGCAGTCAAGATAGCTTTGCTTTGTGTATACAGTTCTTGTTTATATCTTCTCTTTAAAGGACATAATTTCTCAAGTGTTGCCATATATGCCAGTTTTGTTTGAGAAAAGCTCATCGCCTCTCACTCTATTTTGTCTTATTTCATACATAGGTATAGCACTTGTGTCATTGTGTTTGGCTCACAGAGCATTATGGGAGCTGTAGTCCACCAACAGCGGGAGGGTGCTGTTCAAAACCCCCAGGCACTTTTTCCTCCCCATCTATATTCCACTGTAGACCGAACAAGTAAAAGTTGTTCCATGTGCTCTTTGAAAAGGAAAGAACTATGTCACCTGTCCTCTCCCTAGTTCTAACTGCTAATAATGCTTTTTTTCTAAAGATGAAAAATATATTTCAACTGGATTATGTGTGTCATTGAAACAGCCAGAACTATATTACCTGTCAGTAGTGATGTCCGAACGGTTCACCGAACGGTTCGCGAACGGTTCGCTACGAATGGTTCGCCGCGGACTCATCATTGAGTAAACTTGACCCTGTACCTCACAGTCAGCAGACACATTCAAGCCAATCAGCAGCAGACCCTCCCTCCCAGACCCTCCCACCTCTTGGACAGCATCCATTGTGAAGCTGCATTCTTAGTTAGCTGTCCAGGAGGTGGGAGGGTCTGGGAGGGAGGGTCTGCTGCTGATTGGCTGGAATGTGTCTGCTGACTGTGAGGTACAGGGTCAAAGTTTACTCAATGATGAGTCTGCGGCGAACCGTTCGGGACATCACTACCTGTCAGCCAAGAAAAACTATTTTATTATGACATTGTGTCCCACAGACACACACAACATAAATTTGTGGTGAGCTTTCATATGTAATGATGCTAATATGGCATTGTAATTCTCATCCTTGTTACAATGCATTTTCTAAGATGATAAGGTGACACATAACAAGCACCTGAAATAGATCATGTCTGCCAACAGTCTGTTTTTGCTGGCCAAATCCAAAAGCATCCAAAGCATTGAGAGTCTCCGGGACTTAACCAACAATAATTAGGACACTTATGGTAAACGGTCCCCCCATTCCCTCATTACACACACTCTACTACATGGCTTACAGTAGCCCAGGTGCAAGTCTGCAAATACTTGGTCCTTCTTCTCATTATCTGATTGTGAAATTGGGGGCAATTTATGTACTAATGGGCCATGGGTTTCCAATTCCACAATGCCCACATCCTGTATCTCTGTATTAGTCATAGGACATGGAGTACATTGGTCATGGGTACCCTACCCTCCACAAATGCAATGTATTACAATACGGGACCCCAGTTTTTTGGTCCCAAGAGCCATATTAATTTGATGTGACAAGAGATATCCAATGCCTTATATAAATTGGGGTCCAGGGATTTTGTATAATTCCCATCTTAAATATCTGTGTGCTTCTTGAGACTGATGGGAATTATATTCCAGGGCTACAGCCACATCTCAATGCTTCCAAAATTCATTCTGCCCCCTCTTATCAATGATATGTAAGGTCAGGTACAAAGGAGAGTGAGACACCATATTTCCCTCTGTCTAGCTTCTTGTCCGGCCTTTGATAAGTCATGTTTTGTCCCAATGAAATCCAGGCCCAGTGTTCGGCAGTGTCACATCACAACGAGCAATGCAGTAAATCCATATTGCATGGGGTGATATGGTACTGTACAACAAGGTGTTTGAAAACATAACCTCTTCTTTGAAGTAACAGGCAAGTTATGTAGTTATAGCTATATTTCAAATATATAGGCCTCAGCTGCATATTGTTAGAAGAGCTTTTCAAAAGATATTTCAAAAATGTTTTCAAATATTAAAATATCAAAAATATACAATAAATTAAAAAAAATATCAATATGTAAAAACATTTAAAAATATTACAATATTTTTTCAAAATATGAAATCATCTTAAAAGTTTATTCAAAAATATAAAATCGGGGGTATAGATGGAAACATTACTGTTCTGCATCACCTGCACATCTGGACTTTAAAATATTAAAGGACCACTCTAGGCACCCAGACCACTTCAGCTTAATGAAGTGGTCTGGGTGCCTGGTCCAGCTAGGGTTAACCCTTTTTTTTTTTCTAAACATAGCAGTTTTAGAGAAACTGCTATGTTTATAAATAGGTTAATCCAGCCTCTAAAGCCTCTAGTGCCTGTCTCATTGACAGCCGCTAGAGGTGTTTGCGTGCTTCTTACTGTGAAAATCACAGTGAGAAGACGCAAGCGTCCATAAGAAAGCATTATGAATGCTTTCCTATGAGACTGGCTGAATGCGCGCGCAGCTCCTGCCGCGCATGCGCGTTCAGCCGAAGAGGAGGAGAGGAGGAGGAGAGCTCCCCGCCCGGCGCTGGAGAAAGGTAAGATTTTAACCCCTTCCTCTCCCCAGAGCCCGGCGGGAGGGGGACCCTGAGGGTGGGGGCACCCTCAGGGCACTATAGTGCCAGGAAAACAAATATGTTTTCCTGGCACTATAGTGGTCCTTTAATGTGTGGCACAGAAATCATGTTTCTACAGCTATCCCAGAATTCCCAGCTTGACATGTAAATAAGCACAGACAGGCATTGTGTTTCAGATTTCACACTGCATTTCTTCAAGTACCCTTAGCTAAGGTTAACTATTTTAAACACAGCATTTTTAACACCGCTTTTTTATTCAAGTGACACTACGGACACCAAAACAATTTCAACTAAACAACTTCATCTAAATGATGTTGTTATGGTGCCAAGGGCCCCTGGAGGCACTCTTATCTCAAGAGGTTAAACCATTCCAATCCCCTGCAGGCGGCATCCAGCTTCTGAATTTTCAATTGGTGACTCCTAATTCAGTAAATTGGCTTGGAAAACAACATACCTTTTCCAAACTAGTTTAGTGAATATGGTGTCACATGACCGTTCTCAGCCAATGAGCAGCACCCTTTGTTTCCTGAATTGGAAATTTCTGAAGCTGCCGGTGGGGGGAAGTGGACATCTCTGCTGGATGCAATTTTAGTGTTAAACTGTTCAAGAATGGTTTTGCCCCTTAAGATAAAAGTGTCTCCAGGGGCCTCCTGGAACCATAACAACTTAATTTAGATTGAGTTGTTTTGGTGCCTGAAGTGTCCCTTTAATCATCCATAGTTGTAAGTGAACAGGAAAGTCTGCGCCCAATGTCCAGTTTGAATTATGCAGTTGACGCACAACAGTAATTTTTCTATCTGCACCAATTGTGGGGAGTTGTATTGGGAGGGGGGGGGTCTCTCCACAAATTATTTAGCACATATTTATCTTTTAGATTACAAAAGCAGCAATATAGTATTGTACTTTGGCAGTGATTATTATAAAGCAGCAACATATTAAACAGAAATAATTGACAGACTACATACCATTAAACTATTAGTATTTCAGACATACCGTAGGGGTCATCCTCTCTTTTTTTATATATAGTATGACACAGATGCAAATACAATGCATGTAGTATGTTTGAGCAATTAGCATTTACAAAGTGTTACGGTACATAGTTTGATTAATGTGCTTGCGGTGACTGTCCACCTATGCATTTTGGTTTGCAAATCAAGTTGCATCAATGATATAATGTGTATCCAAGTGGTTTGTCAGGTTCTTTACATGTTTTCTGCATGGCATATACTTTGAGGAGCATGCAGTGCTGAAACTGTGTGTGTTGTTTGTTCATCAATACATGGATTATTGAGCATTTATTATTGGTGGTCTTACTGCATTTAGAGAAACTAGTTAAACAGACATATATGTGTGGAAAAAAGTATCTGTGTTTAAAAAAAAAAAGAAATTCAGAGAAGTTACAAGTGGGAAATATTTGTAAATAATCTGTTTCAATTGAAATTACATGTACATGAGGACGTATAAGATATGTAAATAGACTGAGTATGAAGACAGAGATATTGCTGTAGAGTTGTGTTTTTACACATCTTACAAAAGTGATTACACCCCTCACATATTTGTAAATATTTTATATCTTTTCATGTGACAACACTGAAAAAAAAGGGCACTCTGCTACAATGCAAGCAGTAAGTGTACAGCCTGTATAACAGTGTGAATTTGCTATCCCCTCAAAATAACTCAACACACAGCCATTGATGTCTAAACTGTTGGCAACAAAAGTGAGTACGCCCCTAAGTGGAAATGTCCAAATTGGGCCCAAAGTGTCAATATTTTGTGTGACCCTCCATTATTTTCCAGCAATGCCTTAAACCTCATGGACATGGAGTTCACCAGAGCTTCACAGGTTGCCACTGGAGTCCTCTTCCACGCCTCCATGACGACATCACGGAGCTAGTGGATGTTAGAGACCTTGAGCTCCCTCACCTTACATTTGAGGATGCCCCACAGATGCTCAATAGGGTTTAGGTCTGGAGACATGCTTGGCCAGTCCATCACCTTTACCTTCAGCTTCTTTAGCAAGACAGTGGTCATCTTGGAGGTGTGTTTGGGGTCATTATCATGTTGGAATACTGCCTGCGGCCCAATCAGAAGGGAGGGGATCATGCTCTGCTTCACTATGTCACAGTACATGTTGGCATTCATGGTTCTCTCAATGAACTGTAGCTCCCCAGTGCCGGCAGCACTCATGCAGGCCCAGACCATGACACTCCCACCACCATGCTTGACTGTAGGCAAGACACACTTGTCTTTGTACTCCTCACCTGGTTGCTGCCACACACGTTTGACACCATCTGAACAAAATAAGTTTATCTTGGTCTCATCGGACCACGGGACATGGTTCCAGTAATCCATGTCCTTAGTCTGCAGGTCTTCAGCAAACTGTTTGCGGGCTTTCTTGTGCATCCTTTTTAGAAGCGGTTTCCTTCTGGGACAACAGCCATGCAAACCAATATGATGCAGTGTGCGGCGTATGGTCTGAGCACTGACAGGCTGACCCCCACCCCTTCTCTGCAATGCTGGTGGCACTCATACGTCTATTTCCCAAAGACAACTTCTGGAAATGATGCTGAGCACGTGCACTTAACTTCTTTGGTCGACCATGGCGAGACTTGTCCTGAGTGAAACCTGTAATGTGACACCGCTTTATGGTCTTGCCCACCCTGCTGCAGCTCAGTTTCAGAGTCTTATCAATCTTCTTATAGCCTAGGCCATCGTTATGTAGAGCAACAATTCTGTTTTTCAGACCCCTAGAGAGTTCTTTGCCATGTTGAACTTCCAGTGACCAGTATGAGAGAGTGTGAGAGCGATAACACCAAATTTAACACACCTGCTCCCCATTCACACCTGAGACCTTGTAACACTAACGAGTCACATGACATCGGAGAGGAAAAATGGCGAATTGGGCCCAATTTAGACATTTCCACTTAGGGGTGTACTCACTTTTGTTGCCAACAGTTTAGACATTAATAGCTGTGTGTTGAGTTATTTTGAGGGGACAGCAAATTTACACTGTTATACTACTTTACATTGTAGCAGAGTATCATTGCTTCAGTGTTGTCACATTAAAAGATATAATAAAATATTTTGTGAGGTACTGCATGTTCTAGAGATACAGTCATTTTGAAGCATGTTGCACACTGTTGGAACAAGTAGGGTATTTGCAGCTCACAGGGTGAATATAAACATTTTTAAACTGAAAGAATAAAGCTGCAAGAATACCTAGCAAGAGCAGCAGTAAAATTGTGTTATCTGTAAAAGTTGTAATAGGAAGTTTCCATGGTGGATGTTTGTATACACTGATGGCTGTGAGTGATGTGTGTTGCTCTCCATGGAGACGCTGAACTTTCCCCTTAGAGATGCATTGATTGAGGAGATGCTGACTGGCCAAGCCTATGTTATTATAAGGAGAGAGAATGGTTAATTGAGTGCTAATATTATATTGATATGGGGTTCTATATATAAAATGAGTGGGAAATAACGTAGTGGTATGACCATGCTGACATTCTTTTTGTTTTGGAGTGTCTCCATATAGGGTGAAGCAAGTGGTCACTGATGTCTAATCAAGAAATTGGGTCTTTCATTTGTGGAGTATTGTAGGCCTCAATTTAATATTTTTTGGACAAACTCTTCAAATTATTTCATATTTTTGGACAAACTTTTCAAATTATGTAATGTTTTTGACAATATTTTAGGATGGTATGCTATATAAATATATATTTTACATACAATATATATTTGATGTTTTAATATTTTGAATAAATCATTTTCAAACTTTTTCCACAAATATTAAAAAATTTCAAAAGCTCATCCAAATATTAAAACATGTGAAAAGCGCATCCAAAAATATTAAATAAGGCCATATACATATTTTTTTGTATATTAATGTTTTGTAAGTGTAATTCTTCACCTGAAATGTAACATATTGCTGTTGATGTAGTTCCTAAGCTGTTTCAAAGAGAGGCCTGTGATTGGACCAATTGACAGCTTAGAGCGCATGCGTACTCTCCAAACCTGTGAGGGTAGGTGCTCTGCCTGCAAGGGGAATATTTTAATGTCTGTTGGCAGCATTAGGCAGCCCGAACAGAGTTCTTGACTACTAATGTCAAATATGCTGGGGTGCAATTTGCACCCAGCTCCCAATTACAAAGATCTCTGGATGTGTTTCAAGCAGAAACACTGCACATACATACTCCTACCACCATGACCACTTACGTTCCCTGAAGTAACCCTTCAAGCTACATATCTATTTATATATTTTTATAATGTGTAAAAAATCAAATCCTGCTTCTGTGTGCTAGCAAACTGTAAAAAAAAAAGCAAGGAGGGGAACAAAGAGCGAGAATTAAAAGGAAGTGAACAAGAAATTGTTAGTGCAGATCGAGAAAGCGCAAGGGAAAGGTACAGACTACAGTGATGGGGATCAGACATCTCCTATAAATATTAGCGTCAATGTTTGGTGGGACCAGTGCCAGTACTTGAGATATGAGGTTAGCAACAGTGATTGATTATTGGGAACTCAGAAGGTCAGTCTTTTTATTTTAAATTCAAGCTTGATTTGCTGAAATTCTAAATTGCATATTTAATACTAAGCCTACAAAACATAGATACTATTTAAGCTGGTAAGACCTGCACATGACTAATTGGAATGCTTTCTACGTTCTGATCTGAGTAATGATATCTTGTATTTTCCTAGCCATCCTTGGAATGCACACACTGATGAGTAACCAGCAGTACTATCAAGCACTCGCTAGCAGTACTATCGTCAACAAAGAGGGTCTAAATAGTAAGTCTTAAACTGAACGTTAAGCATTTTTTTACAGACTGTACATGGTGTTTCATAGATGTCTATGTATATATTGTTAAGTGTTTCTTGTGTGATATAGAAGGTAAACATAGATTTTCAGGGGACACATATAACATTACATACCAATGTTAAAAAAGGACCGCATGGAAAAATATGTATTTAAAGTGACCGTAATGTTTAAACTGAAATCATGTTTATGTAAAATAGCGCTCGAAGAGATTGGGAAGTATATATATATTTATATAACAAAGCTAAGGAACGTGCCTATATTTAGTTTGAATGCTGAAGAAAGGCTATATTTTATGGAAGTTCCCATCTAATCAGCGACAGTTGTAAAATAAAATACATATGCCAGAGCCACATTAGGTAATCACAACATTTTCTAGGGGCGACTATTTTTAAAAAAAATTTTTCAGTGCAAGACTAGGATTGTATAGGAACACAAACCCACGGTGAAATTTGTCCCAGTTAAAACATTTTTTTCCCTAAACAATGGGACAATGGTTCTGCCACACTCCAAACAGCACATAGCAGACCAATCTAAAAACTAATTGAAGCAATTATTGACCACTTAGGCCTTGGGCAGAAGCAGCCAAATCTCTCCCTCCAACAATATTCAGTAAATATGCATATCTATCCAGAGGGACCCCATTGATCCCTTGGGTCACTATGTAGCTATTACACTCATTTTTATATACTGTATGGAATGAGTAGATGCTGCCTACTGGTTAATTTTGCATCACTTGTATCATTGTCAAATAACCTACTCCTCCAATCCACCAATGGCTATTTAGTGAGCAAAGGGATCAACTGGGGCTCTGACACTTCATTAATCTCTTTAAATAACACATTAAGACTTCCCTGTTTGTGGGGCACAATTTGTTTAATCACAGGTCACCTTTGGTTATATGGAGTTTGTAAGCATTATCTCAGAATGTATTTAAATGACCCTCCAGACCACCAAAGCACTTTAGCTTGTTGAAATTCTTTGCGTGTCCTCTTTTTTATTTTACAAAAAGTGCAAAATCTTATTGAAATTGGCACTTTTATAATTTTTTTAATAACCTTTAGTTTAGAGCAGATTTAGACATTATGTGTTATTTTATTATATTTACAATGCACTGATCATTATAAGATCTGCCCCTCTCACCCCCCACATTATTGTTATTACATTTACTGTGCACTGGTCCTTTGAAGAGTAATTTTTCCCTTTCCTGTAGATTCGTATGGCTACTTATAGTGGTGTTTTTAGCAGGAGGTAAATTGTGTTAACAGTAATGATATATTTGTTTTTGGCCTTTGTATGCATCATATAAACTCCAAGCCAGATAAAAAAAAACTATTTATAATGGATTATTTAGAGTAATGTGTTAAAACTACTAGACACAATTCGTCTTTTTTTTTCTTAGGTGTTATCAAACCAACACAATATAAGCCGGTCCCTGATGAAGAACCTAATTCAACTGATGTAGAAGATACACTGGAACGGGTTCAGAACAATGATCCAGATTTGGAAGAGGTTAATCTTAATAACATTAAAGTAAGTGGCCATGCTCTTTTTGTAAATGCTATATATTTTATTTCTTAATGTGGTTGACAACATATGAAGGGTGCTCCCCGTGAAGAAAATGGTCAACATCTTGGACCTCGGTTCCTCCATCTCGAAAGGCTGCCTTCAGTGGTTGAAACTGTTTTCTACAATCCTACGATCAGGCAGGAAGAAGTGTCTAAGGATACCAACATCCTGCATGTGGCATAATGAGCAATGTGCTTAGGCACCAATTCCTGCCACCTAAATCTGCTCGTATTCCTTTATAACGTGTGCCCATCTCAGACTAGGGAAAAAAAGGTCTCCATGCATGAAATACAACTGTGATTTAAAGCAGAAAGCTGAGCAAGTAGATTCAATGCCTGTTTGCTAGGTATCCACAGACACCTCTGCCCAGTCCTTGTCTCCCTATAGGTGTTTGAAAAATCATGTGCCTTAGGACTGGGAGTACCTTTTCCTTACTTCTCCTCATCCAATATGTACCTCGTTGGTACTTTGCGTGATTTGTCTTTTTATTGGAATTACTTATGGGACCTTATTATTTTTTTGGCACAATGGGTTAGTTTTAATGTAGCTTTATAGCTTGATTTCCTGCAAGAAGAGTTTTCTTTTCGCTTATGTCTCGATGTGGTGATGGTGTTTTTCTGTTTTGACACACAGAACAGTCCTACTTTTTCTCTGCTCTGTCTCTATTACAGTTTTAAATGGACACATTCGAAACACAAATCAGTTTTAGCATTATGAAGTGGTTTTGGTGTCTAGATCATGCCCCTGTAGTTTTACTGCACAATTATCCGCAATTTAGGATTTACATCTCTTTGTTTATGCAGCCCTAGCCTCACCCCTCATGTCTGAGACTCACACAATCTCCCTACACACTTCCTGTAAGAGAGTTTCTTTTTTTAGCTTCCCTTATTGCACAGTGTGTTTAATTTAGGATTTCTTATCTCCTCTTCTGTTAATAGCCTGCTGTGGCCTGCAACAGCCTCCTGATTAAAGTTGAATTAAGAGCAGAGAAAAGTTTGATTAGCAGAGTATGAGATAACAACTTCTAAAATAAACACACTGTGCTAGTAGATCCAATTGAAAATGAAACCAATTTTTTTTTAAATGAAAACTGTATGAGTCTCAGCCAGGGGAGGTGTAGCTGAGACTTCATAAACAAAGTGAATTAACTCCTAAATGGCAGATACTTCAGAGTGATACTGCAGGGGCATGATCTATACACCAAAACAACTTCATTAAACTGAAGCTGTTTTGGTACTTAGAGTATCTCTTGATTTTCTTACAAAGGTTCCTAACAGTCAGACATTTTAACTAAGTAACCTCCAAGTGCTTCTGAACATGTTTTTTTGCATCTCCTTTTTTGTTTACACCATTTCTCCTCTCCTGTATGTGGAGGTCTGTTTCTTGCAGAACAATATAAGGTCTTTTCTTTCTTGCCATTTATTGTGCATTGAATGTATGCTGCATGTCAGCCTTATCCTCTCATCTGTTACATCTGTTTGACCTTATCCAATTGGTGTTTCACCCATAATGTGGTTCTGCCTGCTTCTCATTAACACTTAAGGTGTTTGGAAATTAATTCATGGTTATAAGTTAATTGCTTTCCCGCTCTCCTGAAAGGGTATAGATGCCTGTGTGTCAAGCAATAATAATTAGATAGGTAGAAAGTTTGTTCGTGCTGTATGATTATATATAACTACGTGTCTCTACCGTGCTATTTTTGTTTCACAAATTATTTTATACACAGCTACCAGTGCATATAAGCCTTGCATTCTAGAATGAATGATATGTGATGTATGTGTTTCTTTTATCTTTTAATTCTATATTTCATCATTAGAACATACCTATAGTAACATTAAAGGCTTACGCAGAAGCAATGAAAAAAAATACATACGTGAAGAAGTTAAGCGTAGTAGGAACCCGAAGCAATGATCCTGTTGCCTTTGTGAGTAATATTAGTAAAGAGTTTAACTAAATGTTTGTCTTTATGAAACTGAAAAAAAGTATATATTTTTTGAAAGTTAACATATTTGTAAAACATTTTATTTAAGAAATACAGAAGAGTAATGGAATTCAATGTAGTAGTTTTATTTTGGTATATGATTAAAGGAACATTATAGGGTAAGGAACACATATATTCCTGACCCTATAGTGTTAAAAACACCATTTAGCCCCACTGGCACCCATGCCCCACTAAATATAGTAAAATCTTGCCTTTATTGCAGTTTGTTGCTGTTTGCTCGGCCTCTGATCTGCCTGCTTGGCTGACATCATCAGAAGTGTTGCTCTGAGCCAATCACAATGCTTTCCGATATGATTGGCTGAGCTTGTCTAGTAGGCAGATCAGGGGCAGAGACAGCACAAGTCAAACACAGCTGGGCAATCAGCATCTCCTCATGGAGATGCATTGACTTAATGCATCCCTATGAGGAAAGTTCAATGTCTACATGAGGGTGTAGAGGGTGGTGACACTGAATGTCAGTGATGCACAGTGTGCAGCACTGCCCCAGGAAACACCTCTAGAAAGTACTAAAGAGGGGCCTGTGGAGATATCCCTAGGCTGTAATGTAAATACTGCATTTTCTGTGAAAAAAAACTGTGTCTACTGCAAAAAGCCTGAAGGGAATGATTATACTTGTTACAGTTAAAGTGAGAAATCAGTTAATGTGCACATTAATGAGTCACAAACCGGCTCAGGTAGTTTCACTTTATACACAGTGTGTATATCCAGGTGGGTTGATGGATTTTACTCAAATGAAGAGTTGCAAGGAATATAACAACCAATTAAGATAAAATCACAAATTCATCAACCCACCTGGATGTACACACTGTGTATAAAGTGATACTACCTGAGCCAGTTTGGGACATAAACAGGCTCTAATAAATGTGAGTTTGACCATATAGAGATTTTATTGGTCTGATTCCTGTTACAGTATTATCCTATGAGTTCTTCATTTTATATTACATAGGAATACCTGTGGTTCTCACCTCCAAATTTGGAGAAGAAATTTTATTACATAAAGGTATATCCACATGCACCTTTTTTGCACATATAGGGTGATGTGAATAGCTCTGGGAGTTAGAGATATTTTTAGATTGCTGGCGGAGGTGTAACTCTTCCTCTCCTAGTGAAGGAGGGTGTAACTAGACAATATCCTATCTACAAGCCATGGAGTTACTCCTGTTAGCTCATATAATTTTTGCAAGTGTAGTGCACAGTGTTGTCAAGAGAATCCAAATACACTCTTTCTTCGGCTCCTGAAATTCTAAATGTTAATGAGAATATTGGATGAAATATCTCTCCAATGTAATCCACTGGTTGTCCACACATTGCATACATAAGTGATACATTAGTGATATGCAGTGCATTTATTCAATGTATTGCACAACATTATAATGCTTAGATTGTTAATATGCTCTAAAAGGACATACATAGCTTGAATTGGTGCTTAATTTGATGAAGTATAAAATGTACTCTGGTGTGATAGCCAAGCTCCTGAGCCTTATACCAGCTTATATGTTTTAAGCGTGGTAATTTACAAGAGCTCTTAAAATTCCAAAGCAATCCAAAAATATCAAAAGACAAAGTTGGAGCTGCTTTGTCTTTTGGGCAAAGGTGGACATAAGTTGATAAAAGACAGAGCCCCGCTGTCAACTTTTATCCAATCCCAGCAGCTATCACAAATGACGGCTGTGAGATTCAGGCATCAATTTGTGAGGGCTCCCGTGTGATCCTCTATAGACCTCAGTGATGTACTCTCACACATGTGCAAGGGTACAGAAATTACACAGCTCTGCCAGATTTAGCACCAGAGACAGTGGAGGCTGTGAGGGACAGATTCAGGTATGTAAAACCTCCTTCATCTATAACTTGTGGCCACTGAACCCTAACTAGAGATATGACCTTCAGGAGTCTTTGCAAATTATCCAAAGACCTCTGAAAGGGGCTGACCCACTTTAAGAAAGGGCCTTTGCAAGGTAAAGGTGAATGACCTGACCATAGTATACAGGAAGAACTGCTTAGTAAACATTGTCTTTTCATAACTCTATTTCTAGTGTAACTGTATGTCTCCAGTCCTGTGCCCTTGCTGTGTACTGATTTAGGGCTTCTTCCGTGTTTAAGGCTTTGGCAGACATGCTGAAGGTCAACAGCTCATTAAAAAGCTTAAATGTGGAGTCCAATTTCATTAGCGGAACAGGCATACTTGCTCTTGTTGAAGCCCTCCAATATAATTCATCTCTAGTTGAACTGAAGATAGATAATCAGGTAAGTGCATAATCCAGACAGCTGCAATGGTGATGGAGTCACTAGCAGTGATACATGCATACATACAGAGAAATACATACACACACAGACAGTCACAATGACATACTTACATCTGTTCAACCTGGTCCCTGGGTGCATGCTGTCCGACTCTGTGGAGTCCCGTCCCGCAGCCCAGCCCCATCACTGGGCGCCAGCCGCGCTGGGTGGTACACAGGGAGCAGGGATATGATGTAATTCATATCACCGCTCCCTCCACACAGCCTGCGGCAGACACCAGGGTAGGAGGCCGGGCAGGTGGTTGAAGGCTGGGCTCCGCGGTCAGTGCGCTTACCTCCTGCCGGTCAGCCTGACATTGCACTCCCAGGGCCGGTCTGCCCTAAGGCGGCCACCTGGGCCACCTTATGGTAGCGCCGGTCCTGCATGCACCCTGTCACCCCTAACCTGTCATCCTGCCACACACCCTGTCACATATTTCCTTACACTCACATACAGTCACCCACCTACTCACAGTGACTCCGCCAACTGATTAACATATATATACACCAATCCAGCCCGACTTGTCTTATCTTACTCATTATCCATTTCCCTGTTCACGTACCTCTGTCCTAGCCACATACACCTACCAACCTGCCTAGTCACTCAGTTCTCCACAGCAGAAATTCAGAGAATCCAGAAAATAGGAACTCATATGTAGGAAAAGTACTGTAACATGTAAATAGTGGATCTCCCTCCAAGTGAATTGAGCTGGTTTTTTTTTTTTGGGTTTTTTTTTACATGGACTTATGCTTTTTGTTATAATACATATGTGTATTTTTTAATAGAGTCAGCCTCTTGGGAATAAGGTAGAAATGGAAATTGCAAATATGTTGGAAAAAAATTCATCCCTTTTGAAGTTTGGCTATCATTTTACACAACAAGGCCCCAGGATTCGAGCTTCAAATGCAATGATGAACAATAATGATCTTGGTAAGTTAAAACATAAATTAACACAAACCCAGGAGTTTTTCTTTTGGAATGTATTTGTTGGTAGCTATTTTTCTATGAAAAAAATATACTAATTATAATTCTTCCTTCAGTATACTTTAATGGACAACTTTATAACAATTATATTATGTATATATACATTTATTCCACATGTAATATTGGTCTTTGATCTTAAATGAAGAGATCCATATGAAGTATGTTTTAGGTATTTTTCTCAGTTTTCTTTTTTTTTATCGAACACTTGAGAGACAACTGTCTCATTCAAAAGCTTTAGCTTTAAATGAGACAGTTGCCTTACCCTGCTTTTTTCTGCAGGGTCATAAAAGCAGGTACATATATTTATTTCTATATTAACCTGCTTCTTCTTTCTTATGCTTTCCACACACACCTCAGGAAGGACATTGATTGAACCAATCAGTGTCCTATCCCTGGGAATGCTGGAAAAGTGCATTGGGCATGCCTGACAGATTTATGTGCAGTTGCAAGATCTCTTCACCTTGCAAGATCCTGACAGGAGAGAAGAGACGGAGTCTGATCAGTGTGATCAAGCAAAGCAGGCTCTGGTGTCAGGTTTCTTTCTTCTGCTTCTGAACAATGCCCTGTTTCTTTCATTAGTGGATTGGTCTGAAACTAAGGTGGGTATGTAAGAGGTAGAGGGTTGGATGCTGAAGAAACTCCCCTAACAGAAAGGCCTACTCAATAATTCAATCTGACCAATTTTATAGTACATTGATAAATGTTTATTACATACTTTTCAAAGTATTTCTTGTTTTTTTTTATGATTTGCATATTTGTTTAAAAGTGTTTGCTTGCTGGTTTAAACAATTATTGTCAGGTGATGCATGTCCCTTTAAGTGCTTTCTTTTTGTGTGTTTTGAATAAAACAAGTTAAAGGAAAGCACGTGAAAAGTTCTACATTAATCTGCTGGCCTTTATTAGTGAACATAAAAAATATCCATATACTGCAGGGCATATACATGCATTATCAAGGTCACTGAAGAGGGGCCTGTTTTTTGTCAAATTGTTCATAAGCAGTTTGTCAAAAAACAAAACAAAACCAGGAAATGGACCACATTGAATCATAGCACTATAACCACTGCATTGAACTGCATTTGTTAAAGTGCCTAATTAGGGATCCATAGATTAACAGCAATATCGCTGCCACATTTTAATTAAGCTTTTTTACAAGACGAGACTTCATGAGATACTAAAAATACATTAGAATGTTGAATTTGGTGATATTATCATGGAAAAGATTGTAATATGTTACATAAGTCCCTGTGTAATTTTTTGCAGACTTTTGTTTTAATTTAATAAGCTTGTTAAATGATTCAATACTGTCAGGAAACCTTTCCAAGGGATTTATCTATAAAAATTCACATAGATTTCAATGGTGACTTCTATAGATAAATCATTTTGAAAGCTTAATAAATTGAGACCTTAAATAAAGTGTTAGTAATAGAAATCTGCATTTCTAACACTATAGTTGCCTCTGCCTCCCCATCCCTTGCGTCCCCCCTCCCCAGCATGGAAAGGGTTAAAAACCCTTTATCTACTTACCTGATACCAGTGCCAATGTCCCTTACCACTGGACTGGTGTTCCGCCTCCTCTGATGTCATCCGACGGCGGGATCCTCCCTATAGGAAAGCATTGAATCAGTGCTTTCATATGGGGAATTTACTGAATCTGGGTGTCCTTGTGGAGAGCGTGAGGACGTCCAGCGTCAGTAAGACGACTAAAAGTCACCTAGCAAGCAGGAAGCGCCTCTAGTGGTTGTCTGGTAGACAGCCACTAGAGCCTGTCTTAGCACTGCAATGTTTGCAGCTGCAAAGCTAATGCAACAAGGACACTGCACCCAGACCACTTCAATGAGATGAAGTGGTCTGGGAGCCTATAGTGTCCCTTTAATTTGAATCTGATGAATTTAGACTCATAATGAAGAAGAACTCCCTTCTTGGGGTTTTCAAAACCCGTTATTTACTTACCTTATCCAGCATCGATGTCCACTCCGCACCCATGGACGTCCCGCGATGAGCAAGCGCTAATGCACATGCACGGCAAATTAACCAATGCTTTCCTATAGGGAAAATCTGACTCTGGAGTCCCTCATGAAGAGTGTGAGGACGTCCAGCGTCAGATAATGGACCAAAGATCTGTTTGGATGCAGGAAACGCCTCAAGTGGCTGTCTAGGAGACTTTCTCTGGCACTAAGGGCAAAAGCGACACTGCACCCAGACCACTTCAATTAGCTGAAGTGGTCTGGGTGACTATAGTGTCCCTTTAAGCCCCCTCTGATTTTTAATATTGCGTATCACTTAAGGCATTCTATCGGATGCATTTTAGGGTAAGGTAGGTTTGATCGAAAAAACAAATGTTCCTTTTTAAAATTTTATTGCAAATTGTAAAAGTTGGTTCTGACTTGCATCTTGTTTACAGCACGTATGCATAGAAGTGATGGGCCGTGGCATAACATTCCTGCTCTGGACATGGAGGATGTATAAGTATAGACAGAACTTCTATACATTTCTCTTGGCATCACTTCTCCATTACCTGTGCCACAGGCAGTGCTCTATGCTGCCACCTTCTGTTTTTTCAATGCAGTTTTCTATAATCTTGCTTTCTTTATATCCACCATGGTTTTATTTCCCAGAATGCCATTTTTCTTGCTCATTTCTTCTTTTTTTGTAATAATTAGATTTTACTGCATGGATTGTGCACCAATCATTATAAAAACTTCGGAAAACAAGGAAACACAAAGAGCCCTCAGCCAAAGTCATACATAAAAATTATATGATCTGTTTTGCAGTAATCCTAAGGGGATATATTGGAAAATCCTATTTTAAAAAACAAGTGAGGATAACATAATACATTAACTTAATATCAGCAGACTTTTTTTATTAGATTTCATACAATGCAGCTTCTGAATCGCATTGCTTGAAAGCGTATTGCAAATTGGTAGATTATCAATCTCACATTTCCCATTTTATATAGCACTTAGTAAGTAAAGTAATTAAAAAAAAATACAAGGCTAAAATATATTAGGAGATTACAAAAATGATACACAGAATAGCAACAGGATAAAATCAAAATTTCATGGTTGTGAGATAATTAGATTAAATGGACAATATAGTCACCAGAACAACTACAGCGTATTGTATTTGTTTTGGTGAGTATAATCATTCCCTTCAGACTTTTTGCAATAAACACTGTCTTTACATTACAGCCTAGGGATACCTTTTACCTGCCACAACTGGCCACGATGTTTACATTACAGCCTAGGGATACCCTTAACTGGCCACTCCTCAGATGGCTACTAGAGGTGCTTCCTGGGGCAGTGCTGCAGCACTGGCATTCAGTGTCTCCACCCTTTGCATTAAGACACTGAACTTTCTACATAGAGATACATTGATTCAATACATCTCTACATGGAGATGCTGATTGGCATAGGCTGTGTTTGGCTTGTGCTGGTTCTGCCCCTGATTTTCCTTTGAAAAAGCATTGTGATTGGCTCAGAACAGCACTTCTGATTATGTCAGCCAAGCAGGTGGATCAGTGACAGAGTCAGCAGCTGCAGAATTGAACAAAAGTAAGATTTTACTATAGTTAGGGAGGCAAGGGGGAGGCAAGGGGGAGCCAGGGGGGCTAGATGGTGGCTTTAACACTATAGGGTCAGGAATTCATGTTTGTGTTCATAGCCCTATAGTGTTCCTTTAACTGTAAACATTTGATGCAGAAATTGAAGAGCCCTCTTCTCAACAGCTATGTATGCTTGGCATGCGTAAGGAAATAGCACAGTTTACTGGAATAACTATACAGTGTAATATCCATAGTGTCAGTATTGCTCTGTTGCTATCGGCTGCAGAAAGTCACTACTGGCTACAAAGATTGCAGGGATATGTTTTAATTCGGAGGTGTTTAAAATGTTTTATTGAGTACATTATAGTAGATTAATCACTGATATCTGTATTTTTTTCCCCACAGTGAGGAAAAAGAGGCTGGCCGACTTGGTTGGGCCAATCTATCCCAAGTGCCGGAGTGGAGTGTAAAGCCGCGGTGAGGACTGTGCCTTATGGCAGGACCCCCTTTCATTGTTTGTTTCAGAAAGTGGAATCGTCAAAGAAGAGCAAGAACGTAGCACCTGTGCCATACCTCAGTTGTGTTTGACATTATGCATCAAATGGATCATCACAATGACAACTATGACACAATATCCATACAACTATTGTTTTTCTTGTTATTGTTTTTTTTTCCCCAGACATACAAGTCATACAACTGCTTTGGGAAATGTAACCACTTTGATCTCTGTGCCCTCAGATTTGTTTTGTAGGTAATCCTAGCTTCAGCGTATGTTTGATCAACACAAATGCTCTTCCTTCAAAAAAGGCCAGTGATTGTCACTTGATAATTACAAATGTCCTTTTTAATGTCCATGGCAGAATTAGCATTAAGGCTTGGCACCGGCTAGTTTAGGATTGTTCAGTTGGGTAGAAATGTTCCAGGTTGTACGAATACCAATATATTGAGTTTTTGTTTGTGCAGCATATGATTATTTCACATTTCATTCTTTTTTTAAACTAATCGTATTAGCCTAAGAAGTCGAAGCAGCTAGTTTTGCTTATTTGACACCTGCTCTCTATATTATGTTGCTCAGCCCAATTCCTTTTGATCAATATTTGAGAGAATTCCATTTCAGGGAACGTAAAACCTTTGTATTAGTAGAATTTGGTGGTATAAGTGATATTTGTGAATTAACAAATATAGATAGGTGAGTAAAGCACACAGTGCTAATTAGTGCAGGCTTTCCTCTGACCAGAGAGTCACTCCCAACCCCTTTTAAACATAAAACCAAAGTGAATAGAAAATATCTATAAACAATATCAGGGCGCCACAATCACTTTATAGTTATGAGCTTTCCGGATGTTCTCATAAATTGAGGAGAAAAAGAAACGATTAGAAAATAGTCATACAAAATTGATTGATTGATTAAAAATAAACAATAAAACACTTGCATTAGACAATGGCACGTTCTAATAAATGTGCAACAATTGCAATATTAACTTCAGTAGGCTTAGTCCCCCACTGGCTATCAGCCCTGTGGCACCCTGATACTGTTTGTAGATATATTCTGTTCACTTTGCTTTTATATTAGTCAATTATTCTGTTGATCAAAGCTGTTGTGAGCATAATTTTGCTTTGGTCCAATATATGCAATGTATTTAAAGCCTTTCAACAGAACACAGCACCATTTTTGTGATGTCATTTTTTTTCTTGCTGTTCTGTCACTAATGTACTAAGTATATTATTTAAGTCCATAATGTAGCACTGAACGTCATGTTACAGAAAATATATAATGGCCTACATCTTTTTGGTGACAATCACTAAATTAATGTATCCTGTTTTTATGGATTGTGAGTAAAGGTAATATGTGTATTTCCACAGATGAAAACCACCCTAAAATCTATAATAATATCTAATAAATTAGTCTGTTATACATGTTTCACATGCTTATAGTTACCATAAGATCAGCAGAGGGCAGCTTGTATTTTGAGAATTGAATTGCAGAATTGACACAAAAATAACAGATTTTACTGATTTTTGTTACTTTTGCCTAAATTCAGTAATCAGTCTGTTCTCAATAAATCTCCACTGTTTTATGTTAATAAATATAGTTAATAAACATAGTTCACAAACAGGTATTATATATATTTATATATATAGGCATCCAGATCATATTATGTCAATGAAGTGGTCTGGGTGCAGTGACCCTTTAGTTTTAATGCAATGTTTCAATTGCCGGGTTACACACAACTCTAATGGCTGCCTTCCTGACAGCCACCAGAAGTTCCCCTGTGTGAACTATGTCAAACTCGGATCTCAATCAAATGCTGCTCTTGGAGCATTGATTGGCGCAACACAGGTATTTGTTGCACATACACTCTAGCTTTCCAATGCTTCTCTATTGGGAAGCTTTGGATTGGCTGGGATGATCAATCTTGATGATCTTAACCATCGGAGGGGATGCGGTGACAACAGCACAGTGAGGGAGTAATGGTAGGTAAATAAATACCCTTTAATCCCTCTTGGGGGAATGAACACTTAAATAGGTAGGGTAAAACTATTGTGTTAGGAAAACATGTTTGTATTCCTAACCCAATAGTGTTACTGAAAGCCAGAATACCTTAACTTGTAAATTTTTTCTTTCATGTACTTCTCGAAGAGATCAGTCTGTTTCAAAATCAGATTATTTTCTATGGTTAATGGTTATTGATATACCCGCAGTTTTTATGCAGTAATGTTAAAGGTTTCAATAAATACCTATATATTTTACTTTCAAGAATTCACAATAATTATATCAGCTTCCAAGTCTAGAAATATAGGCATATCTTAAACAATTGTTAAATACGTTTTTGGTGTTCCTGTTCTTTGCTTAAAGGGACACTACAGGCACCAAAACAACTTAACCTAAATTAAGTTGTTGTGCTGCCATAACCTCGAGAATGGTTTAACCCCAAAGTTGCCTCCAGTGGCATCCGGCTTCTGAAATTTCAGGGGCACTGTTGATTGGCTGAGAGTGGTCGGCTAATGCTCTCAGCCATTCAGCGACTCCCAATTCACAAAACTGACTTGGAAAGAAACGTATCTATTACAATATTGATGACCAACATATTGTAACTGCCTCTCTCAATCATTGTTTTTACATATGTAAACAGATTTGCCAAGCTGAATCAGATAACTGTGGCCATGTCACTCTAAACCTACCTTGCTTTGATCTACTCCTCTTCTCTTCTTTTCTTATAATCAGTTCTTCTTCTCTTCGTTTTTTATCTTTTTCTCCTAAAATAGAGTAGTGACTTATGTATTTTTTATGTATTTTTCCTCCTGCTACATTTATCAAGCTCATTCACTTCCCCCATACACATTAATACTGTATTCTTGCAAATGTGCAAACCTGCAGCATTAACATGGGCTCCTGGTTGATTAAGCACCAGGAACTGAAGAAGAAGATGGCTTTGCCCATGGACAACAGCATAAGGTAAGTATAACTACCCTCACTGTACCCCAGGGCCATTGCACATCAACTGATGATGTCTCATTGGGTAGCTGTGCAAAATATGCAGAGACCCCAAGAGGTAACAGGGCAGCTTTAAAGGATGAAACTACTACTTGTGAAACAATGCATACTTTCCCAAAATCCATATACCTTCTAAGGTAGGGAGGGACATTTTTACTCTGTATTTATTTGACTTTAGTTTTCCACAATATTATTTTAGACCATCTCCAGTATCATCTAATGGTCAAAGTGTCTTGTGATACCAGAATGCCAAAATTAGACTTAGACACTTGTGTATTTATGATGTTATGCTTTGTTTTTTTAAATTTTATTTAATGTGTGAATGGTGCATATTTTAACTAATAAATGTTCATGTAGATTTTATAAAAGGCATCTAATATCACTAATAGCACATTAAACATAACAAATTTTATCAAGGCCACATTGTTTCATTTAAACAGCAATCATGAAAATGTCCTCTGATCTTCCCTTTATGAGGGATAGAGACTGATATCCAAACTATCTTAATAAACTATTCTTAACAAGTTTTCAACATGAACAGAATTGTTTACTAAAGTGAGAATTCAAGGTGAATTATTTAAGGTTAAATTTGCTTGAATTCTCACATTAGTAAATAACCCTGCAGGTGTTAATTAATGCGTTCATTCTATAAAATATTTCATTTTAAATCATTTTACTATTACAATAAACTATATAACTGACTATGCACATCATAAAGGATCCTGAATATTTCTCCGGCGGGGTACTCATCTAGCTAGTTATCTGTAATTCTCAAAGGCAAGAAAGAGTCAAAATTGATAAATTTTACTACCATCAAAATTATATTTCCAAAGGACTACAATCTAATAATAATGTTGTTTTTGCAATGATTACAAATAATAAATGATCAATTCCATTGCTGTGCAAAGATTCTTCTGGGGCGATGCAAAGTTGGGCATTTGTTGATTAGACTTCCATCATATTTAATGAGAAATTAGGAAATAAATAAATAAACCTTACAACTGCAAAATAGGAAAGTCTTAAAGGGACACTATACGCACCCAGACCACTTCAGCTCATTGAAGTGGTCTGGGTGCGGTGTCCCAGGTACCTTACCCTTGCAATGGTAATTACTGCAGTTTTTGCTAAACTGCAATAATTACCTTTGAGGGTTAACTTCACTTTTGGTGCCCTAACTGATGCTGGATGTCCTCACGCTATGCATGAGGACATTCAGCGTAGCCCAAAACCGGAAGTGAGGGGGTCACTTTAGGGAGCTATAGTACCAGGAAAACAACTGTTTTTTTTGGCACTATAGCTTCCTTTAAGCCACAGTTAATTAAAGGGACACTATAGTCATCAGAACAACTACAACTTATTGAATTTGTTCTGGTGAGTAGAATCATTACCTTCAGGCTTTTTGCTGTAAACACTGTCTTTTCAAAGAAAATGCAGTGTTTACATTACAGCCTAGTGATAACTTCACTGGCCACTCCTCAGATAGCTGTTAGAGATCCTTCCTAGGTCATGGCTGCCTAAAATGCATCCAAACATTCAGTATCCTCCTCCCTCAGCTTGCAGACACTGAACGTTCCTCATAGAGATTCATTGACTCAATTAATTTCTATGAGGAGATGCTGATTGGCCAGGGATGTGTTTGAATCATGCTGGCTCTGCCCCTGATCTGCCTCCTTGTTAGTATCAGCCAATCCTATGGGGAAGCATTGTGATTGGATCAGGCTACCACTTCTGATGGGCAAACAGCATGCAGAGTTACAGCTTCAGGCTTGAATACAGTGAGATTTTGCTATATTTATGGAGGCATAAGGGGCCCAGGGGGGCTAGATGGTGGTTTTAACACTATAGGGTCTGGAATACATGTTTGTGTTCCTGATCCTATAGTGATCCTTTAATGCTCTCTGAATTCCAGCAGTAACAAGAAGCTTCCTAAAAATATCTACACAAACACACTTGTCACCAACACTGCTTAAAGTGAAATTTTTACTTATCAGGATTTGTAATGTAACATTTACATATCTCTATAGTAATATATATATAAATTTTTACCGATGCCCTGATCATTGCCATTTCCAGAGACCGTGTCTCTGGAAGGTTCCAATGCATGCAGCAGACTCTGGCGAGCTGGAATTCTCCAATTGCGTGGAATAAAGAGGTAAGATTAGCCCCTCCTGGAGTGTAGCTTTGGGACACAATGGGGCTTGAAGGTAGGTCTTTGCCACGGGGCACTGTCATCCTCAGCCCCTGGCTCCTCCACGTTGCACATGAGGGAAACCCTGGAGACTTATCTGGGTCCCGAACACACGGAGCCTCAGGCACCATGCGGGCAGAGATTCTCTTTCAGAAGTTAGCACACAGAGCATCAAATGTCAGCAGCAGTGGATCCTCAAGCAGGCCTCGTGGGCCCAAATAAGGCTGGTACTGGGCTTTGGCAGAGGATCGGCTGCCTTCTCCACTACAAATCTCACATATGCCTCAAGACAGTCCAGCACGGTCTACAACTACCAGTACTTAGTCGGGAGTTTGTGAGTCTAGAGTTGAAACGGTTTTGCAGGATAATCAGTGTTATATCAGGCTTATTAGGAGTTCAAGCCATGTGCGACCTGCTCAGTTGGCTCTCAGGCCCCGCCCCCATCTGTCAGTAGTTTTATGCTGTGGCTGATCAGTGTGTATGTTCTAAACCAGGTTGACTCCTTACAATAGGGGGGCACCAGGGCACTCCTGACACACTGTAGTGGTAATGGTACGTAGAGAGTGTCTCTAAGAATTAAAGTAGCAGTTCTACACTTTACCTAAAACTGAGCAGTCAGCAATTCCCACATCCGACATTCCCTAAGGGGATTCCTGTTTGATCTGTAAGGCGACTTGGCTCAGCGGTAGAACTTGACCTAGAAGCAGAGTACTTGATATTCCCAAATTTTTGCAGATTAGAGAACCTGCCAAAGGTTATGTCTGGCTATTGAGGGAGTTTCTAAGAGAATAATTATTTGTGATTTAGGATTTTGTGCCAACTGCCAATTTTATTACTTAAATAACCTTGTAGAAGCCTTGCTTAAAAATAACAAACACAATGAGAATAATTATTTATTTGATGTAGAGAAAAAATGTCCTGTGCAAACATTAAAAACCTAGACAGATGAAAATCTCCCTTATATAAAATGCATCATTTAAGGAAACCAGATTTGTTTTTAAAAAAAAGTATGATTTAAGGAAAACAGATATTTTTCCAATATTCCACTACACACACACACACACATTACCAGCGGATACAACCGACCCAATTACTTTTTATTGTGAGATAATATTGCACACCTTTCATCATGAAATCTGCTAAAATCTCCATCTGACAATCACAATTGTTTACACTTTTAGGAAGGCAGAAAAGACTGAATGTTTGTTCAAAATAACAATACGGACTAGATTATTTTCACTTTGATGTCAGTACAATATATATGAGTGAATTTATTATTATTTATTAGTGAATTTGACCTCAGTCCGAAAGTAATAGTTTGATGTCGAAATAAAGGGGTTGTCAACATCAAAAGTACAGAGTGCCAGCACCTTTTTTAGATTAAAATAAAACATATATTAAAATAGTATATATCACAATATATAGTTTAAGAGAGTACCCGCATCTGTGTTATTGGTAAGAAAAGGACAGCATCAAAATATCTATTCCCCCAATAAAGTCCTGTGTGTAATACACATCTAGCATTCTAGCTCTTCTAATTTGGGGCCCCTCATCTCAGGGCAGCACCAGGCATCCATGTCCCTGCCTGCCTAAGATTAATGAGAGTAACACTCCATTGCAACAGCTGCAATTTGCATCTGCTATCATTTCTAGTAACCCTCACAATAACGACCTGAGGAAACAAAAACAGAGCATTTCAGTCTCTCTGGTATGTAGCTATTGGAGCAGGGGGTGTCAACTGCAAATAGTAGCTGCTGCCTAGGAGTGTAACTTCCACCAATTTTGGGCAGATTGCGCTACAATTGAAGCAACCCAAACTAAATGGAATCCTGTATTAATAAACATACATAACAATGTAGTGTGTATTATAGAGAGGCTCGCGAAAAGCTTAATTGTTGAGCTGAAAGATTGCTTAATCTGATCCTTAAAGGACCACTCTAGGCACCCAGACCACTTCAGCTTAATGAAGTGGTCTGGGTGCCAGGTCCTTCTAGGGTTAACCCATTTTTTTATAAACATAGCAGTTTCAGAGAAACTGCTATGTTTATTAATGGGTTAAGCCTTCCCCCTAATCGTCTAGTGGCTGTCTCATTGACAGCCACTAGAGCCGCTTGCGTGCTTTTCCCTGTGATTTTCACAGTGAGAGCACACAAGCGTCCATAGGAAAGCATTGTAAATGCTTTCCTATGTGACGGGCTGAATGCGCGCGCAGCTCTTGCCGCGCGTGCGCAATCAGCCCAGGAGGAGGAGAGAAGGAGGAGAGCTCCCCGCCCAGTGCTGGAAAAAGGTAAGTTTTTACCCCTTTCCTCTCCCCAGAGCCGCGCGGGAGGGGGACCCTGAGGGTGGGGGCACCCTCAGGGCACTATAGTGCCAGGAAAACGAGTATGTTTTCCTGGCACTATAGTGGTCCTTTAATGCTAAGGACAATGCTTTGTGTACCTAGACATTTATTTGTGTATTATAGATAAATAATTTAATCTTGTGGTTTTGAGGACATTTATAAACCACTTGACCTTTGGTCTCATGGGTTCATTATTGATGATGACAAACTCTCAATGGGATTGTTTTCCCATAAAACACACTGCACTATTATGCAAGTGTGGCAAGTTCCCATTTAGGTTATGAATAGGTATTATCTGCACACAATCCTAGCAAGATTGTGAGCAAATTAATATAATAAAAGACAGTTACCCAAAAAAGGTTTTGCACACACAGCTGCCCCCAAATGATGCAAACTGCATTATTCAATTCCTGGCTTACATTTGCATGCTAGGAGTTGCATGGTACAACTGCATCTTTTGATGCTGTCTTTGCCGTTTAGCTGACAGCACAGCAGTAAACTCTCAGAAGGTAAATTATGCAGAATAATGTTACACATATACGTTTGCTCTCAGTTTAGCTGGTACATTTTAAAGACATGTTATGCCCTTTAATTTGCACTTCAGTTTCAAAGTCACGATTTACGTAATAAAATCTCTCATTATGCTATGCATGACAAGTGCACTTTACAATAACATTTACATTTCTATATATTATATCCGTACAGAAGACCACTTGGTGGCACAGATACTGATTCATTGAAATTGTATACTCTCATCTTAATCCAATGAAAAGAGATGTATGTGGGTTTTTTTTGTAGACAGGCAAACTGCCTTTTTGCTATGACACAGATTGTCTTCATACAGATCAGGTTGTACAAGTGTTATGGCAAGTTACAATCGCCAATCCTGGTGTAAACAAATGTGAAAAATAATAGTTCTGGTTAAACTATCTCTGTTGGTATCTTGGGTCTCTTTTCTGTGCATTCACATTCCTCTCTGAAGTGTTGCTGGTGATCCCTAAAATGAGTCTCAATTCCCTTCTCTTGGCATGTGGGACAACATGCGGTGAGGCCTCTGTCCTGACATGCCATGCATGTTAGAACTAACTGGCAGCAGCGTGGTGTGGAGCATAGCTTGTATTTGTCCCATGCAGCTCCGCAATAACGACAATCTGAAAAAGTTTAATAAGGTTAATAAAGACATATAAGTACAGAAATACAAACGTAGTATAATAAATTACTATACTAATTCTCTATGTAAAACTTCAAATGGCATTTCCAAGAATGCAGCTTGCTTCATTTAAACAAATAAAAAAAAATTTACTCTTTCAGCTAGGAGCTCAATACAGTAAGGACAAGAGTTCTGCTGTAAAGTCATTCAAGACTCAAAAAACCCTGTCTTAACACACACAGATTGGAATGCTCCTTTACTCCATGAAAAGATGAAGGTATATAGTGCCAGCAAGCCTCTTTGGAACAGGGTCAGTTGATATCCACACCTTTTGTTAAAATGTGTAGTTAAATCATGATAGTGTTTCAGTAGCATTATTCCAGTCTAAAAAGTTTCTAAAAATTAGAAAGATAGTTGCAATTTGTAAGTTTTGCATCAATGCAAATTACTTTAATCCTTTCACCACCAAATTTTTTTTTTAAAACCTGCCAATAAGTGAATAAAGAACTAAAAAACAAACTGCAAATTTTATACAAAAATAGCCACTTGGTTTGTGGATGTTTCTTGTACTGAATAAATTACTAAAATACACAAAACTATAAGGCCGGTGAATTAGCTCAGTGGGCTAATGCATCATCAGTAGAATTTGTTCAACCTTTGGCAGGTTTTGATGTTGTTCAAAAAGTAACATCCCCAGGACGTAATTGGAAACCAGAGTAATCTGAATGTGGCTTTGCTGATTAAATACTTTGTTATTATTACTAGGGATCATTGTCCATTGAATCTGTATAGTAAAGCTGATGCAGGACAATGCACATTTACTGATAATCACAACCAATAAGCATGCTTTTACACAGTGAGGGAGTTTAAGCATGCGTGGGATAGGCAAAAGCTATCCTAGACTTAAGATAAGACCAGGGAGTAATGAAAGTATTTAGAAAATTGCCAGACTAGATGGGCCGAATGGTTCTTATCTGCCGTCACATTCTGTGTAACTACTTATTTTCATTACAAGTTGGTCATATAAGTTCCTTCAGTATATGTGTGTATGAGGGTTACTGTAAAATCTGCTAATTTGATCGAAAAATGAAATGGATTTTTATGGTGCAAGCCTTACTCAGATGGCTAATTTCTTTAATGTACACTGTGACGCTAACGAAATTACAATTGTATCTCTCCTGGCAGGCACAACTACAACAATACCTATGTGAACTTGTTTTGGAATAGGCCTTTCATTTGATGATGCCTTAGGTCATGATATAATGCTGTGTTGTGATTGTTAGGATTGTGGTATACTTACTTCAGAAGTTAATAGGGAGCGAGGTCTGAAATTTGTAAATTGCACAAAACACTTAAACACTTTTTTTTTTTTAAACATCTAAAAGTTTTCTGTACAAAGTGTTTTTTTTTTTTTTTTTAAATCAAATTACAATCATACCATGGTTATCCAATCTACTTACTTGATATGATGTCACTGTTGGAAGAAATGGTATAACGTCCATCAAACACAAAAAGTTTCCCACGGAAAAATCCGTCTGGAAACTGTTCCAGATATTTATGGATCCCCCCTTTGAGCTGGTAGACTTCTTTGCATGACGCCTGTTCACAAAAAAAAAAGAAAAAAATGGGAATATTCAACTTAAGGCTACAATATTTTTATTGCCAAACCATTTTTATACATGTGTAAAATGTAGTCTCTGCACAAGGGAAAGGAACTGTGGCAGGAAAAAGTCAAAATGTGTTTTTTTAGAAAAGCAAAAAAATAAATAATGTGTCACTACAGAATGGAATTGCCCCTACACTTTCTAAAGAATCAAACAAATGAATCCCATATTTGGTTGATATGGGTTTAAACTGGATATGCTGAGCACTGCCACAGAAAATAATGTGAGTGCCATGACTGGCAGAAATGTTTTAGCTTCTTCGTGCTATGGTGGCTGCTCACTCAGAACATGCTAAACTTGGAGATTTAGAAACAGAGAAACTTTATAGGCATGTTCTCACTTAAGACGTGTGGCAGTTTTACATTATATATCTCATGAAGTTCAACTCCAGCCTGATTTGTATTTTTAATTTTTGGACCAAGTCCCTTTTTAATGGAACATTCCAAGCAACATAACTACTACAGCAGGCTGTAGTGAATATGGTGCCAGATGTGCCCTCCAATGCAAGTAGTCAAACCATTTTCAGCAGTCTAGTGGGCACACTGCAATTGTTATGCTGTTAAGGGTGGTTTCTTTAAGGCTGAAGCCCATTTGTTTAAATGCATACTGGAGATAATGCCTTAAAAACACTGAAAAAAACAAAATAGCTGCAATGTCTTCAATTCACTTTTGTTCTGGCCAGGTTAATGACACTGCCTGAGGTGGAATTATACCTATGTCTGCATGTGCAGCGTTCCAAATTAAAATGCTGCATATAGTGACTCCAATAACCATTACCACTTCAAATCCGTACAGTTGTCGTGTTGCTTTCAGAAATCGGAAGTAGCTGGCTAAGTTTTAATTAGTCAGTGATAGGGGGGCTGAGCTTGGTGGCTGTGCTGGATTGATGCTCGATCGATGTCTCTGTGCATGTCCACAGTATACAAATTATATTGTGCTGTTGCAGAGCCCCGAAAACGTTGACTTTGCTACAATACTCACCATGGGCCAAAAAGCAAAGAAAACAGAAGCCTGATATGCTTAGTTAAAGCATGAACATAAGAGTTCTTCTCTGTCAGGGCCAAGGAGCATATAGGCCCAAGGCGGGCCCAAAAAATTGTCCAACTCCCAGTATTTATATTAAGCAAGGTAAGTGTTGTCAATGTGTTTTTGAATGTGGGGAATGGGGGGAATAAAGGATTAGACATGCACAATGAAAGGCAGTAACTTAAAGCAATTAAATGATTTCTATCACAGACAGAAAGACAAGACAATCACACCAAATTATGATTCCTAAACACAATGTTTCAATTATCTGAGAAGACAAATTCCTTCAACAGGGGGTCTCTGAAACAATGAGTAGGATCTCATACAGAAATAGTCTCCCATCCTCATGCAAATTAAGCCTTGTTTTCTTTTCTGTTGTCAATTTATATTTCAATTTTGAGGTATTGTCTTATTAGAAGTAGCTTTTAAATAGCTTTTCATTACTTACTGTCTGTGTCCATCTCTAACGCAGTACATTTAAAATTTTTCAGTGTGAAAACAGAGTATACATTTTGCACAAGAAGTAGCATTTCTGCTATTCACACTGCATGCACTCTTTGACAAATGTTTACAACAATATTAAAGGATCACTATAGGGTCAGGAACACAAACATGTATTCTGGAGCCTATAGTGTTAAAACCACCATCTAGCCCCCCTGGGCCCCTCATACCTCCATAAATATAGCAAATACAAGCCTGTAGCTGTAGATCTGCATGCTGTTTGCCTCAGAAAAAACAAGCTGTCTGCTGACATCATCAGAAGTGGTGGCCTGATCCAATCACAATGCTTCCCCATAGGATTGGCTGAGACTGACAAGGAGGCAGATCTGGGGCAGAGCCAGCATGATTCAAACACAGCCCTGGCCAATCAGCATCTCCTTATAGAGATGAATTGAATCAATGAATCTCTATAAGGGAAAGTTCAGTGTCTGCATGCAGAGGGAGGAGATACTGAATGTTTGGATGCATTTTAGGCAGCCCTGACCCAGGAAGGATCTCTAACAGCCATCTGAGGAGTGGCAAGTTATCACAAGGCTGTAATGTAAACACTGCATATTTTCTGAAAAGACAGTATTTTCAGCAAAAAGCCTGCAGGTAATGATTCTACTTACCAGAACAAATTCAATAAGCTGTAGTTGTTCTGGTGACTATAGTGTCCCTCTAAAAATATCATAATATTACTGCTATATCAGTTAAAGCGGCACTGTCATGTCGAACTTACCTTTCCTCAATCTCTTCCTCTTCTCCCCCTCTCTCAGGATCGGTTCTTCTTTTCTTCCTGTCTTCTTTAGTTTTCTTTAAAATCATAAGACAAAGTCTTTGCCTTATGGAGGTTTCCTCCGCTTGACCAGCTTTGACCAGCGGAGGAGCAAAGTGTGCTTCATTTCCGCTGGTCAGAGCAATTTTCCCATAATTTTTACCTTTCCTCTGTGATCTCATGATGCTTCCTGTCATTCTAGATGAAACTGACGAAGTTCTAACTGAATGAGAACAGTATGTTCGTTTGTTTTAGAACGCAATTCGGCACTTTTTTCATATCGGAATTTCATTCGAATGAATGAAACTCAGATTCAAGTCAACTCCCTAATTCCCACGGTATCAGGGAGTTATCTACCAAGAGGCTGAAAGACCTAAATTGGTCTATCAGCCACATTTACTAATACTAAGTAAAGATTACTTAGTATTAGTAAATGATCTGCCACTTCTCGCTATACCGTGAGTAGGGGCATGTCTAGTAAGCACTGTAAAATAATCTATTGGCCTCCACCCGGCCCCCACCCCTGCGCGTGGGGGCCATAAATTACAATGGGGGGACGGACACCTACTGTCCTCCCCCACGGCCCCCACCCTTGAACGGTGGGTGGGGGCCATAAAGATAATAAGGGGGAGGACCTACTGTCCTCCCCCCGGCCCCCACCTCTGCACGGTGGGTGGGGGCCATAAATTACAACGGGAGGGACCTACTGTCCCCCATGGCCCCCACCCCTGGGCGGCGGGTGGGGGCCCTAAGACAAATCTCCCCCCCCATCAAAGGTGACTAGGCGTCCTCAAGCCCCTAGTCACCCACCCCCCACCCCAAAACAATTACCCCCTACCTACCCCCCTCACCCTAAAAAATAGTGAGGGGGGAATAAAATAACTAACCTGTAAAGAAAAATTAAACGTCTTCTTTTTTCGAAAATCTTAATTTTTCAGCCCCCAAAAATGCCAAATAAAAAACCACCATACCCGTCGAACTTAAAATAAAAAAAAAAACCTGAGCGCAAAAAAAAAAACTGACGAAAAAGAAAAAACCCTAGCGCAAAAAAAATAATCCATCTTTCACCCATGAGCTCCGCGCAGGATGAGCTCTGCATGGCGGGGCAAGGCTTATAAAGCCTTGCCCCGCCCTGCAATTAGGCTAAGAACACTCTGATTGGCTGGTTTAAGCCAATCAGAGTGCTCTTTGTCATTTTACACAGCGTGGGAAAATTCCAAAGAACTTTCCCACGCTGTGTACAATGACACAGAGCACCCTGATTGGGTGGCTTGAAATCCATCCAATCAGAGTGCTCTGTGTCATTTTACACAGCGTGGGAAAGTTCTTTGGAATTTCCCCACGCTGTGTAAAATGACAAAGAGCACTCTGATTGGTTAGATTCCAAGCCCACCAATCAGGGTGTTATGAGTCAAATTACACAGCATGGGAAAATTCCAAACAGGCTGCTCACTGTTTAGTGGACATGCCCCTATTCGCGGTATAGCGAGTAGGGGCATTTGGGAGTTTTTAATCTCCCTTGTGCTATTATGGGGGTCATATATCCCCCATAGAGGGAGGAAGGACATGGGGGGTTTAGGAAGTGGCGGGGAGCACTGCCCCCTGCCGTTTCTATCTTTACATATTACAAGGAGGGAGCTGCGTGCCGGTAGCTCCCTCCTTGTAATAAACTGAACGAACAAACGAACACTGATACTCAGTGTTTGTTTATTCGTCTGATAATGCTATTCATTCATTCGTCTATCTGACGAATGAATGAATAGATTAAATTCCCGTTCGCATGCCCAAGTGTTTCACTGGGCATGTGCGGGAATCTCAGTGCTATCTAGTGTGGGCAGATGACGTGACCCACAGGGACTTCATCTACCCACACAAAGATGGCGGCGCCCTGAATACAGATCGGGGCAGAAAATAAAGAATAAAAATTAGGTAATATGGGGGGCTTAGGGGCATTTGGGGGTGACAAGGGGGTCAGTAAGATGTAGTGGAGTTGGGAGGGGGGGGTTAAAAAAAACGGAATTCGGCCATGACAGTGCCGCTTTAAAGAAAAAGATAAACTCATAAACAGACATTTAAATTGATCAATATAAGGCAGTAGTGGGCTGCATCTTATATTATCCAGTGATGTTACCTTTGACTTGAGGTAAGCAGAGCCACGTTCACAGCGGATTCCACCCGTACAATACATCAGTACTGTTTTATCTTTAAATAGCTCAAGGTTTTGATCAACATAGTTTGGGAAGTAGCTGAATTTCCTGATGTCTGGGGCGAGGCAATTTTCGAATTTTCCCTATAAGAGAACATTCAATGAGCAAATGTGCTGAAGATAACTTTACCAAAAGCAAAACAACCACATTCATGGGACTGTAAAGGCTGTGATCAATTTGAAAATATCTAACTCAAATGAGTGTTTATGTAACAGAACACTGTAGAGTTAAGGAATACAAACCTGAACAAACCATGCACATGTATTCAAACTTCCCCATAGGAAAACATTAAATCTTTTCAGCTCCCCTAGCTGAAAGGTGTGTCCAGCAATGCAATCTCACCAAGTTTATAAACGATTATTATTTATTTTGGATTGTATATTTGATTACAAATGTTTGCTTACTGTTTAAAAATACTAATTGTAACAGAACTGTCTGTATATGGATTACATTTATTTTCCTATGTGTTCCCATGTTAAACTACCGAAAGCCGTACGAAGGCGCGACCACCGGTGGCGGTGTTATGGAGCTCCCCGGATGGCCAGCAGTGATCAGCCCAGAATCAGTGCACTAAAAGCGGATACTTTTATGTGCAGGCACCGCTGAGCCTCCAGCCTTCCCTGCTTCTATTTCGGTTGTTTAAACGAACGCTGGATTGATCGGGACTTAAGTGAATGTTTTAACCCAGATAGATATGCCTATTCGTGTAATTAAACTTTGGAGCCTATTCGTGTAATTAAACTTTGGCTCCATGGCAATTGAACTGTATGTGTGCTCAGATCTAAGCTATCTGGGGATATGTGACATGTATGGGGTTGGTGTAGTAAAAGTAATATTATATGTTTTAATGTATTTTACTGTCTCTGTGTCCCCACGTGTATAATGGCGATTTGCCTCTGTCCTGGGAGATAATTGGATTACTTCCCAATTATCTCCAGGATAGAGGGATGGAAATTAGAATGCATTGTTGGGATGTTTTACTTCTGTGTGTCTGAATGTGATACATGTCTGTCTGTGTTACAGTCTTCCATCTGGTCCCCTAGGAGAGTGTCCACCAGGTGGGAGACCTGCATAAATACCGGGCAAACCCTCAATATGGAGCTTGGTCTTGTGATTCAGGGGATTTACTGTACGCGGTTAGAGACTGATTGCTGGGAATGTAAGCCGCTTGGATGCTTTGTGTGTTCGTCCATTAGCAGCTATTCGTGAGATTACCGTTTGGGAGTTTGGAGCATTCCCTGGTTCCAGTTCGGGAGTTGGGGTTCTACAGTAGCTGTACCTATACCTACACAAAAAGGGAAACTCTACTAAACGGCGGTTTAACCCCTTTATGCCGGGAGAGCCGTAACACTAATAATTATCAAGTGATGCATGATGTACTTAAACCCTGAAATGCAAACATTGCAGTTTCTAAAGAAAACGGGTTAAAAGGACCCCTTTGAGATGAAGTGGTATGAGTTACTATAGTGTCCCTTTTAGTTATACCTTGGGCACAAACAGTTATTTTTCAATCTACGTGGACCTTTAGCAAACGTTTCAATGGATCAACACCTAACGTTTGTGCACCCATGGAGTAACTTAAAGGGACACACTTGACACCTATGATCCACTTGATACAGCAACACTCAATAAACAAACAGAGTCATGTTATTTTAATGTTATTGCAAAATTAAATAGTAACCTAAGATCCAACTCCTCTCTTGTGACCTATCATTCTACTACATTTTGTATGTAATTTGATTGGATTACATACATACATACATACATACATACGCATTTCAATTTACACCATTTACTTACAAAAAGTGACATGGTTATTCACCAAAATGTAAAATATCAGAAAGTGAAATTTTAATTTTAGGCCAAAAAACAAAAAATTGGAAAACATTTCATGACAGCTACTTGCTCATTTGATCTATTTTGGCCTAAAATTGTAATTCACTTTGATTTCCCTGCATACACAATTTGGTAAATAAGCCTGAAGCAAGATGGTTCCAGGAAAAACCAACATGATAGAAAACTTGTAAAGCAGACATGCATAAGTGCAGCCACACATATGTTTATTTAAACAAGGGAAATAAGAGCCACATTAAAAATAGAATGGGCAACATATGTCACACAGTAGGCAGACCAGAGGAGGAATGGACAGGGCAAATGATTTACACCAGGTAAAACGAAACAAACATAGAACAGACATACAAGAAAATAGGCAACATAATAGACAGAGGAAAATAACGAAATAAATTAAAAATAATAAAAATTAATTAGAAAAAAAAAAATCACAAGACATAGGAGGCAAGGAGAATTCACTTAGAGTAAAAAAAGGCTATGCAACAGAAATTGAGACAAGAAAAAAGTGAAAGGGGGACTGTAAGATTTAAACATGTGAAAGACAGAAGGCATATGGACATCTAGTCACAAAAGGGAGAAGAACCAGAAGCTAACACATTTCTATGTAGTGATATATTTAAGTGACAATTTTAAAAGTATTGATTACAGCTACAGTAATTTGTTTTTACTGTTTACTTCTTATTCTGAGCATGCTACTTTAGATATATTGATACATAGATAGACAAACAGACATATTTAAGAGGTAAGCTTCCAATAACGCACAGAAATATTACACAAGCTATTTTATTTGTTTTTTTTAGGAATTCCACTTACTATTTTGCTTTCGTAAAAGTTACGGCAGTCTAGTAAAATAGTGTTGTTCTTTTCTTCTTGAGCTTCAAATAAATACTTTCCCACTTTTTTATGAAATTCTTCTGGAGAGAGGTGAACAGCTAAAAGCAAAGAGTTACAAATAATGCGTGTAATACTGTTTCGACGGCTCTACACAGAATGAGTACTTTAGCTTGTTGAGACTAGTGAAATACCTGTATCTTTATAGGAAACTTGAAGTGGATCTATTCCCATTGGCACAATCTCTTGGAAAATACCAACTCGAAGGTCTGGAAAACACTGTGCTCCCCCATCACTTGTCTGCGGAAAGTTGTAGAAGCATATATTTTTTAAAAGAATCTTTGCAGGTTCCTTCAGCTATTTTTATAAATTATCACCCATCCTTGAGCCTGCAAATATTTTTATTCTTGACTTTTCATGAAGGAAACAACTTTTTTTCATTTATCATTGTATTGCATTAAATAAGGTGATTTATCTCCAGTGTCTTCCAATGCCATGCATTCCAACACAAACAAGCCATTGACCCCATAGGCATTAATAGCGTTTGACATACCTTAAAAGAGACACTATAGTCACCAGAAGAACTACAGCCTAATGTAGTTGTTCTGGTAAGTATAGTCAGTCCCTGCAGGATTTTTGCTGTAAACACTGACTTTTCTCTGAAAAGTCAGTGTTTACATTACCGCCTAGGAACACCACTACTAAGTCGGCCACTAGAGTCCTGACATTCAGCAGCTCCACGCTCTGCATGGAGACGCTGAACATTCTTTATGGAGATTCAGTGCGTCTCTATGAGGAGATGCTGATTAGCCAGGGAGGCATTTGGCTCCACCCCCCACCCTAACTCCTTGGCTGAGCTCATCAGAATTGACGATCTCAGCCAAGCCAATGCTTTCCTATGGGAAAGCATTGGCTTGGCTGAGTTTGTCAATTCTGATGAGCTCAGCCAAGGAGGCAAATCAGAGCGGTGCCAGCGTCAGTGGGCCCGTGCTGCGTTGGAATAAAAGTGGGTTTTTACTATATTTAAAGGGAACAAGTGGAGGGCAGGGGGGCTAAATAGTGATTCTTACAGTATAGTGTCAGAAATATATAGTGTTCCTTTAATACTTTGTATGCATTTGTTTTAATAATCCATATTTGTAACAAATATTTACAGCCTACGTCAGGAAAAGGTGACTCTACTAGAAAAACATTTTGAAAATCAGCACAGGCTAGCACTATTAAAAACCTCCAACTTACCTTGAAATCTTCCAAGGACATGATATTCTTAAATAAAGGAAGAGACAGCATAGCATTGATGTAAAGCTTGGTAGATAACTTGCTTCCTCCCACTGTTCCATTTACTCCTTCTGTAGCAATGCGGATCTAGGAGGCAAAGATAACATATATTAGATAAGATAATCATATAAGGCAGTGCTGACTTAAACTATTGTACCATTTGAATATTGTCAGGGAACCAGAGTAGAGAAACTTGGTGCAGTATATGGGCTTTCTCCCAACATATATAATAGAGGGCAATAATATATACAAATAAAAGATATATCAGGTATTTTACATAAATAATAAAACAAAATTTTTCCCTAAAGGACCACTATAGTGTTAGGAGTACAAATATATATTTCTAAAGCTATAGAGTCCTAGTCACTGTTTAAAGGCAGGGCCAGCGCTGCCAGGGTTAAAATGGTGAGTCTTTTATTCCGACTAGCAAGGGTCTCCTTACTCAAGCTTTACCTCTTTGCCTGAAATCAACGAGATCAGTGATCTCAGCCAATTTACTGCTTTCCATGGGAAGGTATTGGGAGGCTAGTGCACATGCACAGCAAAACATTGTGCTACACCAATCAGATGGTCTCTCTGAGGCCATCTGATTAACAGAACAGTTTTACACTGCTATTTTACAGAAGAGCCTCTAAGGGCTATCATATGACAGCTAACAGATGCAAGTTAATCCTGTAAAGAAAATATTGTCATTCCTGTAGAAGGGGGCTAAGGGTGCACATGACACCCAGACCTCATAATGAGATTAAGTGGTTTGGGCGCCTATAGTGATCCTTTAAGGATTTCTTCTATATTACTCATATTTCAGAGAATAGGAAATGGTAGCATGCTGCACAGTGAGCTGGAGAATGGAAAATGGTAGCATGCCGCGCAGTGAGCTGGAGAATGGGAAATGGTAGCATGCTGCGCAGTGAGCTGGAGAATAGGAAATGGTAGCATGCTGCGCAGTGAGCTGGAGAATGGAAAATGGTAGCATGCTGCGCAGTGAGCTGGAGAATAGGAAATGGTAGCATGCTGCGCAGTGAGCTGGAGAATAGGAAATGGTAGCATGTTGCGCAGTAAGCTGGAGAATAGGAAATGGTAGCATGCTGCGCAGTGAGCTGGAGGATAGTAAATGGTAGCATGCTGCGCAGTGAGCTGGAGAATAGGAAATGGTAGCATGCTGCGCAGTGAGCTGGAGAATAGGAAATGGTAGCATGCTGCGCAGTGAGCTGGAGAATAGGAAATGGTAGCATGTTGCGCAGTAAGCTGGAGAATAGGAAATGGTAGCATGCTGCGCAGTGAGCTGGAGGATAGTAAATGGTAGCATGCTGCGCAGTGAGCTGGAGAATAGGAAATGGTAGCATGCTGCGCAGTGAGCTGGAGATTGGGAAATGGCAGCATGCAGTAAGGTAGAGATGGATAAATGGTAGCATGCTGCGCAGTGCGCTAGAGATGGAGATGGAGAAATAATAACATGCAGCATAGTGAGCAGGGAAAGGAGAAAAAGAAGCATTTAGCATACTGAGCACTGAAGGTGGATATAGTAATTAAAGCCCATAAAAAGAAAAAGAAGACAAATCTGCACTCTTCTGCATCTTTTTACATAAATGAAAGTGTACATTGTGGATAAAGAATATAACACTTTGATTAGATTGTTTAACACTCACTTACCTTGCCTGTGAGATGCAGAAGCTGACACAAAGCCCTTTGCCAGTTGCAGACCCACTGAGGGTCTGTTACTTCACAGTAGCAGTAATATAAGAGCACTTCACCTGGTTCGCTGTAAGGCAAAACAAAAGCAGAAGTATAAGGTTTCTTAAATGTTTACTACGAAGAAAAATAAACCATTTTGCCCTAGTTTAACCAAGCGGCCTAACTTAAAGACTAAACAAGACAACCACTAGAGGCAGTCTTAGTCCTGCAATGCAATTGACATTGCAGGACTAAGGGGGACTGGGACATTGCCCCCAGACCACTTCAATGAGGTGAAGTGGTCTGGGTGCCTGTAGTGTCCCTTTAATCCGCACATTTTTGTTACGGCTAGGAAGGTGTAGCTAAGGCTGCACGTACAAAGTGATTTAAATGGCAAACTGTTGAGCAGTGAGACTGCAGTGGAATTATATATTCACCAAAACTGCTTAATTAAGTTAAATGTTTTGGTGCCCTATTGGAGAAGCCTGTGATTGGAAAAAAAGAGTGGAAGGGGGGAGTGGAAAGGACAAAGAAACAAAACAAACTGCTATGGAAAGAGGCAGGAGGGGATCTGTCTGCACGCGCTCTGCCTGCAAGGGGAAGATTTTTATGCCTGTCGGTAGCGTGCAGTGCACACAGATGAGAGACATTTTTTATGGACAGAATTTACATTGGCAACCCAGAATCAAGGACTGCCAATGTCACGTGTGCTGAGGGTGCAATCAGCCCTAGCACACAATTAACAATAACTCTGCATGTGCAGTTTTTCAAGCTCACAATTTGCACTTACTGGCTCCTACCACCATGACCACTTCAAATTACATGAAGTGATCATGATGGTTGGAGTAAGCCTTTAACAATTTATAATAATCCTATGCAAAAAAAAAAAAAAGAATAGTATTGTGCTTTCTGCAAACATTATAACGTTTACATGAGCTTTCTAATGAGTCTTACAATCATGTCTACATTACTTTGCAGGAAATGTAACTGTCTGCTTTACCTTGTCAGGTCATCTTGGCTGAAATGACTTGTGTCTGGCAACCAGTTGGAAATCTCACATTTGTAGCAGGAAATGTCCCTTGAAGAACATATATTATCGAAGAGGTCAGTACATGGCACGGCGGTGGAAGCTTCAGTTCTAATAAGTTCTTCTAGAACACTTTCAGTTCTTTGTAAGATGTCATTATCATGCTGAGCAGCAACATGTTTGTGTACTGCTGCCTGGTGCGTAAACTCCAGCTCACAGCATCTCCACCGAGTCTCGTTCCTATAGCCAGATTGAACCAAATCAGGAACTTGCTGCAATTCTTTGACAAAAAGAGCAAATGCCTGCAGATGAAGAATAGTGTTGCTTTTTTGACCTTTTGAAAGTAGCTTAATGGGAATTGAATACTTAATTCAAAATACACAAGAAAATGAACACAGTAGCAGTAATTGCTTGTAATAGATTCTCCAGAGAAACCCATATACAAGAAATCTATTTTATACGTGTGATCTGATTTAAAAAGCAGTGTTTAAATTAATGCTCCACATCCAAGATTAATTTGTTAAATGTTACTTGAGATACAATAATCACTGCATGCCAATCGTGCTTAAGGCAATATTTTTCAGTTTTGAGTCACCCATGACCCTGCCAACACTCTACATAAATGCCAATGTTAGATTTGCACTTCCGCGTTAGCAAAATCAATTTTGTTCATATTTTGATGGGTCATCTGACTTGTATTGCTGTCACTACAAGGCAGCACAAAAAAATTGAGTACTGGTCTGCCATTGTCTATTTTCTCCCTAATCTGCATATGGCATGAGCATGCTGAACACATTAGGGAAGGGTCTTCCTTCTTCTGGTGGTCTTCAGCTTTCAGAATTGTATAAGACAGCCAAATCACTAAATAGTAAACTATGTTGTGTTTAAATAAATACTTGCCACTATGTGCCTGCTATCAGTGTATTGAGAAGTTCCAATAACCTTATATGTTGATTGAAATTACTCTTTGGGTAGTAGTCTTTGTGTAGGGATTTATTAGATAAAAACAACCCAATAGGTCAGAATGAGACCACCCTAGAATATATCGTCCTTGTGTGGGAGACCCACTAAGTAACACGTTTCTTTATTTTAAATTTCATATTTTACAATATTTATTCAATGCATTATATATATATATATATATATATATATATATATATATATATACACACATATAAAATGCATTAAAACATATTTAGGGTGAAATGAACACTAGACAATCCATTTAAAACAATCATTAATTTCTTTCATTTCTAAATTAACATACAACAAAATGCAACTGATTAATGGTTAATTTTAATAAGCTATTGCTCGCTCAAGCACTTACCTTCTTTTTTGCAAATGAGTATTTTTTTCGTGCGTTGGCATCTAATCCGGCTTTTAAGGCGCTTTTGGGGTTCAGTGTAGCAGCCTCCTCCCAGTCTGCATCTGGGAATATAATCCTACAGTGTTCTGGATCATTGCAGAACATATCTGTCCCAGTGGAACATATAGACAGAGACATTTTCAAAGAGAAAAGGGTAAATACCGGTACTATAGGTTCCTTGATCAAAATAAAGACATTAATAAATATTTACTAGCTTTAAGGCACAGTGTGAGTCTTGCACCAGAGAGCCCAGGACTGTCACCAGGCAAATTAAAAAATAGATTAAAATGTACTGTACAAGTAAAAAATATATATCTGTATTATTTTGGTTATAGATGTTTCACTCAAAGGCAGTTCTGGCATTCAGTAAGTTACAGTTTTCTTTGAATGACTTTCCTCAGCAGCAGCTATTAATTTAATAGTTCCTGGATTATTTCATGTGTTGCGCTGACCCCAGATAAAAGCACAAAATAACAAAGCTGCTTCTCAGACCTTGTTACATTAAACTGTGAATGAAGCATCTGCTAAAGAAAGCATGCCTGTGCCCTCCCCCAGGAAGTCAAATAACTTAGGGATCGGTAACAATTCACAACCTTGAGTTTAGAAGCATTTCCACATTACCTTATGTGTGTACCAGTAGTGCTGGTTTAGAGTTTTTGTGAATGCTTACTTTATCATGATCAATAAATTCAACGACAACACAGTGTGTTTGCTTTAGAAGTTTCTTATCTCCTGCCCTGTTAATTTAACTTTAATCACATTACAGAAGGGTGTCGCAGGCAGTGTTAATTTTGTCGACTAACAATTTTAGTAGACTAAAATTTTGGAGATTTAGACCACTAAAACCAAAATCCAACTAAAACTAAAATACAACTAAAACTAAAACTAAAACGGCTTTTTGGTCAAAAGACTATGACTAAAAGTAAATTGAAATTTGCCGCCAAAATTAACACTGGTCGCAGGGTCTATTAACAGACCAAAAGTTAGAAATTCTAAGTAAAACTCAATAACGGAAGTTACAAAAAATAGGGGGGGTAGTGTTTAAGGAGATACAGCCAAAGGAGGTGTGGGTAGGGAGTGTGTAAACAAAGTGATTTAAAGTATTCCTCAAAGCCGCATAACAACTGCAGCCCACGGTGGTGTTTGTGATGGTAGCACTACCCGGGCCCCATTTTCCTTCATGGAATAAACTATTTTTCAATGGTTTTCCCTCTTATCTGGGTCCCTGCCGGACGCCATGATTCTTTCTTGCTCTAGTGATGTGCGTGTGGCTTCTGTACAGCTGCAGAGGCTGGATGGCGTCTCCATTCATTGGTTGATAGCATTGACTGCTCTCTGCCAATAAATGCAATTTTGAAAATTGTGCAGAATTGATATCAGCCCGTCTGGAACTCTAGTTCTGGGTAATGACAGCCCAATGACGCTGCACATAGCGTGTAAATCCACCTCCCGCATTAGAGGGATTAAACTCTGTTTGCAGACTCCAGGTACCATGACCACTTCAAATCACTAAAGTGATCATGGTGTTTGGAGAAACCCTTTAACTCCTAAATGGCAGAGAGTTGCGCAGTGAGACAGCGGTGGCATTAGGCTAACACTGTGTTGATGCTTACAGTGACCATGGTCTTATTCAATTTATTTGACTCACTTATTTTGCATTCACTTAGTTACAGAGCTGCATACTTCGCTCACACTCCATAATATTGTCATCAATTATCTTAATTCCCAATTTAAAATTTTACACGGAATTCCCTGAACCAAGCAGTTTGCACACGCTCCCTTACAATCCCACCGGAAGCTAACACCCCCAAAGCCATAGAGATGTAAACCAGCAATGGCCTAGAGCGCCTCTTGCGTAGACCTGTCCCAGCGCGCGCCTCTTTGGTAACCGGAAATAACGTAGCACCGCTGGTGAGTTCCGGCGGTTTCCCTCACTGAGAGGCTCAGTGAAGTCGGATCGGCCACATTTTCGCCAGTTTTGTTTGTCCGCTCAGCCCGTGCCGGTGTCCGCACCCGGGATTGGAAATACTGAGGGTCAGCGGACCGAACCTTCCCAGCACCGAGAGCCTCCCCGCGCTCCAGCTCTCCCAGTCTGTCCGTTACACTAACCGTCCGACTGATTACTACCGACCGCGGGCGGACCGGCACCATGTCCAGGAGGAGGCACAGCGACGAGAATGACGGTGAGGGCGGCTTATCGCTCCGGCCCAGAGTCTGGGTCCAACTCAATGAATGGGAAAACCGGGCTGGGACCTAGAATACAGCGCTGTGTGTGTGTGAGGGAGGCTGGCATGCAGCGCTGTGTGTGTGTGTGAGGGAGGCTGGCATGCAGCGCTGTGTGTGTGTGAGGGAGGCTGGCATGCAGCGCTGTGTGTGTGTGAGGGAGGCTGGCATGCAGCGCTGTGTGTGTGAGGGAGGCTGGCATGCAGCGCTGTGTGTGTGAGGGAGGCTGGCATGCAGCGCTGTGTGTGTGTGTGAGGGAGGCTGGCATGCAGCGCTGTGTGTGTGTGAGGGGGGCTGGCGTGCAGCGCTGTGTGTGTGTGTGAGGGAGGCTGGCATGCAGCGCTGTGTGTGTGTGTGAGGGAGGCTGGCATGCAGCGCTGTGTGTGTGTGTGAGGGAGGCTGGCATGCAGCGCTGTGTGTGTGTGTGAGGGAGGCTGGCATGCAGCGCTGTGTGTGTGAGGGAGGGAGGCTGGCATGCAGCGCTGTGTGAGGGAGGGAGGCTGGCATGCAGCGCTGTGTGTGTGAGGGAGGGAGGCTGGCATGCAGCGCTGTGTGAGGGAGGGAGGCTGGCATGCAGCGCTGTGTGAGGGAGGGAGGGAGGCTGGCATGCAGCGCTGTGTGTGTGTGTGAGGGAGGCTGGCATGCAGCGCTGTGTGTGTGTGAGGGAGGCTGGCATGCAGCGCTGTGTGTGGCTGGCATGCAGCGCTGTGTGTGGCTGGCATGCAGCGCTGTGTGTGTGTGAGGGGGGCTGGCATGCAGCGCTGTGTGTGTGTGTGAGGGGGGCTGGCATGCAGCCTCCTTCACACACACACACAATTTTTTTTTTTTTTTTTTTTTTACAGGAAGTGTTTAGGAAAGCTGTGTGGATCACATGCTGAGGAAATGTAGCTAGGGCTGTATAAATCACGATTTAACTCCTTAAAATTGTATAATATCTAAATATTTGACATGCACCATTAGGCCAATATTGATGGTTTGCAATTAATTGAGTTTGTGTCCAAGTTCTGTTGCATTTTTGTTTTTACTATTGAAAGACTTATCAAGTTTGGTGGAGAGACCACCAGTTCTTATCGATATGTTTTTTGCTTTTCTTTTTCCTTTGCAGGGGGGCAACCTCACAAGAGGAGGAAAACTTCAGAACCTCTTGTAATTGAAGACCGACTAGAATCATTAATATGTCGAGTTGGTGAAAAGGTAATATCTGGTCCTTTTCTTGTCAAAAAATCTCATCTCATTTGATCATGCTTAATTCAGACATCGCTGCCTTCTCTGCTAATGCATATGACACCTAGAACATTTCCATTTGTATTTTCTCAGAGTACTTCCTCACTTGAAAGCAATTTAGAGGGGCTGGCTGGTGTTTTGGAGGCTGACCTACCCAACTACAAAAGCAAGATCTTGAGAATTCTTTGTGCAGTGTAAGTTCACAAAAAACACTTTTAAAACTAGTTTTCTCCCAACTGTCAGTTAGTGCTTCGGCGTTCCGAATCCTTGTCTGACAAGGGCGAGCAAAAAGATCAACCACAGGAGGTCCTTCTGCTCTCCACCTATAGTAACCAGAGCGTATGCACTGTGGTTGCTGTGGAAACTCCCTAGTCGTCACTCTGTACCTGTGCCATCATGCTGGAAACAAATCCAGCATGCCAACGTCTCTGATGAGATTTGCCCTGCTTGGAGATGCGTCCCAGACAGGGCAAATCAAAGAAGACTTGCGGAGGGCAACCAAGAAGTGGGTGTTGCATTAATAGTAACACTCACAAAGCAGCGCTGAAGCGGAGGAAAAGTGAGTAAAACTTTATATTTTACGTTGATTACACCAGATATTTTTGATATATGGTGTATTTAATGTATATGGGAGCAATATCTGTTTTTTCAGAACTAATTTACTTTAATTTTACAGTCATCTGTTATCTATGTTAATATCTATGCATATTTTTTCCCCTTTCTTATTTCATACAGTTGCCGTTCATTGCCAGAGAAAATGACTGTTTACACTACATTAGTGGGTCTCCTAAATGCCAGGAATTACAATTTTGGTGGAGAATTTGTTGAAGCCATGATTCGTGCACTCAAAGAGACCATAAAATCAAATGCATACACAGAGGCTACGTATTTTGTAAGCTATTAATGCTTTGTCTCCTGTCCTTCACAAATAGTTTGGCAATTTATTAATATTTTGGCATCTGGTCACTTTGAAGTAAACCCGTTAAGATTTCCAAAATCTATCATACTGTAATAAAATTGTGTAATGGGTTTTACAGATTAGTGCCTCGATTATTTATTCTTGCATAAGCTCTTTAAATGATTTAATATTTTTAGATTAGCTTTTAAATGCCTTTTCTTTTTTAAATATCAAAAGTTTATCCAAAAAAATATTAATTTAAGTCCTAAATTAGCAGATTTTTTTTTTTTTTTTTTCCACCAATTGTACAAACAATATTTGTTGTGGCATGTACAAGATCATACGTGGTGCCTGTTCCTCCAGGCTGAGCACTGTAAATGCTGCCTTTCTAGAGGAAATGCAGTGATTACATTGGTGCCATCTCTAGTGGCAGTCACACAGACGATCACTAGAGGTTTTATCTAATCCAACGCTGCACAGTGTCTCTGCGTGGAGGCGCTATACATTCTCCATAGAGGTGCTTTCCTATTCACTGAGGTCAAGACTGATGATCTTGGCCATGGAGGCGTTGAGACCAGTGTATGAAAAAAGGTGATTAAAACTTAATGTACCTAAACACTGTGTGTATTCCTGACACTTTAGTGTTCCTTTAAGCCCAGCAGTAATTCTGGCAGCCAGGTGCGTGCCTGAAAGTTATTTATCTCACCAACCCTTCAGCACAGTTAGGCTTATTATATAATTAATAAGCTCCCCTACTTTTATGTATATTTTTTGTTTCTAATTATGTTGTACTGTAAAGTATATCCAATCTACCAGATTTATGTGAGCAACCTGTGGAAAAAGGCAAAGCAGTGGCTAAAACCAAGCATCTAGCTTGCTCTATCTGCAATGAACCAAAAAAAATTTATGTATTTTTTTTCTTCATTCAAAGGGGGTTCCTCCTCCCCTCACTAATAAATTTTGTTTTGCAGTACCTTATGTGTCTGCGTTGATTGTGAATATGGAGGTATTGTGGGGTTCTATGCTTTGGGGAAAAGGAGCAATAGAAGGGACGTAACTTTGAAATTCCCATTCTCATACTGCATGTCTTGCAGAAGATAGTTTAAGTTCATTCAGGTATATACTGCCTCTATTCCTAGGGAAAAATACATTTACACTAAGTACAATTTTTAGCTTTTCCTCATCTGCAAAGTGTGCTTTTGTTGTGCCAGGACTAAACCGGATTGTGATGTCGTTTACAAAATCTGTAATATTAGACCAATTAATGAATAAAGTTAATACAAAGTATTGGTGTTCTGTTTTTTGTTTTAAACATTGAAGCAATTTCCAATAGAAGTGACCGTTCTCCCTTTAACACCTCAACCTATTAACAGATTAAAGTCCCTGCTTATATAGTGAACACATGATGTGCTTCTTGTGGTATAAAATTAAAGTTTTGTATATTTTTATTTCTTCTCATTTTTCACACCAAGGTCCGCTTTCTTTCTGATCTCGTGAATTGCCATGTAATCGCAGCTCCATCAATGGTAGCCATGTTTGAAAGCTTTGTTGGGGTCACTATAGAAGAAGATATTCCTCAGGTAACACAATGACTGTGCACCCTAACCAAAACAGTATTAGTTTCATTGCTACAGAATACAAGCAATTTTTTATATATATATATATATATATATATATATATATATGCGCAATGGTTTAGATTTCGGCCTCCCCTTTGCAGAGTAAAGAGATTTATTTATTTTTTTAGGTGCGAAGTGATTGGTATGTTTATGCAGTTCTCTCATCCTTGCCCTGGGTTGGAAAAGAATTGTATGAGAAAAAAGATGTTGAAATGGATCGCATTTTATCACAAATTGAAAGTTATCTTCAGTAAGTTATAGTTTGAATTGTAGACATAGCATTTGGTCTTTATAATATTTCATAAGTTAAGAGTTTAATTTTACTTATATGGAGCCTTGCCATTCTCAAACAGCTGATGTATGTATATTTGTACATGGCTCCATTTATGTATACACATACATAAATGGAGCCATTATTGCCTTTATACAATATAACAGGGCTCGACAAATCCCAAGTCGCCATGTCACATATAAATTTTGCCTTGGTGCCTGAGATATGCGAGCCTCTTAACTCCAAGCTTGGCGTGCGACCAGCGGCAAGTTGGGGGATTTTCTAGGAAGACGACTTGCTGTGTGGTCATGGAGGCGGGCGGCTAGCTGCGCGAATAGGAGGGCGGTGAGGGATCTGTGATGTCTCTGCTCTCCCGCGCGCAGCTTAATAAAACTGGGGCTGGGATGTCATTTTCCGGCCCCGATCTCTCTAAGCGGCGCGAAACATCACAGCTCCCTCGCCGTCAGAAACAATATGCGCAGCTAGCCACCCGCCTCCACGACCACTCAGCAAGCTGTCTTCCTAGAAAATCCCCCAACTTGCCTCCATAATCCTTTAGCATGCCACTCTCCTGCACCCCAGCCTGTCGCCCACTAGACCCGACAGGTATTAAAACAATCAATAATGTGTGTATCTCTGTCATGGGGGGGGGAGGTGTATTTCTGTCATGGGGGGGGGGATTTCTCTCTCTGTCATGGGGGACCCTTTTGTTCTTTGTCTTCCTTCCGTGAATATTTTAAAATATATTTTTACATTTGCAATTTTGCATAATGTTTTTTCCATCTATGCTTTAGACATACTAATCTAGTTTTAGAGTTGACTGCATGCTAACTCGTTTTGTTATTTATATTAGACGGCGTCAAAAAATTCATGTGTCTCTCTTGCAAATATGGTCAGCAGAAAAACCGCACCCACAAGAAGAGGTAAGTTGACTATTAATTTTAACTTTGTGAGTCTAGTTTTGGAGAAGGCCCTTTTCCCCATATATGTACATATTAGGAATGGAAATTTTAAAAATAGCATGGCTATTCTGACAATAAAAAACAAAACCTGTGTGTACCTCTAAAAATAGCAAAATTCCTAAAACATTGTGAATTCATCATGGCCACAGCAATCACAGCCAATAAATGTGATCTTAATAGGGATTTGAAGTTAAGATTGCAACAGTAGTGCGAGAGGTGGGAAGAAAACTGCATTCATGAAATGAGGTTTCTTGAAATTCCCTACACAGACTAAAAATATAATTTTGGCTGCAGTATCAACAGCAAAATTAAAGGACCACTATAGTGCCAGGAAAACAAACTTGTTTTCCTGGCTCTATATGGTCTTTGGGTCCACCCACCCTCAGGATCCCACTCCCGCCCGGGGGGCGAGGGGGCGGAGAAGGGGTTAAATTCTTACTTTTCTCCAGCGCCGGGCTTCCTCGGCGCTGGGGACTCTCCTCCCTCTTCCGACGTCATCCGCTGAATGCGCATGTGCGGCAAGAGCCACGTGCGCATTCAATCAGTCCATAGGAAAGCATTTCTCAATGCTTTCCTATGGATGTTGGCGTCTTCACACTGTGAAAATCAGTGAGAAGTGCGGAAGCGCCTCTAGTGACTGTCAGTGAGACAGCCACTAGAGGCTGGATTAACCCATATGTAAACATAGCAGTGTCTCTGAAACTGCTATGTTTACAGCTGCAGGGTTAACCATAGATGGACCTGGCACCCAGACCACTTCATTGAGCTGAAGTGGTCTGTTTGCATATAGTGGTCCTTTAAAGTTAATATTATTTTACCTTTAGCTTAAACTGGTCTTTCGTTGAACTCTTAAAACTTTTATTAAAGAAAACTGTTAATTCTTCCAGTATTTGGACTGCTTGTGGGCCCAGATTCAGAAGTTGAAGAAGGATCGCTGGCAAGAAAGACACATATTGCGCCCATACCTTGCCTTTGACAGCATTCTTTGTGAGGCCTTGCAACACAATCTACCACCGTTCACACCACCACCTCATACAGAAGGTTCTGTTTACCCAATGCCAAGAGTCATTTTCAGGATGTTTGACTATACCGATGCTCCGGAAGTACGTACTATTAGTACAATGTAATGTAGCTAACTAGTAAAGTGTAGATGACCTTCTGTTGTGGTATATTGCTTTAATTGTAATTGCTGAATATTGCATACTGATTAATTCTACATTCTAAAACTTTCATTGCAAGGATTTTCTTATTGAAGTTTATTTATTTTGACTAGGGTCCAGTTATGCCAGGAAGTCATTCAGTGGAAAGATTTGTTATAGAAGAAAATCTCCATTGTATCATTAAATCACACTGGAAAGAGAGGAAAACTTGGTATGCATTTGTTTTGTTTTAATTTAAATTTATATAAAAGTAGGAACGATAGAGATGAAAATGAGATATTTATGCTTAATGTGTGTATATATGTGTGTGTGTGTATATGTATATATATATATATATCTCTATCATTCAGAAAGTATTTAAATCCCTTAATTTTTTTTCACATTAAAAAAAAAAAAAAAATGTTACAGCCTTATGCAACAAATCAAAAGATTTCTAGAGTGCCTAGGGAAAAGGTTATTTTGAAACCCGGGGAAAAAATAGGAAAACCCATTAACCTTGCAAGCATACTATAAAATCACATACACTGTATCCCTTCTATTTTAACCTGATCTAGTGGCTAATGACGAAACATATATTTTTTTTAATTTTTTTTTAATTATCCATTTTACATGTCAATTTGAATGAAATGTATTTTTTTATTTTCTATTTGTAACAATTATTTTGCATAACTGGAGCAATCACGGGCTGGCATTTTAGGGATTTATCTTCCTATTAAGAAACTGAAAAGACTGTTTTCTTTACAATGGAAAATTTGTTGCTTGATACTAAATTTATCTTGAATGCATTGCTATAATCTGATAGTTTTGAATCAATGTTCCTTCCTTAGCCAATAGATGGTGTTAAAATATAAGCAATAAAGTGTGTGTGACTTTATTGTATGCTTATGAAACCGTTGTTTAATTTTTTTTTTTCACTTCAATCTACATTCATGACAAATAAAAAATAGTTTGACACTATTTGAGAATATATTAAACTGAAAATAGCTGAAGTATCACATTGACTTAAGTGTTCAGGTCCTTAACTTAGTACTTAAGCACCTTTAGCAGCAATAACAGGCTTAAGTCTTTTTTGGTATGATGTGACCAGCTCTGCACAGATGGATTTGAGAAGTTTTTGTCATTTATTTATGAAGATCCTCTTAATCTGTCAGCTTGGACAGACATTTTCAGGCTACATTTCAGAGATATTTGATTGGGTTAATGTCTGGACTCTGGCTGGACTTCTTAGTGACATTCAAAGCATTGTCCCTAAGCCACTCTTGCGTTTTAATGACTGTGATATAAAAGTCATTGTTTTGTTGGATAGTGCACCTTCAGTCCAGTCTCTGATCCTATGCACACTGCACCAGATTTTTATTAAAGTCATCTCTATATTTTACTGCCTTCAGCTTTCCCTTAACCATGACCAGTCTGCCAGTCTCTGTCGTTGAAAACACATGCAAAACATGATGCTACTACCACCAAGCTGTTGGGATGGTTTTGTGTAGTTGATGAGCACAGCCTGGTTTACTCCAGACATTATACTTGGAATATAGGCAAAGGCAGTTCAACTCTCGTTTCACACAGTCTGAGTTCTTCAGATGCTTTTTATGCAATTTCCAAACTAGCATTCATGTGTGTTGCAGTGAGGAGAAACTTTGGTCTGGCCGGTTTGTCTTGAAGTCCAGATCGATGGAGTGTTGCATTGATGATTTTCCTTCTGCAAGTTTATCCCATTTCCACACTCTGAAGCTCACCTAGAGTTACCATCAGGTTCTTGGTCACCTATCTTACCAAAGCCTTTCTACCCCTATTGCTTAGTTTGGCTGGGGAGTCAGTTCTTGGAAGATTCCTGGTTGTTCCAAACTTCGTCCAGTTGCAGAATTATGGAGGCCTTTGTGCTCTTTTAAACCTTCACTGCAGCCAAGATGTTTTGTAGCCTTCCTTAGATATGCACATCGAGCAAATCCTGGCTGTGAGCTCTTGAGGCATTTTTGTAGCCTTCTCCAGATGTGTACCATGAGCATATCCTGACTGCGCTCTTAAGGCAGTTTTTTTTACCTCATGGCTTGGTTTCTGCTCTAGTATGAATTTATATAGACCGCTGCATACCTTGCAAAATAATGTCCAATTGTATTTACCTCAGGTGGACTCTGATCAATGTGTAGAAACAACTCAAAGATTATCCAGAGAAATGGGATGTATCTGGACGTAATTGTCATAGCAAAGAGTCTGAATACTTATGTAAATGCAATATGTCCGTTTTTTGTTTTTGTTTTTTACATTGAGGGTAGATTGATGTGAAACCTAAAAACAACAAAACCTAAAGTGTGGGGGGAAAAAAACAACTTTTTTCAATGCACTTTTTGTAATTATCATATTTTTTTGAAGGGAGAAAGCATTCTGAAAATGTTTTTTAGCCGTTAACTAAGATGTGGCTTGGAGCAGAAGATCCTCCAGTGATGGACCAATCCTCCTCGTAGCAGAGTTTTACTCTGTCAGTGCAGCAAAAGCATCTCCACCAGCTGTCAGAAAGACCGCCACTAAAGGAGGATTTAATCTTGCAATGTAAACAATTTTCTTTAAAAAAAAAAAATGTTTTACATTGCAGGGTTAAGACAGGGCCATTGGCCACAGGGCAATTTTATTGAGATGATGTGGTCTGGGTGACTATTGTGTGCCCTTTAAACCAGAGACTGAATATGATGCAAGTAAGAACATCATGAAAAAAGGGTATTCATTGATCCGTTTTATGTTTTTCTTTTAAAGCTAGCCACTTTGAGTTAAAAAAAAGTCAAAAACAGTTTCCACTTAATTGGAAATAATCTGTTCTATATCTTTCTCTTGTAGTGCGGCACAGCTATTAAGCTACCCAGGGAAGAACAAAATTCCTTTGAACTATCATATAGTTGAGGTATGTGAGTAGTGTTTAGTTCTACAGTTAATGGTTTATTTGCTATACGGTAACATATGCTGTATTGAAAACTCAATTCCAAGATTTGGCAGTTATAGTTTTATTAGCAGGTTATTACAGTCATACTAATCATTGAATTGTATTTTTCCATTGTTATTTCACTCATCCCTTGTTCCTATTAGTTGCTTGGCATCTGTTCGTTACATTGAGGAATTAAGACAGCTATATTAATGTAAAGGATAGGATGCTGATTACAGTTGACAAAAAGTGTCATCAAGCACTTAAGTAAGGCATTATTGTGCAAAGATTAAAAAAAAATAGTGTGTTATAAAGATACATACTTTTTCACGCCATTTTCTGAATGGGGAGCAAGACAGAGGCAGAGTGTCAGCTGACACTCTCAGCCTATTAGCGTCATCTACATCAAGACTTCCTGATTAACCCCTTAAGGACACATGACATGTGTGACATGTCATGATTCCCTTTTATTCCAGAAGTTTGGTCCTTAAGGGGTTAAAGCCTCAGACTTTCAGAGAAAGTGGATGGGGCAGAGCTTTTGGGAGCCGTCTTCCAGTCTTTAGGTTTAAATTATTAACTATTTAACTCCTTAAGGTAAGACGGCACCGGAGACCATCTAGCACCATGGCAACTTTGAGTGAAGTTGGTATGGAGCCCAGAGTTTCCATTTAGTATCGTTATTTTTCGATTTCCAGCCTTTCAGGCTTATTGAACTTGAAGTGATTTTGTTACTTGTAATACAGATTTTCTTATTGCTCTGATTTGTGTTCTGTTCCTAGGTTATATTTGCTGAACTCTTCCAACTTCCAGTCCCACCACATATTGAAGTCATGTATACAACACTATTAATTGAACTCTGCAAACTGCAGCCTGGATCTTTACCACAAGTTGTATCCTTTTTATTTTTATATTTTGGAGGCGACGCAGTCCTATATAAATCTGTCAATTTTAAAAAAGGTGTTTTAGTTGCAATCTGCATGTAACTCTTGTTAAAACTCTGGTTATATGCGCAAACCATTTTTGTAGCAAGGCATTAAGATTTCATTCACTAAATTGAGAATTCAAAGAAAATTACAAATATAAGATCAGTCGGTAAACTGAAAGTATGGTTGACTTTTAGACGTTTCCCAGTTTGGCTAATTTAAAACTCACTCTGAATTCACCTTGAATACTCACTTTAGTGAATAACCCTGATAGTTTTCATTGTGAATTTTCCAGGGTTTCCAATTTATACTATATTAGCAATTTATATGTCAAAATAGTTGAAGCATCTTTGTGGTCCATACTTTATTTTAATACAGAGAAGTTATTTGGAATGACTTAGTTGAGTCGTGCAATATGGCAATTGCCAGGTTTGGAATAATCTGATGGGATGTGTAAATGGGAACAAAAGATGGAAATAAATTTATTTCAGATATTTAAACGTCAAAATATCATCAGATGGTATGCAGTTTGTTTTTAAATGTCTGTTATTTTAATCAAAACTTGTAGTTCGTAGTTTTCCTTATTGGAAATCAATAGCTTGCACAAGCCACTGAAATGCTGTACACGCGCTTGGACACCATGAACACAACTTGCATTGACAGGTAAATATAACGTGCAGTAAAATTTGCTGTATGAACAAATAAAACTTAAATGGACACTCTAGGTATTGGTTTATCATTCTTGGAATTTCTTGGCATCATTCCTCTTTTTGAATGGTTAAACAAGAGTCCCTGAAGGCTGGGCCCCTCTACTGTTTAGTCTAATGAGGATTCATTAGATTGAGCAGCAGTGGCAGGGATGAAGCTAAGGGCCAACCATTAACTAACCACTTCAATTAGATGTAATGGTTGAAGTACCTAGAGTATTCCTTTTAAGAAAATAGATATTTTAATTTAATCCTATAGTAGTTTAACTACAATTCAAAGTTTTCTGGCAACATAACATAACTGCAGGTGAAGAATTGTGGGAATTACAGTTCATCTACTGTTGCAGTGCCTAGGTTACACAGCTCTGCTAAAGGGGCATGCATCACTTGACTTTTAAACCAGCAAGCAAATACTTATAAACATACAAACCAAAGTAAAGCAAAACCAAAAACCTACAGCTTCTCTTGCAGTGAGAAGTGCTGCTTTCACCTCAGTCTTTAAAGGGGAACATAACAAGTTATAAAAACTTTATCTCCATTCTAAATACACACTATTTTATCCCTATACTACATATACCAAAACATTTTAATCTTCAGAATTAGGCTCTACATACCCCTCTTCTGCAGCTCAGCTATTGGAAATCCAACTTTGTGTGATAGTGGTGAGCTGAGAGGAATGGGGCAGGTATTTTCTGAACAGTTTAATGATTACATAAAGAACTAATTTCTTTTATTTTAATTTATTTTTAGGTTTATAAATTGGTTTTCTCACCATCTGAGTAACTTTCAATTCCGATGGAACTGGGAAGATTGGTAAGTGCTTTTTAATCTTTCTTTGCTAGAAGAGATGACTTTCTAGTATCTGTCATATTAACTACATTATTTTAATTAACTTATTTATGTGTTGCAGGGCTGATTGTATTCCTCAAGACCTAGACAAACCTAAACCCCAATTTGTACGAGAAGTTTTAGAAAAATGCATGAGGTATATATAAGATTTTGTATATAGTGTTTTGCTTTATATTTGCCGGATTATGACTTTCTATACATGTGCTACTAATTTGTAGTTATCTCAGAGGCTGGTATTAGTTAATCTACATTAAGGGATGTGGCGGGACCAGCCTCGCCACTGGGCATTGGAGAAGACTGATTGCCAGCCTCCTGCCCTGTGACTATGGCCCCATGTTGAAATGCTTGATTTTCCCCCGCAAAGACCCGAAAGCCAGGTCATTCGGTACTTTCCCTATGTGAGCAGTGTTACCCCAGATAGCTATGCCATAGAGCCCATTTGTATAACGAAAGACTATGTGAAAGACTTTGGCTCCATGTCAATTGAACTGTATATATGCGATCTGAGCGCCATTCAGTAATAATGTGCGCTCAGATCTAAGCTATCTGGGGATATGTGCCTGTTTTATGCAATAGCTGCACAGTTATATATTTTTATGTATTTTATTGTATTTTGCTACCATGTGGCTAATGGAGTTTTGCCTCTGTCCTTGGAGATAATTGGATTACTTCCCAATTATCTCCAGGATAGACTCTGTGGAACTGGTTTGGGGCAGAAAAGCCATGCTTCGTTTGGTCACAAAGGGACTTTCAACTAACTTTTGACCCACTGGACCAATTTGTATGATTTTGATGTATGTTTGTATTTGGAGTATGCTGATTCTGAAAATGTGAATGTGATGTATACTTTTAGAGTTATGAATATTGTGTAAAACTGTGTATTTTCCTGCCTCTGATTAAGTTAGACCATTGTGTTCAGTAATTATATCACAGGCAGAGGGGAGGATTTTGTGTGGGAGTGTCTGAATGTATTGTACGTATTGATTGGTTGTTCTGCAAAACCCTGTGGGCAGTACTATGTGTGTAAAATGTGCATAAAAGAGGCTGTATGTGCCAGTACAGAAAGTTCTACTTCACCCTCAATCGGAGTCCTGTCTCTTATTGGAAGATCTGCTACAAGGGATTGCAATGCTCTGCATATTCCCTTGCTATAATCACTACCAAGCTCTTGTAAGAGATTGTTCCTGCCTTGCTCTCTGGAGGAGTCTATGGTAGTTATGGTGTCGGCTGGAGTGCTTGGAGCCCTCAGGAAGCGCTAGGAGCATCCATCAACGGAGGTACCCAGTCGGGGTGCTAGGTGATCGGTTACAATGGATATTTTAGTGCGCTCAGACATTTTCAATGAAACACATTATAGATGGCTTAATGTTCACAGCATATTCTGCATACATAATCCTGTATCTGCAAATCTTATTTCCGTTTTTTTTTTTTTAAACTTCTCTCCTTTCCTAGGCTTTCTTATCACCAGAGGATATTGGACATTGTGCCTGCAACCTTTTCTGCTCTGTATCCACCAGCTCCCAAATGTGTTTTCAAATATGGAGATGAGAGCGCTAGTAAGTGACTTTTTTTGTTTGTATGCACATGTTTTACTGTACTATATTGTATTAAAGGAACACTATAGGTACTATAGTGTTTAATATGCACCATTTAGGTGGCTTGAGCCCCCCCCTCCCCCCATGACTCCCTAAGAAGGGGTTACAACTCACCTTATTTCAAGTGCCGCACGGCTCTACCAACGCTAGCTCCACCCCTGAACCACCTCCTTGGTGACCTCAAAATTTCAGATTTTTAGCCAATCCATTGGAAGGTGGGGTGGGTGTGGGGCCGAGCATGGAGACGCTGAACGGCAGTGCTGTCTACTGTGCAGCACTGCCCCAGGGAGCCCCTCCAGTGGCCACTTGGCTAGGGGCAATGTAAACACTGTATTTTCTCTGAGAAGGCAATGTTTGTTTGAAAATGCATGAAGGGGATGTTTATACTAACCAGAACAACTACGTTAAGCTGTAGTTATTCTTGTGACTATAGTGTCCCTTTAAGTATTAGGTGCCGAAACAACTTTTAAACTTAATGATGTGGTTTTGGCGTACCAATCATACACTTGCAGTCTTATTGCTCAATTCTCTGTCATTTTAAAGTAAATCACTGTTATGCAGCCCTAGTCACACATCCCCTGGCTGAGGCTCAGAGACTCCCTATACACTTCATAAAGTCTAATTGTTTGATTTTTTTTTTTAATTTTTTTTTTTTAACCTTCCATTATAGCACCGTGATTAAACACCCACATGGCAGATAATTGAGCTGTGAGCCTGCAGGTGCATTACCTATACAATAAAATTGCTATATTAAGAAGCTCAGGGACAAAAACCTGTTTTCCTGATCCTATAGTGTTAAAACCATCATTTAGCCCTCCTGTTCCATCCCCCCAAATATTGCAAAATCTTGCCTTTATTTCAGTCTGCCTGTTTTGGCTCTGCCCCTGATCTGCCTGTTTTGGCTGACCTCAGAAGTGGAAATCTGAGCCAGTCAAATGCTTTCACATAGGAAAGCATTGGATTGGCTGAGACTGTCAAGGATGCAGATTGGGGCAGAGCCAGCGCAAGCCAAACACAGCGCTGGCTAATCAGCATCTCCTCATAGATATGCATTGAATTAATTCATTCCTATGAGGAAAGTTCAGTGTCTGCATGCACAGGGTGGACACACTGTCAGAGCTGCACGCTATGAAGTACTGCCCCAGGAAGATTCAAACCAAGAAATTATAAAAAGGGAAAAATTTATACCAAAACACTTTTATTAAAAATAAAAAAATAAACCATTTAAAACTTAACTTTCATTAATTCAGCTATATAAAAAGGTAAAAACATACAAGTACATCAAGAACAGTCCCTACATAAAGAGACTAAAAGATATGGTAGTCAAAAATTTGAACTAAGATTAAATTTGACATAGGTAGCGAATTCAATGAATCAAAAACTGCCTGTCCATTTACTTCATATTGAAAAAAGAGCTCGTACAGAGGCTACTTAGTAGCAACACATACATGCCACTACGGTAACTTTGTATCTTATCAAGAAACTAGCATAATAGGAAAGAATTGTCAGCTAAAAGTTGGTCTGTTTTATAGAGCATAAAATAGATACAAAAAACATCTCACCTCTATATCCATCAAAGCAAAAGGGGAAATGTAAGGAGAGGCTAAATGCTATACACAGTGCCTACTGTGCTTTCGATGGCCCAATTTAAAAAAAATCTCGCCACCCATCAACCCTATCCTGTAGTTGCTAGTCTCTAAATAGAGGTAAAAAATGTAAGTAGAATAATCAATTAAAGATTGGAAAATGAAAGCAAAAAAATTATTTAAAAATGTAAAGGAAAAAAATTGTCTAAATCAAAACAAATCAGGAATGTGTGGTGGCTGTATCTCCATAATCATGTAATACTGCAGCATCGTCCCATATAGGTAAAGCCTTCCCACACACAAAAACATCCAGACGCTGGCTCTTCCATTGAAGCCCTTGGAAGCACCTCTATTAAGCATCTTAGGAGTGGCCAGTGGAGGTATCCTTAGGCTGTAATGTAAACACTGCCTTTTCTCTGACAATACAGTGTTTACTGCAATACTCCTAAAGGGAATGATTCTACTAACCAGAACAAATACAATAAACTGTAGTTGTTCTGGTGATTAGTGTCCCTTTACCTAGCTTTGTTCTTGTGCTTAGAGTATCCATTTAATGCTAATGTGAAATTTGGTCAGGGAGAAAATTACTAGCTGTTCTGTGTAAAGTGTTTATTATTTAAAAATAATAAATGGTGATGGAAACAATAATGTGTTTTTTTTTTTTTTTTCTGCTCTTCTACAGGTTCCTTGCCTGGATATGCCATTGCGCTCAAATTGACAAGTGTGATAAAAAATAAGGCGGTTAATGAGGATATTTTTAATGTTTTAAAAGATGTTCCTAATCCAAATCAAGATGACGATGATGGTAAGAATTCCTATCTGACCTTTGCCATGTAGCTTAGTAAATTGTTAAATACTTTGTAGTGCTTTGTAATGACAACTTTTTTTTTTTTTTTACATTCTTAAAATGTAAATAATCATGCTTTACACTTAAGCATTTTCTTAATAAACAAAATATCCACTGTAAAATAGTTCACTTGTATGTTTTGCTTACAGATGAAGGAATAAGCTTCAATCCACTGAAGATCGATGTTTTTGTGCAGTCCCTGCTGAATTTGGCATCAAAGTCCTTTAGCCATTCCTTCAGTGCTATTGCAAAGTAAGTGTTTTTTCTTGTATCCCTGCTGAAATGTAGGACAAAAAAAATGGGTCATCCTACTTAGCAAACTTTGGCTTGCCTTTCAGTTCTCCACTCTTTAGTCCTGCATTTTTTTAAAAAAAATTTGGGGAACAGCTTCTTTTTCTCTTGTCACTGGAGGTCTTGTAGAATTTGTAGTCCTGCTTTTTTCCTTTTGTTTGTGTGTGTGTGTATGTGTGTGTATGTGTGTATATATGTGTGTATATATGTGTGTATATATATATGTGTATATATATATATATATATATATATATATATATATATATATATATATATATATATATATATATATAATTACCAGCCACTGGATTCTCCCCCATATTTGCTTTGTCTAAAATGGTACTTTGATTTAGTCAGGATGACTGCATATCAGCCTTCCGTCCTTTTTATTCAAGACAACTATCTTTTGGTGTCCAAGCCAGTCTTCTGGTTCATTCTTCCATTCTTACCTTGGTCCTGGATTTTGTGAATAGGATATATGAAGGGTTTGTGGTTGTACAAATATTTTAACCTTTATTGAGAATTTTAATTCTTGATAGCTTAGAGCTTGGACTTCGGAGCAAGTTCTCACAACATTCTGGCCTAAAGCATACTCCAGAATGATGACCTTTTGCTTCACTAATTTTTAATGTTGCTTCCTGATCCCCTCTACTACTCCATACGATTACTGTGTTTTAAGGTACTCCAAGAGTCCATGGTGTAACAATTCCCAATTCTTTTTTTTACTGTGGTTAATGACCTGGACTGACGGTATGCCTTGTGAACTTAGCGGGAAACTACTGATTTATAAGTTAAATATGTTTGCCTTCTGTGAGGTAAACTGTTCTTCAAGCAGCATTTTTAAAATTATTTTTTACAGAGTCTTGGCTATGTAGTCTTCAGTTAATCCTATTTGTCCAACACTAAAAAAGAGTTGTTTTTTTTTATTTGATAAAGCCATTTTGTATTTCCATTTGAGTGTTGTAATAATATAGCAAAAATGTTTGTTTAACCTCTTTAGATTAAGGCTTAGATAAATATTGTTATGGTTCTGGCATGTCATCTGTCATGAAGGTGTTAAAGATAGGATTTATTTTTGTCCCTTCATGAGAAACAAAAATCCAGGTCTGTCCCAATATAAACAAACTTGTGTGGTTAACGTGTGTCTGCTTCGGTGCAATTAGCTGCTTAATGCTGTACTGTATAAGTCAGTGGTTCCCAAACTTGTCCTTAATGCACCCCTACCAGTCCAGGATTTGGGAAGTACCCGGTTGTGTCTAAGGTGTTTTAAGAAAAAAAAAAAAACACACACACACACAACTGGGTAATCCCTAAATCCTGGGTGCTTTTGGGAACCACTGGTCTAAGTCTTTGGAAATATGTAGTTACTAATTGTGCTTAGCTGTGACATGGGATATTGATCATTACATGCATTATCTTAACAAGGTTTCATGAAGTTTTCAAAGTATTATCTGACAGCGATGAAGGGAAGCTTCATATTCTCAGGGTCGCCTATGAGGTTTGGAAAAATCACCCACAGGTAAGGGGCTTAATCTGCCTTCAAATGTCCCTTTTCTTTGATCAGATTTGCATAGTGTCTACTTTACTTTTGTAAACCCTGTAGTCCTTGTTATGGAATAATTTAATTCTTTTATGGAATATCTTAATTTTTTTTTTTGTAATAGAAGACAAAACCTATTACCGAAAAATATTAAGAAATTAAAACTATCAGACATGAGTCGGAAATTGTTGAAATGCAGTTGGCAAATTTTTATGTATCAGAAACTTTTAATGCCACAGCCATGCCACTTGTGACTTGAAAATTAAAATAAAGGTACATTGAATCAATTGAGGATTCATTCCCCTGCTTGAGGGATTAGCTAAACACTCCATTATCAGGATGACTGAGCATGGCTAGAGTTACGTAATACATGATATAGAAAAACAGAAATAATCGCTCACTACAAAAATACAAAAGAGGGCAGCAGTAAATCCGTGAGGATTCCCAAAACCTCACAAATAGTGATGTCCTGAACGGTTCGCCGCGGACTCATCATTCCAGCCAATCAGAAGCAGACCCTCCCTCCCAGACCCTCCCAACTCCTGACAGCTCACTAAGAATGCAGCTTCAAAATGGATGCTGTCCAGGAGGTGGGAGGGTCTGCTGCTGATTGGCTGGAATCATGAGTCCGTGGCGAACGGTTCACGAACCGTTCGGGACATCGCTACTCACAAACAGTACAAATTATAACAAACAAAGTGACAAACTGTGCCCAAAAGGGTGTAAAAATGTACAGCACCACTTGTATTAATATATATATATACATATCATTTTATAGAGTTGCTGTATACAGGTATTCAGTAACTTTTGGTAACCTCAAAGAAAAGAAAAAAGACAGTGTACAATATTGTAACAAAATATGTAATGTTTTATATAAAGTGTATATAGGGCCAACTCACACTTTATTGAACTACTAAGCGCTCTGCTGTGAATAGTTTGGACTGTACAATCACAGTCTATGGATATATGGAGCTCTGTTGTACTTGCCGTTATGTGTGTGTGTATATATATGTGTGTGTGTGTGTGTATGTATGTATGTATGTATGTATGTATATATATATATATGTGTGTGTGTGTGTGTGTGTGTGTGTGTGTGTATATATATATATATATATATATGTGTGTGTGTGTGTATGTATATATATATATATATATATATGTGTGTGTGTGTGTGTGTATGTATATTCGCTTATGGTGTAGTATGTCTATACACAAAATAGTAAATAAGTGGTATCCTACTAATAATATCCAGAGCAATAACTTGCTCTGGTTTTGAGATATGTATATATGTATGTATGTATAATGAGTTCAATTATTCCAGTACACACTGGCTGGGCTTCCTCAGAAGTGTGGATAATCCTGTCCTGGTTTATATAGGCTGTATGTCAGTAATCAGTGAAATCTGGTGTGTCTAATGCATTTCCTGCTTGTGCTTCGGTCGCCCAGGAAGTGACGCGTCACAATCATTACCTTGCATGGGTTCATAGGGTATGTAGTCTTACAGCCGCGAGTATACAATGATATTCAGTATTTCACGTCCGTCTTTGTGTAGCTCCGCTCTTTATATTACGTTAGCAAATAATGATGTATCGGCAGTTCATTGCAAAATATATCCCCAGAGCTTGGTCGTCCATATTGAATGAGGGCAAAGTGTGGGAAACAAACATTGCATTAGAATAAATGGACTAACTGTATTTAAAATACCAAGCATTCCTTAAAGTCCATAGAAAGTAGCACTCATTAAACATTGTTAAACTGTGAACATTATTTAAAAAAGAGAGAGGTAACCTAAAACTTACCAGTACAGTTAGATAAACTATTAGTGAATGTGAATAAGCCAAGGAGAGGTATAGATATAGAAAAGTGGTGTAATATAAATATAAAAATATAAATAAATTAAACAGGTTGGATGCCAAAACCCATAAAAATAGTAAGGATTACAAGAAATTAAAGGGACGCTATAGTCGTCCCCAAAAACTACAGTTTACTGCAGTTGTTCTGGTGAGTATAATCATTGCCTTCAGGCATTTTCATTCAAACACTGCCTTTTTAGAGAAAATTCTGATGTCATCAAGGAGGCAGATCAGAGGCAAGGCCAGTGGCGCTGGAAATAAGAGTTTTAATTCCCTTTGTGGCGGGGGGGGCAAGCCACCTAAATGGTGGGTCTAACACTATAGGGTTAAGAATACATGTTTGCATTCCTGACCCTATAGTGTTCCTTTAAACAGATCAAAATCGGCATTCAGATCATTAGGGTGTCTAGATAATACACCCATTCCATCTCTTTTTAGCCAAGCAGTATATGATATATTCTTTGGATTTTTTTTTTCTTCGTGTAGTCCTACTAACATACAAATTTTATTTAAATTTTTGTTTTTAGATGACTGCTGTGTTGGTTGATAAGATGATACGTACACAGATTGTTGACTGCGCTGCAGTGGCCAACTGGATTTTCTCCAGTGAATTATCACATGATTTTACCAGGTTAGCTGGATTACTTTTGTTACCTTCTAATTGCGTTTTATCTTACAAATGAGTGTTATTTTCCCAAAATGTGGGGTGTGTAGTTATCTATGCTTCAGTTAAAGAGTTTGACTGTCTCTAATATAGTTTGTTTTATAAATTGCAAAAATAATTGAAATCCAATCCATCCGTGTGAGATGTCATGATTCCTTTTTATTCCAGACGTTTGGTCCTTAAGGGGTTAAGTGATATTTCTTTAGTTGCATTAGTTGTGTTGAAATTACAATCCCAAACACCAGAAATCTCAATAAAGCCTTGGTCATTAAGAGATTAAACTCTAGATTTGGAGGTTTTTGTTACAAACTGCAATTCATCGAAATTTGTGCCTATCGCGGTGATTGATCAAATTGCCAAACTTCAAGCTGATATGTAGTTGAATCGTGAACCAAACAAAACAAAGTTTGTTTGTTTTTCCGTCAATTGGTTACTTTTTCTCACTTGATCTGTGCACCAAATGATGGAAACATGCACCAATCGATCTACAGTGAAATGTATACGTATTACAGGGTTGAAATTTCCAGAAACCATTAGTGAGTGAAATTTTTAGTCCTGGTGAGTAGAAATTCATGCCTATATGATATGCTATGGCTTGCAGTGCCTTGTCAGTATCATTGGATTACAAATGTTAAACCATATGCATAATAATTTTTATTTTTTTTAATCTGTGCAGAAGTGTATTAAACACATACAAAAATATATCTCTATATCTCTGTCTCTCTCTCTCTCTTCTAGCTATGGAAAGCAATTGTTTACTGTAAATAAAAAATATATTGTACTTTTATTCTATGATCCTTTATTTCTAGTAATTAAGTTGTTTTTCATAGGTTATACATATGGGAAATCTTGCACTCCACAATTCGGAAAATGAATAAGCACGTCCAGAAAATCGAAAAAGAATTAGAGGATACAAAAAAACGTCTTGCCAGGCAGAACAAACGAGTATGTAAACCATATTACTATTTGAGAAGTAAAATCAAAATTTTAATAAGGGTGTGTTCTCTTGAATTTCTTTTGAAATACAAATTTATTAAACAGTAGATGGGTGTACATTTCTTCTTTCCCTGATTTATCTTTTTAACCTACATAACATGCCTATATGTATGCAATGAGTTTTTTTTAAATCACATTTGCTGCATGTGTTGTAGCACGTTTTATATGCCTGGTTTTTAAACACACTTTCAGAGGGACAGTGATGATGACGACGATGATGATAGTGGAAGGGAAGATGGTCCTCTGGAAGAACAGATAGAACGTTTGCAGGAGAAGGTCGAGGCCGCTCAAAGTGAACAAAAGAATCTATTCCTTGTTATCTTTCAGGTATTTTAGTAGTTTCAATTAATCATACAGGCATTTTATTAAATTTAACGTCTTTATGTTTTTGTTCATTGTGGTTTTTTTTAACATCTTATTTATTTTAAATGTATTAAAAGGTTAGTCCTCCCCATATTTTTGAAATTCCTTTCCTATGGTTTCTCTAAAATTAGAAAAATTAGGTTAAATATTAGATTCATTACATCATTTTGTATGTCTTACACATCTAATGCACAGACTATGCTGTGTGATTGCATAGTCAGTTCTTTACTACCAATAGCTCACACTCTTCAAATGTATTTATGCATATATATTATTTTTTCTTGAAACTCTATGGAAACAAGAGAACCACAACATAATTTTCTACTTACTAGATATTTGTTAATGACTAACTTTGTCATTTTTTTCAGCGCTTTATTATGATTCTTACGGAGCACCTGGTGCGTTGTGAAACTGGAGGTATTGATGTGAATACTCCATGGTATAAGAATTGCATAGAGAGACTTCAGCAAATTTTCCTCCAGGTTTGTGCTTTTCTCGTTTACAGCGTATTCAGATATTATAGAAAATGTTCTGCACCCTTGACTGTTGCATTGCAATATTAACTTTCGATAATTATTTTTCTTTAAAGCATCATCAGATAATTCAGCAGTACATGGTCACCCTTGAAAACCTCTTGTTCACAGCGGAGCTTGATCATCACATCTTGACAGTCTTCCAGCAGTTCTGTGCATTACACGGTTGATATGCACATAAGACCCTCTCATGAACTTTTGATCAGCAAGAGGAAATGAATAATTGCATTTTGTTGGTTTTTGTGTTTTTTTTTAATTACATTGAGTATTCAGAGTAAAACACTGCATTTGTGATGCTAATAGTGAAAGGACATATTTTCTAGTTAAACCAGGGTGTCTGTTAAAACATTGGTTTATTATTGGACTTGAACAGCTAAATAGTAATATGACAATACCTTATGTTTTTGGGTTGGTCATGTGATGTATTGTTACCTTTCTATACTAACATTTGTTACACCACACTTTGTAGATCTGCTTTAGATTGTGGTTTTTGTTTTGTTTTGTTTTTTCCCTTTATTTTTAATGTATTGCTAGAAAGGTTTCCTCATTGCAATGTGAAGTGAAGCAAGGAATGCATTTTTGTAAATGTGGCTACAAGTAGCCAATTATCTTTCTTTGTTGATTTTATTAACCTGCCTCAAAAAAAAAAAAATGAAATTGCTTGCAATTTTTTCCTCCCACTCTGCAACAAAATTATCATTTTTGAAAATGGCTTGGTTGAAATAAACCTGGAATACTTTTTTACTATTTGTGTGCTTGTTTTGGGGCTATTTGCTCCACTAAAAGGCTGTGCTTGTACAATAAGTAATATTCCTAAAACTTGTCTTTCTGTGCTTCAAGGGTTGGGTGGCAAATGAACCAGATTTATCACAAATTACACTTTTGTTTCAGAAATGTACACAGCTCACCTGCAGGTTACATTCTCACAATGTTCTATAAACTATACCTGTATCACAGACTGTGTGTTAGTGTAGCGTTAACATGGATTAAATCCAAATTAGATGGGATAATTTGTTGGCATATTACAATTCCTCTTAACTATGCCTCAGAGCAATCTATGTCCCTTACACTGGTAGTATTCACATATATCATCCTAATTGCACATGTGCTGTCCTCCATTGCCCTCTAGAATTAGCTCTTCGAAAATATTAAAAAGGACACTATAGACACCAAAACAACTACAGCTTATTGTTTTTGTCCTGATGAGTATAATCAGTCCCGCCTACCCCCCCAGCATTCCCAAAAGGTAAAGAGGCTGAGGGGATTTAATAAAAAAAATTGTGTTAATGTGAGTGTGTTAGTGTGTGTCTGTTAGGGAGTGTGTTACTGTGTGTCTGTTAGCTAGTGTATGCATGTCTGTCATTGAATGTGTGTGTGTGCATTTAGAAGGCAGGGAAGGGGGAGGGGAGGTGGGGGGCTGAGTTTTGTCATTTCTAGGGCAGCACAAAACCAGGATACACCACTGCCCTGCAGGCTTTTTGCAGTAAACACTTTTTCTCTAAAACAAAAAAAACAAAAAAAGGTTTACATTACAGCCTAGGGATACCTTCGTTGGCCATTTCTCAGATGACTACTAGAGGTGCTTCCTGGGGGGCACTGCTGCACACCTTCTGCATGGAGACACTGAACTTTCCTCATAGAGATGCATTGATTTAATGCATCTCTATGAGGAGATGCTATTTGGCTTGTGTTGCCTCTGCCACTGATCTGCCTCCTTGACAGTCTCAGCCAATCAAATGCTTTCCTATGAGAAAGCATTGTGATTGGTTCAGATCACCACTTCTGATGTCAGCCAAGCAGACAGATCAGGGGCAGAGCCACAGCAGCAGACTGAAATAAAAGTAAGATCTCTACTATATTACTATATAGGTACTATATTTAGGAGGCCCAGTGGGGCTAGATTGTGGTTTTAATGCTATCAGGTTAGGAGTACATTCTGGGAACATCTGATAATTTCACATCTTCTAATTGTGCCCTTATGGTGTTGCTTCTCAGTTATGCCTAGTTTTACGGTTTCTGGGTTTTTTTTGTTTGTTGTTTTTTTTTTTTCTTAAGTGCCTTGTTTGTACAATGTTGCTGTATATTACCTACTGCATAGTTGTTAAATACTAACCATGTCTAAGTGATGCACTACAAAAAGCATACATTTTTACTTTAAAGGGAATTTATTTCCTGAAGTTTAAGCCAGTGCATGACAAACAGGAATTTATCTAATCTGCAGGGAAAAAAGTCAGGCAAACACCCCAATTCTTTTTATATAACCTCCCCCCAAAATCTCCTTTTGCCACTATAAAGTGCCCTCTAATCACAGGCTCCCCAGAAAATACAAAAGCTGGATAACTGCAAAAATAATTTATTAGAAGTGTGGAAAGATTGCACTGCCTATAATCTTCAGGAAAAATAAATTTACGGTAAGTAAAAATATATACTTTTTCCTTCAGATTAGAGGTAGTGCTTGAAAAACGGGGATAATAAAGCAATCCTTAAAGGATCACTATAGGGTCAGGAACACAAACTTGCTTCTTCTGAGGCCAGGTTACACACAGTATGTGTAACCTATAATGTTTAGTAAATGTGTGAAGAGACAACAAAGTGCAGAACAGATTTGTGAAGGAGAAGCTGAAGACATAAGACGTGGACATAGCTCCAGTGGAATGAGCATTAATTGATTGAGATGGAGGAATCTGCGAGGAAGAATATGCCAACCAAGTAGAATCCTTTAACCATCTGACCAGTGAACTTTTAGATGCCATAAGACCTTTTCTTGCACCATGAAACCGTACAAAAAGTCTGTTCGATCTTCTAAAGGAACTGGTACTTTTTAAGTATTGCAGTAATGACCTTTTAACGTCAAGGTAATTAAACTTTTATTCTAAAGCATTAGAAGGTTGTTGGCAAAAAGTTGCAGAATAATTTCTTAATCGATGTTAGTTGCTGATCAAACTTTAGGAATAAAAGATGAATCAAGCTTTGAAACTACTTTGTCTTGATGGAAAATAAAAGGATCTGAATTTAGTATTTGAAGTTAACCCAATCGTTTTGCCGAAGTAAAATAAAGTTTTGATAGTTATAGTTTTGAGTGACGTCTTCTCTAATGGTTGGAACTAAATGGGTCAAAGCCTTGAAAAAGCTAAAAAATGGTATATTCAAAGTCAATCATCTAAACAAGAAGAAAGTGATGGCAGAAATCTGGACCTTGAGCGTGGCATGTCTAAATCCTTTTGCAAAGCCCAGTTTTAAGAATCTTAGAATGTTTGGAATAGATAAGCGGTTTTCCTTGATCATAAAGCACCAATTACAAAATATCTTTCAGATTCTGGAAAAAAAATCTTAGACATAGAATCTTGTTTTTGCAGACATCAGAATATTAGTAACATCAGGAGCTAAACCTTTTGTCTTTCAATATTTGGTATTCAGAAACCAGGCTGTACGGTTACATTTCTGTAGTTTTCTGAGGCACCATGGAGTGTTCTAGCATCTCCTCTGACAGAGCAAGTTTCCAATAGGTTGAGTTGGGGACATTTAGGAGCATGGAGAACCAACTCCTTGCCCACCAAGGCAGAATTTTAATTTTCATTATTTTTTTCTGCCTGTTTTGAAGAATTGTGGGAATTCATGATTGAAGTAGTCAGAGATCCTTTGGGTAGGTACTAATTCTGATTTTTCAAGGTTTATTATCCACCCGTGACTTATTAAAGATTCTGAGGTCTTGACAAAGTTGTTCTTTTGAAGGAGCTGTTAAAAGCAAGTCGTCTAAATAAGGAATCACACCCTTCTCCTTAGTTCTGTGGTAATGACTACTAGTGTTTTTGTGAACACTCTAGGGGCTGACAAAAGGCCAAATGGAAGCACTCGGAACTGGAAATTTAGTATCTGCTCTTGGAATTTAATGGCAAACCTTAGGAATCTCTTGCACTTTTCTGCTATAGGAATATGCTAGTGAAATTAGCCAATTTCCAGGTTGGATAATGTGAGTGGCTTAATTTCTGGTCTCCATACAAAACCTCTTTTTTATGATAAACTTGTTTACGTTCTTGAGATTCAGAATTGGTCTGAATATACTGTCTGGTTTCGTGACAAGAAAAATTATTGAATAGGTGCCAAAGCACCATTTTTCTTCGTGGATGTTTTCTATGATGCAAATTTGAAATCTCTCTCAGAGCCTTTTCTGTTTTGGCAAAATGGACGGTTGAACACAAACATGTTCTTTTTGGGATACTTGCTAGTTTTAAGTGGGACCCATTTTTAATTACAGAAGCACCTATCTGTCTGATGTAGTCTGTTGATATTTCGACAAAAAGTGCATGAGTCTTCTGCCTACAGGTATGGTGTCATAAGTTACTATTCTTTTTGTCTGAAATTTTTTATTTTCTTCTGTAATCAAACACCTTTCTCTAAAAGGAACCCTGTAAGAGGATCTGTCCCTAAAACATTCTTACTCCAACCTTTCTTCCTGGTTTCTTCTGCCAATCCTTTTTTTGCTTTCCGTCATCTGCTTTTACAGATCATCTAATTTGGGACCAAACAGTCTGCCTGGTTCAAAAGGAATGTCACACAGAGAATTTTTGGAGGCTGAATCTGCTGACCCGCTTCTTAACCAGACTACTCTTCTTGCCATCGTAGCCAGTCCCATAGATTTTGCTGATATTTTCAGACTTTTTGCCTTAGAATCAATTTTAAAAATTTGATGCCATCATAATGTTTTGAAAGATTTGGACTGCATCTTCTTTGGACTCTCCTGCATAGATGTTTTCTAAGGCATCTAATCATAGTTTCTGTGCTTTGGCAACTGATGTTCCTTCAATCAGCACTTTACATTAACTACTATAGGCCAGTAAGCCTTACTTCAGTAGTGGGGAAATTAATGGACACCATGTTAAAGGATAGGACTGTTGAACATCTAAAATCACATGGATTTCAAGATCTGAGACAACATGGGTGTACTTCAGGGTTTACTAATCTTATTGATTTTTTTGATTGGGTAACTAAAATAATAGATCAGGATCCTCACCCCGCCTGTGTGTTCACCTCAAGCCTCCCTGTGTCTTCTCCTTACCCCCTGTCTGTTCTCCTCACCCCCGTGTTTTCTCCTCACACCCCCTGTGTGTTTTGTGTTCTCCTCACCCCCCCACCCTGTGTGTTCTCCTCACCACCCCACCCTGTGTGTTCTCCTCACCCCCGTGTGTTCGCCTCTCCCCTCCTTGTGTGTTCTCCTCACCCCTCCTTGTGTGTTCTCCTCACCCCTCCTTGTGTGTTCTCCTCACCCTCCCCGTGTGTTCTCCTCACCCTCCCCGTGTGTTCTCTTCACCCTCCCCGTGTGTTCGCTTCACCCCCTTGTGTGTTTTCCTTACCCCCTGTGTGTTCTCCTCACCCCCCGTGTGTTCTCCTCACCCCCCGTGTGTTCTCCTCCCCTCCCCCCCTCCCCTCCCGTGTGTTCTCAGATTTTTCTTTTGTAACCATCAGTCATGGGCTGGAAACATGAAGCACAAATGAAATGCTTTTCTTTTGCTGTATATTTTTCTTTCTCTAAAGATCTCTCAGCAATGTCAGAATTACATAGTTGAAAAGAGACTTGCGTCCATCAAGTTCAGCCTTCCTCACATATGTTTTTGCTGTTGATCCAAAAGAAGGCAAAAAACCTAGTCTGAAGCACTTCCAATTTTGCAACAAACTAGGAAAGAATTCCTTCTTGACCCCAAAATAGCAGTCAGATGTCTCCTTGGATCAAATAGCTATCACCCCACCTCTTCAGGCAGAGAATTCCATGTCCTTATCACTCTTATTGCAAAAAAACTTTTCTTTGCCTTAGATGAAATCTTCTTTCTTCCAGCCTAAACATG